AACGAACAATTTTACTTCTATTTGCTGCCAAAAGCCCGCTCATTTGTTACTTCTTGTATTTAAGGTAACTTTTTTCCTTCTTTTTGAGTGAGTCAGTATGACGGCACGATAATGAGAACGATTGGGTCTCGCTAATGTGGCTTGGGTTCGATTCCTAAACCTGCCGTCGTGTATCTTTTGATTGTCTTATTGATCTGCCTTTCCGAGGCTTTTTCTCCAAGTTCATTGGCTTTTTTCTCTCTTTGAGAAACAAGACTCTAAATTCCAATTTTGAGCGTCTTTTTCCCCAGACCTTTCCGTTCCCCATCTTGAAAGAGATTGCAAATTAAGTAGCTAAAATAGATCTTCTGATAAAATGGTGGCAGTCATTGTAAATTATCCTAACCTGGATAAAATTATGAGCCAAAATGATTTCTAAATAGCATCGACAACGCTAGTAAGTTAATAATTTTAATACTTTTCTTCAGTCTAAGCCGTCGTTCTAAAAGACTACTTAGTCTACTGCCGTTCTTCTAACAGAGAGAAAATCAAAATTATTCGTCTACAATTAGTTGCCTGAAAAATGTAATTCCACCTACTTTTACTAGGAAAAACAAACTGAAACTCTGTATATCTCCAATAGACCCTAAGCAAAGATACATTGTGATGCTATTGGTTTAAGTCCGAGATGGCTAAAAGCCAATTTTATTCGAAGAAGAAGTCAAAACGCGGAAGAATTGCGTGAAAAATTCACTATCAGTAGCCTTTACTTACATCTGAAATTTTTTCATTGCGGTTAGACAATGCGGTTATAATACGTTATGTTATAATATACCATTGTAAATAGGCAATCTCTTATTCCAAATTTGCCCAAAATCTCAAACTCGAGCCATGGTAAACAGGAAGAGCATGTGGTTCACTCGTTAGTTTATGCAGGGCAAAAAAAAGAAAAGAAGACGATTAGCTATTCCAAAATCTATCTGGGATTGGATTACAGCTTATTTCCAGTATCCATTGGTGTGTTTTCTCTGGCTGAAAATACCAGCCACGTATTAAATTATCTAATAACCAAGAAGCGGTTCACTACATCTTCCCCTCGAAGCATGTGTTTGCGATAACTTTTCCCTCTTTCAACTACAATGCGAACAGGATATAACACGTATCCGGTAATTTATATTCAAAATCAAAAGGAAAAAAGTGTCAGATTATCCCGTAACACTCAGTTTTCTCGGTTCTCACTAAACATTCTAATAAAAACAGAGATTGCAGGGACACAGCACTTTAGATCGATAACATTTTCCTAGCTTGTTTTTGTCTGTGATCATATGGCCTGATGTGTTGTTACTGGCTTACTTTGCTGAAAGATTTACATGAAAACAAGACCTCATGCCTCATACTGATTGTCTTTTTTCTTCAATGGAATAAGTTTTTCTTATTTAATACAAACTCGCAATTTTACTGATGGAACACGAGTGGGTGAGACAAAAATCCACTTAACCTTGTAAATTATTTCAGAGCTTACCTTAAAACGACGTTTCGTCAACGACAAGACAGAAGATATTTTGATGACTTCTTCAGAAGGCGACTCAATACGAGCGGTGTTCGTCAGGATAAAAGCTCAAATGCATATAGCTATTACTTTAAGGACTTGATTTCTGAGAAATTATGCTGGTCAACGTATTATGCTGATCACGTGGAACATTGTGTCGCCTAAGATCACGCAAGGGAGAGTATTTTCCCGTTATGCTTGAAATCTCGCGTCCGAAATCATTTCCTTACTAATTTGCATGTGCACTTTAGTCTTTCTCGGAATCGTATGAAACGCTGGGCACAAAAAGTACTCGTAAACGCACGATTTTACTTCTATTTACTGCCAAAAGCCCGCTCATTTGTTACTTCTTGTATGTAAGGTAACTTGTTTTCTTTCCTTTTTGAGTGAGTTAGTATGACTCCACGATATTGAGAACGATTGGGTCTCGCTAATGTGGCCTGGGTTCGATTCCTAAACCTGCCGTCGTGTATATTTTGATTGTCTTATTGATCTGCCTTTCCGAGTTTTTTTCTCCGGGTTCATTGGCTTCCTTCTCTCTTTCAGAAACAATACTCTGAATTCCAATTCTGAGCTTTTTTTTCCCCAGACCTTTCCGTTCCCCATCTCGAAAGAGATTGCAAATTAAGTAGTTAAAATAGATCATCTGAAAAATGGTGGCAGTCATTGTAAATTATCCTAACCTGGACAAAAATATAAGCCGAAATGATTTCTAAATAACATCGACAATGTCAGTAAATAAATAGTTTTGTACTTTTCTTCAGTCTAAGCCGTCGTTCTAAAAGACTACTAAGTCTACTGCTGTTCCTCTAACAGAGAGAAAATCAAAATTATTCGTCTACAATTAGTTGCCTGAAAAATATAATTCCACCTACTTTTATTAGGAAAAACAAACTGAAACTCTGTATATCTCCAATAGATCTCAACCAAAGATACATTGCGATCTCGAATAAGTAAAGATACATTTAACAAGAGAAAAGGACAATATTTCCGAGGGGGCTCCTTGACTGGTTGTAACCTATCTGTACTTTTTCCTCTGTGTGTGATATACGTAATAAAATACAGGTTGTTGACAAGGAATGAAGACGCGATTGGTTTAAGTCCGAGATGGCTAAAAGCCAATTTTATTCAAAGAAAAAGTCAAAACGCGGAAGAATTGCGTGAAAAATTCACTATCAGTAGCAATTACTTCCATCTGAATTTTTGAATTTGCGAACCTTTCAAATCCCGATAAATCTCGACCTTAATCGACGAGGCTCTTCCGAAGGCCACAAACTATTGCGAGAAGGCAATCTCTTATTCCAAATTTCTGCAAAATCTCACATTCGGGCCATGATAAACAAGAAGAGCATGTGGTTCACTCGTTAGTTTATGCAGGGCAAAAAAACAAAAAGGAAAGAAGACGATCACCTATTCCAAAATCTATCTGCGATTGGATTACAGCTTATTTCCAGTATCCATTGGTGTTTTTTCTCTGGCTGAAAATACCGGCCAAGTATTATATTATTTAATAACCAAGAAGCGGTTCACTACATCTTCCACTCGAAGCAGTTGTTTGCGACAACTTTTTCCTCTTTCGACTACAATGCGAACAGGATATTACGTGTAGCCGGTAATTTATATTCAAAATCAAAAGGAAAAAGGTTTCAGATTATCTCGTAACACTCAGTTGTCTCGGTTCTCACAAAATATTCTAATAAAAAAGAGAAAGCAGGAGCACAGCACTTTAGATCAATAACATTTTCCTAGCTTGTTTTTGTCTGTGATCATATGGCCTGGTGTGTTGTTACTGGCTTACTTTGCTGAAAGATTTACATGAAAACAAGACCTCATGCCTCATACCGGATTGTCTTTTTTCCACAATGGAATAAGTTTTTCTTATTTAATACAACCTCGCAATGTCACTGATGGAACACGAGTGGGTGAGACAAAAATCCACTTAACCTTGTAAATTATTTCAGAGCTTACCTTAAAACGACGTTTCCTAAACAAGACAGAAGATATTTTGTTGACTTCTTCAGAAGGTGACTTAATACGAACGGTGTCCGTCAGGATAAAAGGCTCAAATGCATATAGCTGTTACTTTAAGGGCTTGATTTCTGAGAAATTATGCTGGTCAACGTATTATGCTGATCACGTGGAACATTGTGTCGCGTAAGATCACGCAAGGGAGAGTATTTTCCCTTTATGCTTGAAATCTCGCGTGCGAAATCATTTCCTTACTAATTTTCATGTGTGCTTTAGTCTTTCACGAAATTGTATGAAACGCCGGGCAAAAAAAGTACTCGTAAACGCACGATTTTACTTCTATTTACTTCCAAAAGCCCGCTTCTTGTATTTAAGGTAACTTGCTTTCTTTCTTTTTGAGTGAGTTAGTATGACTCCACGATATTGAGAACGATTGGGTCTCGCTAATGTAGCCTGGGTTCGATTCCTAAACCTGCCGTCGTGTATCTTTTGATTGTCTTATTGATCTCCGTTTCCGAGATTTTTTCTCCAGGTTCATTGGCTTTCTTCTCTCTTTGAGAAACATTAATCTTACTTCCAATTCGGCATATTCATCCCTGCATCGCTTCTCGTTGAAGTGCCACCCGATTGCATCCACGTCTCCTGCCAAAAATATACTTCGGGTGAAAATTTATTTTCTCTCTTTAATTAAGTAACCATTCTGATGGTAGTAAAAAAAATAGATCGACTTGATGAGTAGACAAAAGAGGGTCTGAATGGGGGGGTCAAAATGTCGGTTGTCGGTTAAAATTTCATTACTTTGTCGGTTGTCGGTTAAGATTTTTGACCTTTGTCGGTTGTTGGTAAATCTCAGTTAATAATTAAAAATACACGTTTATTATTCACATTTATTATGCAATTTGCCCAGTTTTAAGACTTTAAACTCTAGACGAAGTGTAATACTTGTAATAATTCATTATTTGTTTTCACTTAAACCTCGTTAACGCTGTTTTTTAATTTAGCAACGTGCTCATCTACCCCACTTTTGTTTGCAAATCTAGTATACCGATAAAATTCACCAAAGCTTTTATTATAGATGTGAATTTGTTTCCTGTCGACTACGGGGCATCGAAGTAAATCAAGAGAGGTAAATTCTACAAAGAATGAAACACCCACTCTAGCCCCTGGGATACCTAATTTTAATTTGTAAGCTACGGAAGTCTTTTTTCCGAGACGTCCACAAAAACTCACTACACTTATTATTCAACGGCTCTCGTGGCTTTTCTGCGAGGTTTCTTTTTTTTCTCTTTTTTTTGCCAAAAATTTGGTTGTCATACGTATCAATCTGCATCGTTAAATGGATTTTTTAACTGTTAGTACCTCTTACATGTCGAGACGCACAAATGCACGAACAGTTGACAACCTCTGGATGTTCTTCAAAATCTGATTCCTCGTCATCCGAATCTGTCTCATACTCATCCGTTTGTACTTCTCTGAGATCCTCAAACACCTCAGTAACATCCCCTTCGTCCACAAATTGTATGCTGACAACGCGTTGTGCATTTGCTGAGGATACAGTGTTTTCTTCAGGATATCGAAGCCTCTCTTCAGACTCGTCGGTGTGGTGAACGGCGTAGACAGCTGGCGGCAAGGCCCCAGCCTTATCTTTTGTGGTCTCACTCCTAACCGTCCGTTGGCGTACTGGTCTGTAACTCTCTAGCCACTCTTTGATCTGTCCTTCCATCCCTGGTGTTATGTCCTCACTTGGCAAAGGTGTCATCGTAGCTATAGTAGAAAGGGGCATGGCGGATTGAGGTACCGGATAGTAGAATTTGTCATGCGTGTAGTACTTTGCTGCCCATCTAGATGTGCGCTTCAGAGATTCCTTGCAAATTGTTCCAAAATCCTGGGCATATGTAAGTACCGTAAATGTCTCGTGTTTAAGGTGCGAAACAGCGTGCAAATTTTCCACCACTGTTGTGAGCAACGTTTCGAGCAGCAGATCATCTACAAATTGGGGGTTAATGTCCATCACGTTCTTGTATAGCCTTTCTATGCCCTTTTTAAGCAAAGACACAGATACTTGCGTCTTCTGTGATACAGTTCCCTGTGGACCATTGGTTGCAGACGTCTCGCTCAACTGGTAGCGTTCTTTCACCTCACTCACAGTGTCTTTTACATAGCTGTCAATCTTTGTCACGTTCTCTTTTTCTTGTTTCAAGGACACTCCGTCTGGTTTCATACCCTTAGAATGAATTCCAAAGGTATCGTAAAGGGAGCCAAGAATCCCCAGAAAAGATACCGTTTCTGAGAGGCTCGTCACTATCTTCAGTTTTCCAGCGGAAACATCTGTAACAAACAAGTTCTTGTCTACAGAGCATATCCCTTCGATTTGTTTGAATGAGCATGAGTCTTGTGTCCCATCGGAAGAACTGTTGTGGCCACTTCCTACCAAAGTCCTAACCGATTTATCATCAGGGTTGTATTGCATAACCTTTCCCGCCTTTGTATCCGTGTAAACTACCCTCCCGTTCAAGGCGCATACTTGGTTTACCTCAGAGCAAGGAAGAGTCGAGTTGCATACAGCTTTGGTCACTGTCTTTGCGCTAAGTTCACATTTATAAAGCCCACCTTGGCTCGAGGCTCCTGAGAAGAATGCGCATTGGTCAAGTAGAGTAATAGACAAAAGATTTATGATGCTGGATGGATAGGCAGTGAATTTCGTAGCATTGCCGTGAATGGTCACTCCATCAAATGTCAATGTTATCTGATAGACATATTGACTCTCGTCATCACTACAAAATAACAAATCATTGCTTGCAGCATAGACAGCAGAAGGCTTACCAAGACGATTAGGATGCATCTGGACGTGTTCTGCACAGTCCGTGTTCTTAGAAATAGCACCCAAGTGGTCCTTAAGTCTTTCGCGCAAAACGGGAACCGTTCCATCCGTTGGGAGAGATAGTGCCTCTAAGTGCCTCAGAAGTTCAGCTCGTCGCTTGAGTGACTTTGTACTTATCTTCACTTTTCCCTCGAAGTCGACAAAAGAAATTGTAGATTTTCCCCTTTCACACAAGAATGCAATCCCATCGATGAAGCACAAGTTCCTAGCATCCTTCAGTCCATCTCGCACAACAGAGACATCTGCTGGCTGGTGCAATCTTATTGTTAGGAGTCTTGATAAACCTGTCTCAAAGTTGTAATCAAGCGCAAGGATCGAGCCTGTTGGGCCTTCAGAAACTGCGATCGGGTGAGGGCATACACCACGTTGGTTACTTTTCCAAAACCTGTATTGTTCTGGTACGATGGTATGCACAACGAACTTAACGTCCTCCAGCACTTTGAGAACTTCTGGTCGTGTTAAACGAATAATGGGTTCAACAGCCATTCTGTCTTTATTCCTAACACATTCAAGTGAAAGCAACTTTCGAAGCTTCTTTTTGATAAACGCCTCCGTATTGTCACGTAAGCTTCGAAGCAACACGAGATTGCTAAATTCACCGTCTAAGTTGATAAACCAGTTCGACCAGCTACACTTAAAGCTTTTTCCAATATGAACGACATCTGGCAAGGGAACTACCAATTCTAATTCTGGTGGCAGTTCCTTGCCATCTGCCATGTCACTTAAGCGAACAAGTGCCTTCTTGTTGCACTCCTCGCAGTCGGTTGCTACTGCCATAACAACTAGCTTTTGGCACGTCACGTTTCTATCTGAGCAAGAATCACATGCCCTTAAAGAAGGGTAGTGAGAAACTTGTCCCATGTTCTCGCAGCTTGCACAGACCGATTTTTTAATAATTCGGCTAAATTTGGAATTAATGTGGTTACGTCGGGTGAAGAAGGATTTTCTGAGCTAGAAATCATCAAAATGCTGTTCTTTCTGAATACAAACATCCCTATCACGTCTGACCATGTCGGTTGTCGGTTAGAATTTATTTGTCGCCAGTCGGTAATTTTTTCCCCGTTTCGTCGGTAGTCAGTAATTTTTTACGCCCTTTGTCGCTAGTCGGTTAACCCCATTCAGACCCTCACAAAAGCCTCCATACGCTGCGAAAATATATATTTATATTTTTCCGCGGACAATTATCAGATCCGAAAAGCCAAAAATTTTTACGAGAGCAAAGCTCGAGGAAAACTGAAGGCTTCAATTTACTTGATGCGCCCGAGCCAAAAATATGAATGGATCAAAAATAGTCATTTTGCAGTTATCAAAGAGTTAAGCCGAACAAAAGTCCGATTTTGCAAGTCAATGCCACATAAGAAGGGCTTTCATTACAGATGGCCTCGGTGAAAACATATTCCCAAAGTTATTTGGGGTTTTCAGACCCACTGCTCGATGAAAACGTTTCTTAATTAATGCAAAGGTACTTTGCATTCGCAGTTAAGAATATTGCACAGCAATAGAACGCTCGTGGCTCCTCGTGCACGCATACAGTAGAATAAATGAATGCTAACGCACATCGTTTGATTGTTAATTTTATTTAATCAAAATAACTTTCAAACTTGAAACAAAAATAAATGCTGTAAGGCAATTCTGGAAGCTTATGAATCTGAAAACGTTTTTCCTACAACATGCCAGCGATAGAAAATTTTAAACAAATTGAGTCATTTAAAAAACACTGTTTAAGATGTACTCAGTTCTCTTTTTTTTCTTTTAAAAGTCGCGAAAGAAAATTTGGCTCTGGAAAGAAGCCGCAAATGGGTCATTTTAAACACTGTTAAAGATGTTTCACTCAGTTGCCTTCACGTTTGAATGTTAATAAAGTCATGATGTGGAGCCCAAATCCTCTGTAATACAACAGCTAATATATATGAAAATAAAAATATATAATGAAAAGTTTAATTTGATTTTGCTGCGCTCTACAACTTCAGTTTGCTCTAGTCTCGCGGTGCTAAATCACTGTATTTGAAAATTCTTTGAAAAGCTAATATGGGAATATTTTGAAGTAGCAGATAAGTAATTTTAAGCACTGTTAAAGATCTGCTCAAACTGACCAACTGAATCCACATAATCGTACAAAAGTAACACAATAAAATTTTAAAACTGAGCGGATGATAAACCTCTTATCTTTGTTCCCATGGTCAAAAATCTTTCTAAACAATCAATTCTAAAAACGTTGTGATGGTTATTTCTCAGCTGATTAGTTCAACATGTTTGACTGAGATACGAAGCAAGTCCGTGAATCTTTTACTAAAAAAATTTGACAATTTACGCAAAATTTTCTTAAAAATCATCACAAAGAACAAAAACAAAAAAAAAAACAAAATAACTGGAACTGCTTTTTTAGTTTAAATGTTCACTTGGGAGTTCAGGAGCTTTGTGGCTTTTGATTGGCAGCATCTTCGACTTTTTTCTCCAATGCATGTGCAATGGCTCTCAGCATCTTCGTGGCAAGCTTACCTCTACATTCTTCTTCGATCATCTTTTTCTGTTTTTCCAGCCATTCGTCCACGTAGTTGCGGTCTGTGCCCTCGGTAGGCAGGGCTTTGAAGTCGGTCTTGACATCTGGTAAGCCTGCATAGAACACTTGGCAAATAGACTTCATATCCTTGGCTTCAACCTTCATTACTTTGAAGAAGATAAATTGAGGGTCGTCCTCGCTCTTCTTGGCGTTGTTTTCAAACTTTTGCAATTCGTGCTCCATAACAGAGAAGAAGCCGGCCACTTTAGAAATTCCACCAATGAAGGCTTCAAAAGCAGGAATGAGAGCTTCTCTCACTGCCAAGGCCGCTGCTTCTTGGATCTTCGCTTGATTATCTGTAGCAACGGCTTTTGCCAAATTTTTGTCACCAGCAGCGTGTAATATGCCACCGGCAATCGCGCCAATGCTCGGGATAAAGCAAAGTGCCTGTGCCCAAAAACGTTTTTTGCCTGCCTTTCTTTCCAATTCTGCCTTCTTCTTCTCAAATTCTGCCACAAGGAGCGTCATTTTCTTCAATAAAATACCGGCCTGGTCTCTTCTCTTCTTCAGGGGCACCAAAATCTCTTCATGCATTTTCAACATTGTGTGACAGAGCTTCTTGTACTCAGTAGCTTGATTGCGAATCATGGAAATATTTTCACACCACTCATCAAACGTCAGAGCGTCATAGTATTCAAAGTATGTGCTGATGGATGTGACAAACTCGGTTGTCAGAGGAAGGATGCCCTCTATGTACACCATGGCATCATTCCTGGTGTCGTCGCGGAGTTTTCTGAACTCTTTGGCAACCTCTTCGTCAGTGCCCACCGCTTTCTCGGCGTAGAGGGATCTCATTGTGAGGGAGAACATTCTCATATCGACAGACATGTTCTTCACTCCTTCCCGCAGCTCATCGACTTGATGCTTTGTTTTCTTCTCGATAGCACTCATCTGCAAGTAGGAAAAGAGATAGCAATGTATAACTCATTCATATAGTAACGTACTCTTTCACTATGCTCCCAATCATTTAACAAGAAGCAGGTGAGTCGTTTCTCATTGAAAACTCATTCGATACACCCATTCAATCCGACGAGTAATTCTCCCTTGTGGTTATCATACATTTCCCTTTAAACTGGTGTAGAGAATTTGATAATAAAGCAAGATGCATATATGGTAAGGAGAGAATATATGCGAATAAACGCTTGAGAGTGAATTCTAAAAGACAATCTCCCCAGCGAAGGTTTGGGTAAAAAGGTGACAGAATACAGATAGATTTCGATCAAAATAGAACCAGAACGAGAGAAGTAACCACTGGGAATTGAAAAGCGAAACCCGCGTATATGACTTGAGGAACTCTTAGAAAAGAAATGGATTTAAAGGATCATAAAACATCTCACAAGGAAACAAATGTATATATAGGGGGTAAGTTTCTAAAGAAACTGTAGTGTTGCGTCGGTGGGGAATAGAACCAGGTAATTTGGTTGTTTCAACTTAGTTGAAAGGTGATCGACGTTTCGCTTCGACTAAGGGCTAGCTCTCGAAACGCCAGCTTTAGAAACTCTACACGGTGGCCAATTTACATTACCAAATCATTTGAAAAACCAATTTATCTTACAGGAAAACAATTTGGTTTACCTTGACACTGAAGGGAGTCTTGATTCAAACTTGAAAAGGGAGAGGCTGGTTGAATCGTCTGGGCTGAACAGCGTATTCTGTGAAGCTCTAATGGAACTGACTCAAACAGGAGCCGTTCGACTGTTTTATAGAGCTACCAGAGAAAGCCGGCATTGAGCCAGTTTTCTGAGACGTTCCCGTTCCCGTTCATGTTAGGACACGAACATTACGTGGCCGGATATAATCTTGTAATCTCAGGAACACGTTCGCAAGTTTCCTCGTTACCTTAACCACTTTTTGCCAAAAACGTGCTAAACATGGAGTCTGTGTTGTAATCTCGGAAACACGTTCACAAGTTTCCTTGTTCCCTGAACCACTTTTTGCCAAAAACGTGCCGAGCATGGAGTCTGTGTTGTGACAGATTTAAATGTGGCTGAATGTGACGTGATGAAAAATGACGCTTAAAAGCCAAACTAGAAATCTCGCATGCTTAATTCTTAGCCTACCTTTAGCCGTACCCTTCCAACCCCCCCCCCTTCCTCTTCTCTTCCCATGAAGAAACGGAAAAGAAGGAGGAAACGTTTTTGTTGGGGGGGCGGGGCTAGGATTCCCTTAAGATTTTAAACGTAAAAGCAACCCTTTAACAAACTTGGTCCAGGGGCTCGTTTCTCGAAGGTGCTTTAAATTTTGATTTTGAATTATGGTTTCGAGCCGGTTACATGTGAGTTATGCAAGTTACTGGGACTTTCAAGAAGAGTTTCCCAGAGCTGGCTTGAGTTAGTAATCTCATTCATGGGAGACTTTGTTTAACCTCTCAGTTTTTTAAAAAAATCATGACTTGTATGCTGGATTTGATGTTGATTGTTTCTGAATTGCCCTCTTCACAGACATTCAACAAAGTTATTTCATTCCCTTGACACGACATGAAGTAAAATTTTGTAATAAGATACTCGTTCGGACAAGCACATCATTCAATGGCAATTTAACGGAAAATTGAGGTCAAATGAAATCGGTATCACCTGTTATATCACGGGCTGAGCTTAGACTCGTACCACACTCATCCGTTTTTAGAGTGTGACGCGTAATTTAAGATGGATTTCCAGAGTCGTGTAACTTTTAGCGAACGTAAAACGTGCGTAAGAAATTTCCATTTCCCCGAAAAAATGGATACAAAGCATTTTTTTACGTACAAAAAACGCAGGCCCGTGCGTCAAGGTTGAAGGCTGTTCAACTTTAGTCTGCAATTTACTCGCGATTGCAACCTACGTAAAACGTACGTAAACGTCTTGACAAAACGTGGAAATGGAGAAATGACAAAATTTAGCGAACGACGGCGTTTACGCTCGTTGACATTTATTCTACGTAAACAATCTTTTTAACACACGTTCACGTGCGTGAACAAAAAACGCAACAGTGGAAATACACCTCAAGGCCAAAATCAAAATATGTCACGCATGACCTTTACAGAGAGGCGAGCGAGAGTCGTGACTTAATGAATCAGCGTGAGGCGTGATTTGCCTTCTGAAATATACATGACACTTGAATTTTTTTCAAAATCTCAACACAAGAAGAAAGATTTTATTCTTTTCCTATTAAATTCGTGAAGCGTGAAATGCTGTTTAAAGTATACGTGACGGGGGAATTTTTCTAAAATTTAAAGGAATTAGTGTTATACCTGATTCACACCAAAGATAGAACATGTTTTTAAGCTGTTTTGTAAAACGCGGTTCAAGTTTTACCGAATTCAAATCTAGCACATTAAAAATTAAAAGTTAGTGACTACTTGAGTCCACACTTTAGCGACCGGCAAACAAGATGGCTGCGAAGGCGACAGAATTACAACATCGTGTTTTTCATCACCGGTGTCAAAAGCCTCCACTTCACTTGTCCATACAAGTGGAGCGTTTATTTATTTTTATTTATTTTGGGGGGAAAAGTGGGACAGGCAACAACAGATAAAAAGAAGCGTTTCTTCGCATGGTAGTCATTAAAATCAAGACATTGTTACATTCACATTATTACAATCTAACTAGCATTTTAGGACATGTTTTGAGCATTTAAAAACACAGAGACAATAAATAACAATGTTGCTGTTGTGCTTCTCAGCTAAGAGAGTCAAAGGGTTAAGAGGTGGCGCGTTAGTAAGGTCAAAACCGATATGCGAAGCTTGGATTTTACAGAAAGGCAAGCGTGATTCGGTATGTTAGGGCATGATCTTCCTCCTGAAATATACTTTATCCGTGAATTTTTCCCTGAAACCTTCAAAATAATAGGCGAGATTTTAAGTTATCCCTTTTAAATACGTGAAGTGTAAACTTTAATAAAATTCCTGCGCGAAACGGGTCAAGGCTCTCCCTTACTCATCTTCAGCCAACGGGACCTTTCAAGTGCATGCAAGTAGTTAAGTACTTTGACAGATTTAAGACAGCTTACAAGGCTTATTACTGCTAATTAGACCCTTAATTTGTCAGGTTTAGACATGTCTTAACAACATCAATACAACATTTTATCAAGTAGCCGGAAGACGTTTTAACTGAAGCTATTGTTAGCTTACACTGATTGTTAGTGCCTACAAAACCTCGTCAATTATCATGAACTTTTCATGAAGAACGGACCCCTCAAATTAATGTTAATATGTAAATATCAAAATAAACCTATATTAAACCTGTATTAAGGGTGATATTGGTGATATTGACTCGCCTGCCACCAGTTGAAAGCCATTTTCTAAGGGGAAACCAAAGTCAGGAAAACTGTCAGCGTTTTTTATACAAAAGAAGATTAATTCTAGCTACGTCAGATACAGGCCTTTTCACGAAAGTAAACAGGAATCTTCTGAAAACTGGCTCACTGCCGGCTTTCTTTCGTAGCTCTATAAAAACTGACGTACAGCTTCAATGCGAGTTAGTTATCTCCAAGATTCCTTGGACAACGCTATTTAGATCAGAAGATTCAGCCATTGCAACCTTTTCAACTTTGGTTTAGTCTATACTCAGTGTCAAGGTATGCTAAATTCCTTTCTTAAAGAAATTAGGTATAATTTTTATGTCAATCTTTAACGAGCTACTTTCAATTGTTTTCTGTGAAAAATGAGGGTAGATTCTGAATTCGCGATTTTTTTGTTTCATCAGTCCTTTTTTTAAAGAATTACGTACGAAGAATTTGTGTGTTAATTTTCAATGAGCTAATTTTAGATGTGTTTCGTGAAAAATGTCTGATTCTGTTTTGGATCACACAGTTAAACTGCACTACTTTACCCCCAAAACTTCATGACAAAGTGCTCTCTTTCAAATTCACTGTATAATTTATGTGGGAATAACTCATTTCCAAAAGCCATGGATCGAGTCTTAAGTGAAAAATAATTCTTAATTTTATTTATCAACTTATTCCTTTAACTCCTATGAGTGATCAAGATAGAATTTCTCCTTACAATATAAATATAAAATCAAGCAGACAAGTAATGAGAATAAAGAAAAATATCAATTGGGGGATTATAAGTTGATTCAATACCAAATTCTCCAAAGTAATATCACAAGAACTGTATGGCAGACAGTAAGGAGAATTACTGATGAGATCTTGGGAGTTAAGTGTTAACAGCGGTGACCTCTTGATGGGGATGAAAAAATTACAGTCATCATAATGTACATGAAAAAATTACGCGCTTCTGATTGGTTGAAAACGATTGACTTCGCATTTAACACGAGTGCAAAGTTGTAACACGAGTGCAAATTACAAATAGCGCGCGTCTGTCTTGACTTTCTGTGATGTTTTTCCATGTACGTCATTGGCAAATAATACCATGTTTCTCTTGCAATTTGTTGTAAGAGTCCCTTTTTAATTTTTTAAAGACTACAAATTGCATTTGCTCTACGGGCTCGTGCAATTTTGTCTTTGAAAAATTTAATCGTGCTTATTAACACCAAATTGCACTCGAAATCATGTTATTACCTATGCTCAAGGGGGAAAATGTTTGGAACTTTGACCGACCACTTTTACAGGTTGGCGCAATTTCGATTTTTTCGCTTTTCGGTTCTATTTTTGTTATACAATTCTCATGATTAGGGTGCGTTTTTTCAGATGAGCTTTTTCATTTCTTAAATCCTAGCAAACTCTACCTGGTGAACGATATAGCTCTGTTACCTTTACTTATTTGAAAGTGCCAGTGCTAACAACGATACTATCTCGGACATGGACATAGAAGAAGAAACAAAAAATGAACAAGAAGAAAGCAAACTGGGAGAAGAAAGAAGAATGACGGACGAAGATTTGAAAAATGAACTGGTACTCTTGAAAAAAAAAAAGTTGAAGGAATTGAGAAGCCAGCTGCTGCATTTCCTGTCCGTATCCTGTCTCCCTCGATAAAGGACAAGAACTTGAAAATGAAAACGTTTGATGAACAGGTTTGTACTCTGTTCATTACAAAATTAATGACATAGATACCTTAAATCCTTAAACATCAATCCTTCTTCCAAAGAAGGGCCTCACCAAATTTTGAAGTAAAGTTTCCCTTCGAAAGGGGACCACCTGCCCTCCTTCTTTTTTTTTTTATAGATGAGAGCTGAAAACACGTCGAAAGGACAATAGATGCCATTTATTTTTCCACTACTCTGTCATTTTACCATATCAGGGTAATGGAAAGCGTAAAATTTGCCACATCAGGACAAAAATACGGACAGAAACGGTCCGTACGATCTTTGATTTCGTTTTGGTTTTTTGGCCATGATTTCTTTCAGGAACGAACTTCAAAACCTAAAATAATTGTTTTTGGTCATCAAGAACACTTAAATGGTTCCTTTTGTGTTGTTTTCATCTTTCACGCGAGCCTTATATGATCGGCACGATACTCAAATAAGACCGCAAAAAATGATAAGAGTGGAATGGTAACTCTTATTCGAAGGTTCAGCGTATAATACGAGCAGATATTTTGCTCATTGCTCGTGTTTTTCCTCTACTCTGTGGGGTTAGCTAGCGAAAATACTGCGCAACTTGCAAAATGTTCCCGCTTATTAGAGTATTATATATTGGCACTTCCAATTCATTACCCATACAGTTCTGCCTTGATTATTTCCGGTGGGATTCAAGAAATCTCGGTGCTTTCCTTTACCACGAAAAACCAAATTGAACGTTATTTTTTTGCCTGTCAAGAAATAAGGAGAAAAAAATGCTTTCACTCACGTGCGTTTTTAGCAAATCGACAGAAGTTTAATAGAGTTGAAATTTACGAATTCGTAATTTGAAATCACAAATTTGTTTATCGTAGATAGAAAAGCTACCAGAACATTGCAAGAATTTCAGCATTGATTTGAAAGAGAATTTCGAGACAGATGATAAGATCACAAACCGCCTCGGAATAAAATTGGGCAAATGTTTAGCTGACATCATAAAGGAAGATCAGTCCAGGAAAACTACAAAGGAAGAGGAGCCTAATGCAAGAGTAGCGAGATCATTAATCGAAAGTTTGGGGGAACCACCTGTGCATGTAAGATTCATCGGCACTGAGGTTAGTTTGTGCGGATACATGTACAAAGAGAACGAGCAATGGCGCGAGCTTTATTTCTGGAAAGGAAAAGCAGATGCAATCGGCTGGGATAAAAAAAATAAGAAGTTCGTCATTGTGGAGTGGAAGGTAAAGGAAGCCAACGAAAGTAAAGATGTTATGGCATTCAAGCCGTTCCAGTTCCAGTCCTTGGTATACGCAAAGCTTCTTAAGTTACTTCTCGAACTGAAGTACTTGCCATCAATCCTAATTGTTCTTATTGACGGTCAAAGTGGAAAGAAAGTCCACGCTGGTTTCTTCGAAGCTCCCGATAGTCTTGGGGACGAATACGTGTGGTCCGATCGGAAACCCGAACTTACCATAGAAATTCAACCTGGGTCGCTGTTTCGCGAAGGCTTGAACGAGGGCGAAGTTAGGGAAACATGCCACTGAGCAAACTCTTCTCTGATAATGCCACGTTGGAAGACTTACAAAAGTTTTTTAAAACCCCACCACTGAAAGTTATTCCTAAACACAACAATGCCTAAGAAAGAGAAAAAACTGAGTAAACAGCAGCTATCGAGTACTGATTTCATTTTGAACGTTTTCGCATCATTGGTAATGATTTCTACCAATGATACAAATACGGAGTATAACTTAATTGGTAGTCTCATTCAGTTCTGTTCAAAAAATCTAAACCTTCAAATTTAGTCTCTTTTTTCCTTTTAATTGTCATTTCTTTTTATCATTTGGTGCATACCGCGTGATAATAAGAACCAAAGTATCTGATTTTATAACTTATATCTGAAAACTTGAGTTTAGAATTACTCATTTACTCATATCTGCATAACCTAGTCTCTAGCGGACGAAAGCCTCGTTCCGTACTCGACATAGAGCTCTAAATTTAGATGCACATCTTCATTTTAATTTCGACTTTTGTTCTCAATTAGCTCCACGAGGAGAGAGGTGTGGAAACCTCTATAGCTTTGGATTTTGCAAACAATACTTTTTGCTGTCTTTTTTATTTCCATCTAGGAATTTTTTTGAGAAAAGAATATGAAATTCATTTTAATTTTTTTTTTTCAGCGAATATTAAAAAGGCTATTTACACTATTTTGGGTTAAGCCCTTTCGCGGAGAGTTGATTAGATGGGTGATCTTTTTTACAAATATTTGAAAATTCCTTTATATCTCTTGCCTGATTTGAACCTGGATAGGGGAGAAAATATTCAATTGATGATTACATTTTTACGATGTTTGTTGATAAGACAAAAATTGAAGGACTTTTCAATGTTCCTCTAAGTAAATTATACATTTTGCATCCTAATTGATGCAAGGTGTTTTTGAAGCGGCATCGAGTTCATCTTCAACAGAGTTCAAAATAACTCGTTTGCTGTGCATGTCCTTTTGCAAAAGATGCTATGAAAAAGTTGATATCGATATAAGCTGTACTCCTATGTGGGAGATGAGTGCATATCCTTTTACAAAAGATGCTATGAAAAAAGTGATTTGATATAAGCTGTACTTGTGTGGGAGATGTATTTTAAATCAGATAGGTTGAGGACCTGAACAACATCAAGTACATCTTTGACAGTGTTTAAAATGGCTCGATTGTTGTACACATCCTTTTGAAAAAAACAATGCTGAGAAAATGACGTTTGATAAATCAGGTGCTTAGTTTTTTAATGCTGAAATAAGCTATACTCCTTTGTAGGAGAAGCCTTTTAAGGATCTTAGATGGTAGTGAGTGAGTCTTTGACAGGGTTCAAAACCACTCACTTTTCAATTGCTTTGATTTATCAGCTTCGTAGCCGTATAAGAGAAGACATAATGAAAAAGACATATATTCCGAGTAAATTTCAATTATGCTAATGTTGTTTCACATATACGTGAAAGAGAATTGTTAAAACATGATTTGACCAGTCGATAAAATTAACTTACTTATTGGTTATACAAGAGTTCAAGGTAACTTTACGCAATTTTTTGTAGATCACCCTCCGTAAAAAGCACCGCGCTTTATTTACGCATGAAAGGAAGTACTCTTCCGAACAAGTATGTTTTTCGAGAACTAGAGTCTTACACAGGGTGAGAGGATTGAATATTATACCTATTGAACATGTTGCCTTCCGGACCAGGGGTCTTCGAGAGGGTTTGAGCGTTGAGGATATGCTTTTCACCCGTGCAGCGCTGACACTTTCGAAAATCAATGTGCATATGCAACTTATCATTTCTTGAAATGCCAGACGTGGCCTTAGGTTGGTCAATAAAAATAAAAATTTATGACAATTTTCCTCTTCAACAGTCTAGCAATACGATCGGCATTTTGTCCCAAACATGGTCAGAATTTTAGTTGATTTTAAGTTTCTCATGGCTAAGTTACAGTACTTTCAAAATCATTGTCCTGCAACTCGCCTTGTCTTAAGATTTAGAAAATAAATTGAACGCATCACTCGCACTTAAGTTGAGTTGCATTGTCTTCCTGATAGGTATCATATGTTTTTATATTCCTTTTTTAGCTTACAAATCTCTTTATTGTATAGCCCCGTTGTATGTGTCAGGACTTTTAGCTTATCGTAGGAATTCGTATTAACTTCCATCTCCGAGCAGTGGTGGTATCGTCGATGCTCTGCAACCCAAACTTCACTCGTCCCCCCCCTCCACCTCCACTTCCTCCATGGACTATTACTAGCGTTGCGCCGAAATCCATGCTTGATTGCAATTTCTTGGCCGGAAATTTGAACCACTAATAATTCCACATCAAACATACTTAGGCTAATTAACAATTTGGCAAGAGGAAGGAAAAAAAAAGACGTGGAACCAACAACAGTTTTAAAACAAGGTAAAGCTATCCTGTTACCATTTACCTTTACATGCAAAATTAAAACAGTCTTGAAACATTTAACCTTCACAGAGGCACAAAGCTGAACACTGAACCGGGGTGATTGATACAAGTCACACCTTCTTCCCCTCCTCTGAGTATTATTTTGAATATTTATTGTTAGGTGCATGCTCCAAATGTATAATTTGAATTGCAAATATGGTTCTACTTTCATTTAATATTTATCTTAGTTCAGTCGAGGCCTTTGCACGTGGAGCTCAGAACTTTCCTTGGTTACTTGGTTTGCTTCTAGGCTTAAAATTGCAGTTCTTGGTTTGAAAAATCGTTGACGAACAAGTCTTTGACGGCCTTAGCGTCTCGAGAACGATACAAAAAAATTTTGGGTGGTCTTGAGAGTCGCTTTTTTGCATCGTGTCACGGTCTTCGGACGAATGTTGCAGCCTGCAACGATGCACCGAATGAGTCAAGCCACGAAGAAAAGGAAGACCTGTATTTGATTACCTCATGTAAGTCATCTAGTTTAATTCTCCTGCACAGATGAAAATTAACGACAATTCCTAATGTTTTGAGACAGCTTCAGCTCACTGAAGGTAGTATTTCAGTAGCGAGTCTTTGACCCTTCCTTCACGAATTTCTAAGGACTATTCTTTAGACTATCCCAGTTCATCTTGAGGTCTTGAAAACCAAACTTTAAACATCTCAGTAAGTACTCATCCTAAAATTTTTATGCTCTAGTCTCTCTCTCTCTCTCCTTCCCAGCCTCCTTGCAAATTTTTTTTCTGTGAAATATTCAAACGTTACAATTAACACTTTAAAAATTTTCCTCAGTTGTCTTTCGTCAATTAATTTTTTCTGTTGGCTTTTAAGGTAACCATGTAAGAAGAGAGAAGACAGCCCATCATAAACAAAATCAAGATTGTGAGGCAGATACAGTCAGTACATACAGGTCAGTTTGACTACGTCTTCAATTTTTTACGAAAAGTTTGGCTAAGGTAGTTCTTATTTTTCTTGCGCACAAGTCTTTCATACTCAAAAACGGTTTACTTGGCTGGGATGTTGTACAAGGACAAAATTGACACTGTAACTCAAAATTTTAAACAAAGAAGTCACTTATTTGTCACATATAAAATCATTAGAGAAAAATGCTCACCATCTTTTTCACGTAAATTTAACAAATAAAGCCTACTAGTCATTAATTTCCAGTATCTTTAGAAACTCAGTATTAATCTAATTATTTTCAAACTTGAAACATCTCTGATTGCAGTAACGTTGTCATAGCGGGAAGAAAAAAAAGAAAAAAGAAAAAATGAAGAACGAAAAAGAGAAAAAGAAAAAAGAAAAATGGAAAACGAAAAAGACGAAAAGAAAAGAGAAAAAGTGAAAAACGAAAAAGAAAAAAAGAAAAATGAAAAACGGAAAAGAAAAAAAGAAAAAAGGAAAAAAGGAAAAGAAAAAAAGAAAAGATAAAAAAATCCAAATTTAAATGAAGCCCTGTAAGATTGTTATGACTACCCTCTCATTGGCTGTTGATTGACAGGCGATTTTCTATAGTCTTTTTCTATATTCCTTATTCTCTAATGGCGATTGAACCCCCCTCCAGCGCTCCCCCCCCCTGAAAACAAGTGATCCCAAAGTCTTCCACCCCCTTCACTCCCCGGGTTTACCTCAGAGAGCATTTCGTGATGTGGACGCAAGTGTTTTTGAGTGGTAACACAGAATTTAACGAGATTTCTTTTATCTCGAAAAAGCACAGGATTATTTTCGTCCGTAAAAGTGTTGCTGATCGATCTAACCGCCAATGTTTACGAAAGATAATCAAATTTGATGAATCAGCCAAAAGCTTTGAGTGTTCTCATATCAGATCATTAATAATCGAAGCTATTCATGATGCTAGGTTTGTACATAAACTCCCCATTTTGCTTTACAGACCTTGAAAGATTGCAAAACACCCTTCAATTCAACAAGACTGTGCAGTTGGTAAAAGGAAAAAATCTCCCAGCACCAAACCCATTGACCAATTGATTCGAACAAACTCAGGTCAGTCGCCCACCTCATCACTCGTTCGTATGCATTTTCTGACTAGAATGGCTCACAGATTTGTTTCTGCTTTTCACTTTTTCGGTTTTTTTTGTTTTTCCTTTTTTCATGACAACTTTATTACAATTAGATGTATTCTCCCCCAAATGACAAACCAATTAAAAAAATAACTGCGTTGAGTTGTAAGACACTTTTAAGCTTTAGTTCGCTTTGAAATTCCATCCAGTGTTTTCAATTGAATGTTAAAAGTAATCCGGGATTGCTTTGGTTTAGCTGTACTTGTTATGTGATTGGTTCAGAAAACTCGCACCACTTTCCCAACCAATCAAAATAAAACCCAAAACCATCACGATTTGGTCACCCGCGTTTCCCGCGCCTCAAACAGTTTGATCGTTTTATTTCGAGTTCTCATTGGCTCCTCGTGACATTATCCTTGACATGATTGGCTGTTGAATTTATGCTGGTTCTGTTTTACGACACTCAATCGAAAGCCCTTCAACTATGGTGTATTTATCAATTTTTTTTTATACTTTTCCTCTCTAGATAATCTAATTGCATCGAAACCCTCAAGAACAGAGCAAGGAATGATAAAATGAGAGTAAGACACTTTTAGATTTTGCACTTTTTGAAATTTTCGTGCTCTGCTCGTTGTGTTAAAACCTCAAGATTTATAAAGGTAACAGGACCGAGTGGAGCACAATTCCGTCTGTAATCATATGAGTGATTAACAAAATCGGACGACCAAGAAGCGGGAGTCCGATTTGTTAATTACGAGTATGATTACAGACAGAATTGGACGACACGAAGTCCTGTTACCAATTAATTAAAACTATGACATTTTTTGAGATAGAAATTAGACATCGGTTATACGTTTTCTTAAAATAGAAAATACAACATTTAACTCGGCGAGATGCGAGACAACAGTGCGCGCACATGACGCGTTCTGTCCACTTACATAGGCATGACGTGTTAACTGTCCCTTTAACTGTCCTTTTATACTGTCCAATTACAAGCATGACGCGTACACTGTCCAATTAGTGCCCAAATCAGACCGGTGATGACCAATCACGTTCAAGAATTTTGTCATAGTTCTGATTAAAGTCATATTTGCTGGTCGATTGATCCAAATTAGACATGAAAAAATAATTATGAAGCAGGAATTACAATGACTATAAGATTATACAACAGACAGAATAATTGAAGAGACTGCAAGGTGCAATAAATGTGTTTTATTTCAAATGATACAAAAACGCAAATTTTATTATTCGGAAGCCTTGAATGGCTCTTTTCACCCTTTGACCACTGAAAGTGATTACTATCTCATTTCTCCTAAAAATATCACTCCTGAATCACACATTAAGGCCACGAGAGTAAAGGAAATGATCACCAAGCTTTTGATTGTTGAACAAATTCTCCTTATCAGCACTTTAGCAAATACGTTGAGAACAATATGGAGAATTCAAATGTTGATGTTAGGCTGTAAAGGCTCAACGCTTTTCAATAGATCAACGGTTGAGTTGAGAACGAATATAATTCAGATTAACTAAAATAGGGAGAGATCTTGCACTGCACTTTCAACGGCGTGTAGAGTTGTATTTTCCCATGACCCAGCCCACCTTGATGTGGAGTGCCAAAATAATTTGTGCGTCTGGTGAAAAAGTATTGAAATTGTCGTAACTGAATTTTGGTTCATTTGTCCCCACGTTTGTATGGTCTATTTGACTCTTAAAAATTTTCCTGTCGTCTCTGCATGAAACTGAAAAATCAATTTTAGGGAGAAAGTAATTCGTAATAAAGGTGAATGAAGAGTTGAAGAAGGAAATTGCCAAAACGCTCAGCAGTTAATACAGCTCAGTGTATGCAAGGAAAATTTGTCATTAAATCATACATTTTTTTTGTTTCAGGTTCCAAAGATAATGCCAAAAGAAAAGATCATCCCAGAATACTCTGGAAGTTTATCTACTTGAAATAAAGTTTATTGTAATTCTGGCATAAAGGCATCCGTTAACGAAATTTGTCACGCCTAAAGAAAAAAGGAATATTTACGTAGGAGTAAAAACTCGCGCTTTTGAGGGGGCGAACCACATGTTCGCAAGAAGGAAAAGGAAAGATTTATCCCTTCGGTAGTTGAAACATTTTTTTGGAATGGCTCAGAAAACTGAAAAATATTTTCGAAAAAAAATTAAGTCTTTTGGCGGGAAAAATGTCTCTGGAAAAAAAAGGTCTGCGCTTTTGAATTGTGTCTTGTGTTGATCAGAAAATATACCGAGTCTTTTGGCAGGAAAAATCCTGCATTGTGCAGGTTATTTCTTCCCATCAAAAGTAAAGTATATATTTTGTTTTAACACTAGCTCCCGTTCAAATCCGTAGAAATTTTTTTCCCCTGGGCAACCCTCCATACGCGAAAAAAAGTAAAAGAGAGCCTATATTTTGACCAGTTACCAGGCCCTTTCAAAAGCGCAATTTTTTTTTAAATTGCTTGTGCACTCAGTTAAATACAAAGGAAGAGGAAAGAGACAATAAAGTAACTAAAGAATTATTTCTTTTTGTAAGTTTATTTTCAAAATGTAAGTAAAAAGTTTTTCAACACTAAGATAAAAAATACCGAAATAAAATTGATGATTTACAAACTAACTTGTCAAGGATAAATTTGTAACATTAAAGTTGATTCATAACTCACAATAACCATCAAAAAGATTCCTTTCCAGAGACTATCTTATTGAAAACGAGCAAAATTAGAAGTTTTTACTCAATGAGACAAATTAGAGGATCACTGCTATTACAAAAGAACGTCACAGGTGAGGATCATCAAAACAAATTTGTAACTTAGCACCATAGTATAATTTGGATTTTCAAAATTTAAAAAAATCGGATCAGCTTAACTCAACTTGGGGCCTCAGTATCTTGAACTGGTAAAATAACAAATATTACCCCTCACCTTGACGACTGTGTCCTATCGAACCTAAGTTTTAAACTAGGCTATGACTAGTGTTTTCTTTATGTTGACGACTGGAAATTCTGAACATGCTTCTGAGAAATTTTTAAATTCATACTGAAACCGTTTTTAGTGGTGCACATTTACAGCTAGTACCTCACAAATCAATTTTACAATTGTCCCTCTTCCATCAACTAAGTTCTCTTCGGCTCAATCTTTTCCTCCGTACTGTATACCACATTCAAAAGCTGAAAGGTGACGAAGACGAACATGTTAAAAAAGGAAACAATTTAACTTGGTTAGGATATCAATAGTTGATAGAGTAGAAGGAATATGCGTGTCCGTAATCAGTTTAACCAGAGAGTTTTTACTAAATTAATTTAACTCCTCTGTGTGTTGCGTGTTGTTTTTCTTCAACGGTATAGCGCGATACAACAAACTGAAATCAAGCTAAGTTAAGGGAGCTCATGTAGTATGGGATTATATGGAAATATTTCGGAACTCGATTCCGTATCGAGTTCAAATCTTCTAGATGAGAAATTTATTTTTGTAAGACTTCGTGTGGCAGCCCCATACTTCATGATGCATACAGTTGTTGGATAAAGAAAACAATGTCATGCCTTTGGAACTTTAGAAACTCTTTGGGAGGTCAGTTTACATCGTCAATTTAGATGATAAAACAAAATTATTTTTTTAAAGAGAAGTATAGGGTTATAAGGAAATTCTTCCCTTTGTCTTACCAAACTGCTGTTTTTGACGACGTACTTATACTTTTATGGAGAAATTTGATGTTGATCATCTTGTAGGTTAATGTATTACACAACTTTGAGTCTTTACCAAGATGATGGTTTTCACACTATGCCACTTTAATCATGATGCATTGGAAACAGCTCCTTATAATCTCAAACTATTTTAAAACAAAGCCTTAGTCCCAAGACAATCTATTGCTTCCGCCGTTGTTTTCTTTATCCAAGAATTGTATGCATAATGAAACATGGGCTGTGCAAAACTGTTCTTTTTGAAACACTTTTCAGAATCTGTCAAAAATGATTTTCAATAATATATTTTCCCATCGCAAAATATTTTTCCATTATATACAAACGATGAGGAGACCTACTTGAAATTTTTCGATGAAGAAAACGTTAACTTAATAAGATGTAAAATTGTTTCTCCGTGGTGCACACGCGCCAAAAAGTTTCCTGACATTCCGATCATTTTTTGTTGGCGACATAATTCCACATCAAAATGCGCGTGAAAAATAATTTGCACATTGTCTAATTTCAAATTAACAATGGACTTCTTTCTCAAATGGTAGAATTTACCAAGGGTCATCAAGGTAGCGGTAGCTAAAAATGGCAAAACAATTTGGTAGCCTGACTGATAAGTATAGGTAATAACATGATTTCGAGTGTAGTTTGTTGTTAATAAGCACGAGTAAATTTGTCAAAGACAACAAAATTGTAGCTTTTAAAAGTTTTACAATTGCTTATTTACAACAAATTGCACTAGACATCATGTAATTACTTATTAATAATTTGCGTGAAAAAAGCATCACAGAAAGTCACGATCGATTTTGACCGCGTGCTCTATTTGTAATTTGCATTCGTGTTACAACTTTGCACTCGTGTTACATGAAAATGCACTCATTTTCAGCCAATCAGAGGGGCGTAATTGTTACATTTACATTATTAATTGATGAACACGAATTGTATGCCTACAAAACACATGGTACTGAAAGTAGCAGACACATACACACACCAGGCACCTATTTTGAACAAGTTCTATTATGAAGCTTACCTCGTATCCTCGGCGTATTTTATTTGTCTTACTTGAATATTTCATACACAGCACCGAGTTCAACTAAAGAAACAAAAATTAAGGTCTTAACGACTGTGGTAACGTAGACCGCGTCAGAATAGTTAACCCTTTGACTCCCATGTGTGACCAAGGCAGAATTTCTCCTTACAATATCGATACAATACCAAGCAGACAAGTGTTGAGAATGTAGGAAAATACCAATTAAGGGATTGTTAGTTGATCCGATACCAAATTCTCCAAAGTAACACCAAGAGAATTGTATGACAGACTGTAAGGAGAATTACTAATGAAATCTCGAGAGGGGAAACGTCAAAGCAATTCCTTTCATTTGCCGTTTAATCAGCAATACATCACTCAAAAAAGCACTTCTGTTATATTTTCTGTCCTTTTAACACGTTTATTTTATAAGTCTTTGACGCTTCGTCGGCGAAAGAAGGCTTTCAGATTTTCGTTTCAGAGCGAGCTCTCATTCGGGTTAGAATTTACCGTCAGGCGAAGAATTTCTCTGAATCCCTTAGCAGATTCGCATAATTAATAGATAAATTTGTTCCCGAAACTGTTCATTGGCAATTTGTATGGCATTAACCTACTTGTAAATAAAAATTTTAAGGCATTTGACCCATAATGCAGGATTCATAGCTCAGCGTACAGCACCTTATTTACAAGTTGAACTTTCTCTTACTCTTACCTGTAGCTCTGTTGAGAAAAAAACTTTAAAACTATGCAGCGAGCTGCAACTTGCAGCTTGGTCCATGTCAAGTTTGCAAACACCAGCAGTTTCTCGACTATTCCAGGCAACGGCATAAACGTTAAAATCGATAAGCTGGCGAGTGAATTATTCCTTCAAGTAGCGAAACAGCTCATACCACGTGAAACCGTAAAACGTTAATGAGATGAGAAACACGTGCAAATTAGGACTCGAAAAAAAAACCTCAGAACGAGGGTGGTGTGAATTTCCATGGCGAGGCTTCATTATTTCAAAAACTTTCATATTTAATAATAGATACATTCTGTATCTTTTTAGCGTACACTTTGGAGGGAGAGTTATTTTCAGAAGGGCGACGGATGACGGGCGCAAAAGTATCGTGATAGAAAGAGATTTGGCAAGAATGAGAGAAAAACAAATGGAGTAGGTGGAGAGGTATCTTAGTGAAAACCGCAGCGATTGACGGGTAACAGAACAGCTAACAAGAATGAAACTAAGTATCTGCCGACAAAAATAATATAGACGATCACACTTCTTTGCCAGCTGTTTCTCCTAGTCTGGTCCAAGCCAGGGGAACGCAATCATACACAATGAAAAGTAAAGCAGGGATAGTCTGTCGACTATCATTGAACATTATTGTTCACATGTTTCTGGGTTACGTCTAGGAATGTAAGTTATCGCTTTTGCTCATCTCAGGTTTCCATAGCAGCAAAAAAGCATGTCTATCCCTCCTGGGTGGGGTGACAGAACATCACAGCTTAACCTCCCTCCCCCCTCACAGCATTCTGGCCGATTTTCCTGACAGTTAACATGTTCCCACTTCCCAGGGAATTTGTAAGGGGAAAAAAATGGTCATTTGCTTCATCTGAGCGGTCGAAACTTGCCTCTGTGTTTATACTGTCTCTGTTCAAAGGGTACTCTCTTAACCGTTTCACTCCCATGAGTGACCAAGACAGAATTTCTCCTTACAACATTTGTACAATATCAAGCACACAAGTGATGAGAGTAAAGAAAAATATCAGGGGATTATAAGGTGATCCAATACCAAATTCTCCTAACAAACATCACAAGAACTGTCTGGCAGACAGTTAGGAGAATTACTAATGAAATCTTGGGAGTTAAAGGGTTAAGATTTCTCCCTGTAACTCCCATGAGTTACCATGACAGAATGTCTCCTTACAATATCATCCAGTTGAGTGATGAGAAAAAAGAAAATTATCAATTAAGGGATTAAGAGTTGATCCAATATGAAATTTCCCACACAAACATCACAAGAATTGTAAGACAGTTAGTAGAGAGAATTACTCATTAGATCTTGGGAGTGACAAGATTAAGGTAACAGTACGTTTCCCAGATGAAGGATGATTTTGAGAGAAAACCTATCACTTTAAGGTTAATGCTTGATTGGATTTCAAATCATCAGCAGATGAAAATTGAATTTCATAACCCTTTAACTCTCATGAGTGACCAAGACAGAATTTATCCTCACAATATCAATAAGATATCAACCAGATAATTGATGAGAACAAAGAAAAGTTTCAATTTGGGGATAGTTAGTTGATCCAATACCTAATTCTTTGAACTAACATTATAAGAATTTGATGGTTAACATTAAGGAGATTTACAAATTTGATCTGGGAGTTACAGGGTTATATATGAAAAAAAAAAAAATCTGTGAGAGAGAGAGAAGTTTGATAATGCGATCTTAGGAAATAAAGGGTTTATGACCTCACTAAACACCCAACAAATAGTTATGAAACAGTATCAAAATAACAAGTTTTATTATTTTTACTGCTCAAACTGAAAAGCTTGTCACCATTCATGAATTATAGCCTTAAAATCAACATCTTAATACATTGCATATCACATACACAAATCAAATTGGACTCTTAAAATAATCCTGATCTCTCACAGATTTCAAAGCTTGAACTGCAAGAGATTTGGAAATGGCTCATTATTTCACCATGAGTGGAATCTTTCAGCATTTATCAGAATTGTGGACCTGACTTTTATGTCCAGTGAAATGGTTTGAAATATCAGTAAAAAATATGTGATTACTGTCATAAAGCTGGTACTATTTGCAGATACAATTTCAAACCTTTCAAGCCTAAAAGGAAGAACATCAAACAGATACAAAAATTATTCTACAAAATTTATCCTAATCGTTCTCATAACAGTTTTTATCCTGCTACAGGTGAAAGAGTTAGCAAATTTAGAGAAAACCACTAATACATATGATAAAATTAATGTTGTCTTTATCTGATGAACTCAACAGAACCCTGGTATAACATGACTGCATGGCAATCAAACTTAGCTGTTTTACATCAAGATCAGTTTGATTAAAAATTTTTGGCCATCCTACTGTACAACCAGAACAGTAAAGCAGTGTGCCTTGTAATCATGTCACACAAAGGCCACAATTGTGGTAAAACACAATTAGCCACTAGGATTCATTCACTTCAACTAGAGTGGCAAGTTTCTTTTATACACTTGTCAAATAATAAACATTTCATGTCACCACAGGGCTATGCATCCTTAGTTACAGCAGCAGAGCCACCTTACAGGGATTGAATACAAGGATGCCTAATCTCACCACTGGAAATATGCCACACGTGTTGAGCAACTGTGCATGGTTTTTAACAAATTTTATACTAATAATAATTCAAGTTAATAACAATAACTACAGAAGCATTCTTTCTGCTCCAGAAAGAAATTTTCTCTCATCAGATTGTCTATCCAAAGAGGATGGGAAATGTTTCAACAAGTTAGTATTGAAGCAAAGTTTGGGCAAGGAGATTTCATTTTACAATATACTGCACGGACCCTTCTTTCTCCTCTTTTTCTTTGTCTCCAGTGCAGCTTTTGTAGCCATCTTAAACACATCTCTAACACCTTCCTTAGTCTTGGCAGAGCATTCCAAATAGGCAAAACCACTGATTTTTTCACAAATTGCTGCCCCCTCTTCACTTTTGACTGGCTCTTGTTTCATCTTGTCTAATTCTCTCTTTGTAGCATCATCATTTCTCAGATCTTTCTTGTTACCAACCAAAATGATTGGTACATTTGGGCAGAAGTGCCTTACTTCAGGAGTCCATTTTTCAGGGATATTCTCTAAACTGTCAGGACTATCAATGGAGAAGCACATCAGGATAACATCAGTGTCGGGATAAGACAGAGGTCGTAGCCTATCGTAGTCTTCTTGTCCTGCTGTATCCCATAATGCTAATTCTACTGTCTTGCCCTCAACTTCAATGTCGGCGACATAATTTTCAAAAACTGTTGGCACATACACTTCTGGGAACTGATCTTTGGAAAATACAATGAGGAGGCAAGTTTTTCCACAAGCACCATCACCCACAATAACCAACTTCTTCCTAATGGCTGTCATGACTACTCCTCAAACTGTAAAGAAAAAAAGTTGTATTCTGTAAATCACTGTTCCTCTTTCAAATTAAAAAAATTCAGGGGTTGAGTCACACTGCATAACAAAAAATGTTGCAACAAAAATATCTGAGAAAATTGGAGAAAGGCATAGACAGTATCTGTAAAAAAGTACTAGTTGGCAAATTTGATACCTCCCACCCCTAAGAAACATTGACCAATGAATTAAGAGTGACAAGTTACCACTGATTACCGAGCTTCACTGAGAGCCAAAATGAGGACAACCATAGTCAAGAATTTGGCTTAACATTACAGATTCACATAGTCCATATAAATTTAGGGCAGTGCAGCATACATGCTGCTTTCCAAACTGAATTTCTTAAACCCCTGACAAAACTTATCATAAAGAAGGAAGATATGATTTTCATTTCTCAACATTACAAATAATTTTCCAAGCAAAAAGTGACTAAAACAGAAATTTTAGTGAGTGGTTAAAATCAGTCACAGCCTCTGATTTCCACTGCTTCTTTCTCTGCTTTTTGCAAATTTCAATCGGGTTTTGTTCAATGCTAATGTACTGCTAAGTAAACAGAAAATCATTTAATTTCTTGTGCAATAACCTCAGCAGTACTTCTGTGGGGTAGAATTCATGGTGCTGATTGTACTGCAATGATTTTATTTAAGGCCCTTGTTCCATTAAATGCCTTCTTTCGAGGAAGCACTCCCCCCAATTTTATTTTCGTTTTGCACCCCTATCCTAATGGGCACCTGTATCACAGCTGGGGTCACAGTAACCCTACATGTATGTTAGATAACACAGATTGAAATCAACTATGGTTTATCTTTCATTACTTGTTCATTACAACCCCTTCCTAAATCATCATCAAAGTTTTATTTTGCACTTTCTAATGTTTCCCCTAAAAGAAACCAACACCCTGTCCCTACTTAGCACAGTCCCTTGAAGTACCATAAGTAAATATGCACCCTGTGCGCCAAATCAAATCATCACAGTAAATGCCAGATGGACACTGGAAGTTGTTAAATAAGATTTGGATTACTTATATTTCAAATCCCCTGATTAATAGAAAAATTTAAGGACAACTTAAGTCCCAAAATAAGTTTTTTTTATTTTACTTGCCAAATATTAGAGAACATCTACATTCATAAATTACAACCTTAATCAACAACAATGCAAATATTTCAACTTCTCAATTACAGATAGTGTTTCTCTTAGTCATCCCATTCATTTAAAAGTTCTTTTGATTTTGGCCTCAAGTTTGGAGAAGCTTTGAAAATTCACAAAATACTTTTATTTAATGGGTCACTTTAACCCTTTAAACCCTAACATCAGTATGTATATTCTCCCTTCTATTCTCCAATCATTTCCTAAGGTGTTGACAAGGAGAATTTAATGATCATCAGCTTCTTTAGTTGGTGATTACATCCTCTATTCTTATGACCCTAAAGCTACATCAGGGGTGAAAGTGAAGGGAGAAATTGAATGCTTTTCACTTTAAGGGATTAAAGGGTCAAAGTTTCCTTATTGAAAATGAAAGCATCCTTCATCAGAAATTATCAGACGAAGGCTCTCATTACGATACACTATTCATGACAAAACAATTTTAAGGATCTTAGAACATCAAACTAAAGGAACAAAATCACAAATATGTATTAAGTTACTGGTGACAAGTATGTATAATTCTAACTTGACATGTACTCTGAAAGACACACACAAAGTCAAACAATAAACTAGCCAGCGAAGAAAAAGTTCTTTGTACATTTTTCAATTAACTACATTTTACATCACCACCAGGGCTTTGCATTTTATCCTCCACAAATCAACTTTTACCTCATGAGAAAGAAGACATTTAATCACTTATTCTATAATCTAAAGTAGAAACAAATAAGAGGAAAATGGAGGACAGCTAGTTACACCCTTTAACTCCCAGATCCAACTAGTCTTTCTCCCAACTGATAGCCACATATTTCCTAGTAGATAAGACAAGAGAGACTTGTGTTTCATCAAGATAACACCCTATAGCTGATAAGCTTATGCATTCTTGTAACTTGTTAAGAAGATAATATATCGGAATTACAAGGAAAAGTTTCATGCGAGTCACACTAGGAGCCGAAGGGTTCAGAGTTCACACACGACAAAGAAACTTTTTTAATACAATAAAAATGAAAGCATGTCTCATGAGAACTTGATGGGAGCTGGAAGTGTGAGGTAAAGTTTGGAAGAAGCTGTGACAGATTTCAGTACTGCATTTGATAGGTTGGTTAGCTAGCACAAGCTCCCTTTGTCAATCTTTTGAATATGTGTGCAGAAAGGCAAAACCAAATTATGCACTTGATAAAAAAACTAATCTAACATTACGGTTCAACTAAACAAAAAATTGAGGCAGATGAAGAAAGTTCTTTATCATTCTGATTTTTGTCTTGATCAACAAAAGGATGGTAAAAAAAAACAGCAAAGCTCTGAATAACATGATCCAAACTTTATAATATACTGCATTTCCCCTTTTTCTTGCCTCCCTTTTTCTCCAATGCAGCGTGGGTGGCTGTTTTGAACACATCTCGAACGCCCTCTTTTGTTTTAGCAGAGCACTCTAGGTATGCATAGCCACCTATTTTGACACAAACTGACTCTCCTTCTTCAGTTTTTACCGGCTCTTGTTTCATCTTGTTTAATTCTCTCTTTGTAGTATCATCATTTCTCAGATCTTTCTTGTTACCAACCAAAACGATTGGTACATTAGGGCAGAAGTGCCTTACTTCAGGAGTCCATTTTTCAGGGATATTCTCTAAACTGTCAGGACTATCAATGGAGAAGCACATCAGGATAACATCAGTGTCGGGATAAGACAGAGGTCGTAGCCTATCGTAGTCTTCTTGTCCTGCTGTATCCCATAATGCTAACTCTACTGTCTTGCCGTCAACTTCAATGTCAGCCACATAATTTTCAAAAACTGTTGGCACATACACTTCTGGGAACTGATCTTTGGAAAATACAATGAGGAGGCAAGTTTTTCCACAAGCACCATCACCCACAATAACCAGCTTCTTCCTGAGGGCTGTCATGGCAATTTATCAACCTGAGGAGTCAAGTTTGAGAATAAATGTAAAGTTGTTCAATATAAGTATTACAATTTTTGTCTAAAATACCCATACAAAATGCTGTTAACTCAACAGAATGACAAATTTGTTTGTTGAGTGGAATTTTACGAGACATTCTTTGTCAAATTTATCATGGTATGATCTCAACCGTTGGATAATTTGAGTAAAGTTAAAAGTAAGCTTTAGTAAAAATTAATTGTGTGACTACTTTGAACTTGGAACATTCATTGAAAAACTCAAGGATTGTTTAAGACTATAAACCAAATCTGAGCCAATACTCAATAGACAATGATAATTTGAGTAGCAAGTTAACAACTTGCTTCTTTAAAGGTAACTAAAAGACTGATTCAAATTTCTGAGACACCAAAGAAAACAATGATAATTCAGTAAATAATACTTGACTAATTTATTACACATTTAAAACTGATACTTTGACAAAAGGCAGACAATACATAACATCACTAAGGTAAACAGAAAAACTTTCCACTACTTCACAAACTGTATTTCCCAAACAATCTTATACAGAAGTACTTTGCTTATTTCATGACAGTATGACTTTTAAAGGGCTTGCAAACATTGTAGATTTGACAATGACTTATCAACTAGATTCCAATTTTCTCCATTTTCTTCAGACTTCAATGAAATCACAAAAAAAAAGGAAAGACAAACCATACAATGTTTGTCTTAGAACCACATTTCAACCAAAATGAACCACTTTCTATAATCAATAAAGTTTTTTGTTCCTAGTTTTGTGGAAAACATTTGACAATTTTTAGCTGTCCTAACAAAACTTCTTGCCCCACCTACAACATAACTGGCAAGAAATAGACCTGAATAGCAGCTGATAGCATTTTTCTTGCATTTACATTATTGCAAACAATAAGCACATCTATTGCAGAGATTCAAGTAAAAAACATGCTCTTGTTCTTTCACATCTATTGTGGTATTTACTTCATAAACTGCCTATCCATTTTGTTCCAATAACCAGAAGTCTCTGAAAATAATGGTATAAATAGATTCAGCAAGTGATTTTGGCATGCTAATGTTCCAATTTTTTTTCCAATAAGTCCAAACATCTCTCTAACAAAAATGTTTTTAAAAGACTAATTTGCACCTGACACTTACATAAAAATCAAAACAAGAAGCAATGATCAAAAGTACAAAAGATATAGACACTATTAGCTGTCTATTGTTACAGATACCTAAAGTACCTAAACACATTTTCACTTACAAAACATACTTGTGTCTGGTGTAGACAAAAAAAAAATTGCTTCAGATAAAATGCACTTTGAAATTCTGTGCAATAAAATGGTATTCTCTTAAAAAAACATTCCCCGCAAAAAAAAAACACAGGTGAAAGGTTACTGGGAGTGCTTGTTGAAAACCAAGGGTATGACACAAAACTATACAATGTGCACAGCCCAGTAAACACTTTATCAAAAAAAAGACAATAACAAGTAAACATGCTATAAGTATAGATATCACATAAAGACAATCATATCAATCTAGCTACAACACTTACCTTCTCTAAGTGCAAACGCCAACAGGACAACCGTAGCTGGGCGATGTTTACCACTGTAACTGGCAACTTGCAATACAAGCGACTAGTTCCTTGTAGTTCTTTTTTACGAAACGTTTCTTGATACACTTTCTTAATGAGGATGAAATCTTGGGAATTTTTCGATTGGACTTGTATAGATGTAGGTACAATGCAAGCTCTCACACAAATCTTTAGCATTATAAGTCATAATTTAAACATTTTCAATTTATTTACTAAACCAATAAAATTAAATCCTTTAATTTTAACAATTTGCTTAAATTTTCCGAAGAGATACTCAGAGATATTGAGCATATCCATTTGCAATCGTGATAATCTTTACACTTACACTGTTTGATGTAAAATAGTAGACAATGCATCAGACTTGAAATAAGTATTTTTTTCCACTGAGAGATCAGAGAGTTTGCTCTTACTATCAAAATAGTTACATAACTCAACCTTGGTAAATCAGCTACAGCGGCAAATATCACGTATTTTCTAGTATTTATTAAATTCAACTCGAGTCGTGTTCGCCTACAACAGGAACTCTATATCACTACTTCATTTGAAAATGCTTTCTTTTAAAAACAACTTTATTAAGTCGTATTTTGAGACAGTTTGTTGGAGAATTGTGAATGGTTAAATTGAATTAAACGAATTTGATGATACTTGGCGAAGATGTGTCTATTAAACAATTTCACTCCTTTCAAACGTGAGGTAAGGGTGTAGCGGAAGAGCGAATAAAACGTAGCATTCATTTATAGAATCAAAAGTGGAATTCTTTTTTACCCCAAATCAAGGTATCCTTAGTAATTCAGTAAATTCTTGTCTCACGAAATTGATCAACCCACAATACGCTCAAATGATGTTGAGTGAACATAAACCGAGTCGTTTAAAAGGAGTAAAGCTTCTCGAGGTACGAAGTTGATAAGAATAGGAGACCAAAATCGAAGAATTTTCTTTTTCAGGATAACGCAGCAACTCCAAAGGGCGAAAGGGCCGTTTCTAAAATGTGCCGGTTCGAACTTTGCAAGTTTCTGACCCCTGATCCATCGAAAGCGCCCAACAATACGATTGTAATTGTTGAAAATGTTTAACACAAATTCGTAATCTTCTCATGTCAGGTAAAATCAGGCATTTTAGCTAGTAACGGATTAAATCTGAAGAAGGTTGGTAAAGCAAATTCAAAAAACAACTGAACAGTAGCTAGAAATCGCAGCGCTGAAGCAGAACACCTTCGCAAATAGCTGTAGCAAAAACACATTTGTAACAGGCACTTTTGAATGCAAGATACGAGACGGAGCTCGCCAAAAATCGGAGGATTAGTTTGAGAAATACGTTAAGGAAACCCAGAGAGTTACAATCTTTGGGTTGATTTGCGGGCTGAATGAGGGATAGATTGGGAAATTACATCGTAAAGAATTTGCTATCTTGGTCGGTAAGAGTCGCAGTCGCATTCGGACGAACAGAGCACACTTGACTCCATTAACATCCCAATCGATCAACCAGTGCACGATCTCCAATCCTAAAGTCTTCAATAAGTAGTATTTTAAAACCTACCTTTCCAAAACCAAGAGAACTGTCCCTTGCTATGAGCCAGAACCGATGAACTCAAAAATCAGGAAATGGCCGAGAGTCGATCACCAAGCATTCAAGCCACACCTTCAATTTATCCTATAGGGGGGTTTGGGTATTTCTCACCGCTGACCTCACACCACACTGCGGTAAATCCCATGGGCTTAACCTCGGCGCTGATTGGTCGAAATACAATAAATTTTACACCTCAATGAATCCAGCCAATTGCTTTCCGTGTTTCATTCCAGAGCAGACATATATAAACATATGCTCGACCAATTTGGATAGATTTCCATCGGTCAGTAGTAGCGGAAGATAATTGTTTTATCCAATCATAAAGTCTGCAGAGGTTCCAGATAGATAACTGATTTCAAATTGCTAATTGTAATTGAAGTTTTCGTCTAAAGCCTTAACGACATTCTTGGCATACCACATTTCGTATGTACTTATAACGAAGCATTTCATTGGATAGCATCTTGTACTAAGAATAGCCCTAGATATAAATCCGAAGAAATTGCTTTCAGATGCATTCTGTAACCATCGCCGAGTTAGAAAGCCGGGTGAACTCATAAAAATCAAGAAATTTAAAAACATTGCAATAAGTTCTACCATACAAATACTTAACTTGATTCGACCTCAAACGCATCTTATTCAAACTTTTCATGCGAAAATTTACTTGTTCTTCATTTCCGGTGGCGTGACAGTCAGGATATGCAATGACGCATCTCAGAGCGTTCCTTCTTTGTTGAAACAAGTTTTCCTTCAAGAATGCTCGTTTGACTTCACTGATAAAAAAATGCTGCGTCAATTCGAAACTTTTATCATGAAAATAGCCACAATTTTGACCACATCTTCGACGGACGTCACGGTTTTTGCGTATGTCACGCAACTGTGGTAATCGGTTAACCAGTCTGTCACCATCAATTCTACCTTTCAGTGTATTTGAAAACCATTGCAGGGAATACGCATTTGTAGTGCAGCCTTCAAACTATCAACAATACATTCAAGGCACTTTTTATTTGATGCTATATAGAGGTCACTCTCTCATTTTCGAGCCAAAAAGTTCGCCATGGAAACTTTCGTTTACCAAACAGCACGGCGGGGGGTGTTTTGACCACGCGCAGCGACTGGCACCCGGTGAGCGCCTGTGTGTCGATATATTCAGATTAAATTTTTCAAATAATTAAAATATCTCTAGAATCAATAGTGGGTGGAAAACTGATACAAAGGAAAAAATTGTTCGTTTACGTCGCTTTATGTTCATAAACGGTCTCTGTAACAAGGAGCGAATGATTCTAAGATGTCTGGCTGTTGGGACAAAGGTAATTAAAGGAAAGTTTTCAAAATTGATGTCTTACATAGTTTTCTCGTTTACCCTAAAAGGCAAAATTTTTTAGTAAGGTTACCTGACGCATGCGGAAAATTTAGCCTTGGGTGTAAAAAAATAGAGTGTCCTTCGCAATCTCTGAAAATATCACTTTCTTTGACAAAACTCCATCTCTTTCGGTTGTTTCTTTCCATTTTGAAGCACCTTTTTGTTATCCTTCCAGACAAGTACTGTTTGGTTTCCAGTTCACCTCTAGGTAAATAATATATTACAAGTTCCAATGTTATTTTGGACGAAGTAATGTACAGACAAAAGTGTAGCAGCCAGAGGGGAGAGGTAACAATGAGATCTGGGGTGTCTAAAGGTCAACAGAGATTTCTACAAGAATAGCTGTCTATATTCTTTTTTTCCTTTTAAATACCAACTTCACTACAAATCTAAAGTATAACTGTACAAATTGAATATCTTCTAGCATCTAACTTAGCATGTACTAAGCTAAACTGAAGGTAATAAACACCCATAACTACATGGTATACAGATAGATAGCATCACATTTTAATACCACTGCTAGGTTGAACCATGCATAAATAAACTGCATATCAACTCAGCTCCTTCACATAAATGAAAGAATTGAAGAGTTTGGCTCCAAATCTGATTATAATCAATCAAGAAAGAAGGTACCATTTCCTCTCACTGAGCTGCATGTTCTGTTTTCCATGAACTACACTGACAGGAAAAGTTTTCAAAGAATTGTCATGACCCTTCAACCCATGAATAGCAATTACAATGTCTGATCACACTATAAAGTTGGTCATAAAACAACAAGTTTAAGATTGGATATCCAGAGTAAAAATTACAATGATATCCCAACATGTTTGACACATTAGGATGTACATCTGGTTCCAGACAATGGAGAGGTCAACATCAACTTAGCTCCTTTCAGGGTGATATTCAAAGGAGAAAATAAAATTGACGGGAGTGTTTTAAAAATACCATTTGCCTTAACCCTTTAACCCTTCAATTCCCAGAAGTGATTAACATGAATCTTCTCCTTATAATATCCACACATTATCCAACAAACAGGTTATAAGAATACTCAAACTTATCAGGTAGAAGTTGTTATCTTGATCAGTGACTAAATTCTTGTAACTTATTTACAAGAACAACATATAGGAGCTAGAGGGGAGAATAAACATCAAGATCCTAGAAGTTAAAGGGTTAATAGGAGTGCAAATTACAGTGAGTATGGGGAAACAAATTCACAATTTTGACAACCACCCTTAATATGGTGTGACTTAATACAAGGTCAACTGCACCTATGATCTACTTGCTGTCTGTCAGAGATGAAAACTGAGATATACAGTGAATGATAAGTGACCAAGACAGAATTTCTCCTCACAATATCAATACAATATCAAGCAGACATGTGATAAGAATAAAGAAAAATAGTAATTAGGAGATTATTAACTGATTCAATATCAAATTCTCCAAACTAACATCACAAGAACTGTACAACAGATAGTGAGGAAAATTACTAATGAGATCTTGGGAGTTAATTAACCAGTCAACCTGTGTGACTCCTTAATACAGGTTAGACTGTAGAACAACTCTGTGCTAATAAAGGGCATGTTGAAGTCATAATTGCATTTATAGTTTCTTTTAATCAAAAGCAATTTTTGTTAAACAGCTTGCACCTTTTTCAAATGTGGCAGTGAGTCAGATAGGAGACCGCAGTACAAAGATCTGGCTGGATTTCAAAGCCTTTGTTCCACTGATGAGTGTGGGTTGACTCCGCCAACTCCTCAGCTTTGTAAAACAGTTTCTTTTCAAAAATACTGTCGACCAAAACCACAAGGTTTTTCGTACCCTTAGGGAGCTCAATTGCAATACAAAAACATAGATCCCTGATAGTGTGACCTTTGATCACACTCGCATAACGCTGGTAACTAAAAGAACAAGACTCTACCACAAAAAAAGTGTCCTTTGACTTTATTCACAAACAAATGTGTTCCACACATTGGTACAGAATACAACATGGCTGGGTTAGGACAAGTATACTGAATCATCAGTAACCTATGCCAGACTTTCCATCAGCTGGACATAAAATTAGCAATAAAAGAATGGGTAAAAAAATAGAGGTGTCAAAGGAAAAAAAGAAAAAAGTAGTTAACTAACCACCTAGCATCAGTCCCCCACAATTTCACTTGTCTCCATTAATCCAAAAGATTGGAACAGGATGTAACATCAACACAACAAGATACCACCAGCATCCTTAAACCCCTTATCCCTTAGAGTGATTAGTACCTAATTTCTCTTTACAATATCACCTCTGAATCACACTTTAAGTTAATGAGAATCAAGGAAATGATCACCAACTAAAGAAGTTCTTGATTGATAATCAATTTCTCCTTGTCAGCACCTTAAGAAATGTATTGAAAGCAGTAGGGAGAAAATGGATACTGATGAAAGAGCGAAAAAGGTCAATAGCTATCTAATATTCTGCTTATCATAGAGATATTAATCAGAAATTCAAATCAGATACAATTTCGATACTGATCTAGAGTACCTGGAATGCAGTGATCACCCACACATATTTTTTTTCCCAAAGAAATGTCATGTAAATGTTTGATACAAAAATTATTACACATTTTTCCTTTGCAGGAATATTTTGGTTTTTATCACAAAACATTAAATCAAATCTCAGCGATGGAGGTGAAATAAAGCAAAACCCTTTGGGGAAACAACAAATGGCATATTGGTTAACACAATTACCTAAAAATATATTGATATTTGCATCAGCAAAAGACAGAAATAGAACATTTACAGCTGGATCTTTCCTGCATGAGGTGTGAATATCAAATTTTAGAAGGAGACATCATAGCATTCCACCAAAAAATGACTGTATTTAGCTTTTCATTGGGTTTGCATTAAATAAGAAGAACAAATATTTTTTCAATGACTAAAAGCTGTTTTATTAATACAATAATGGCAAAAATTTTTTCAAAGATCTACTTATAATTGCTTATAGAAAAAGAAAACGCATGAATGCACTTATTAATACATTATATCATTTACCTCAAACAAAAATAACTCATATCATGGGATGATAATCAAATCTGTACTGTTTGCTATACTGTTCACTTAACATGCAAACTCTGAAGTAATTAACAAACTGATAATTACATTCTATCTGATCAGTTATTGGGATTGATAACCATGAATGACAAACAAACAGACTGGATCAAAATTCGCCAATCGTAAGTGAAGAATTTTTTGATCCATTGAAAATATTACTCTTGTTTCAAGCAAAAAACTATAACTTTATAATCAAACGGTTCAATTTTTAATAAGTTTCAGGTAAACTGGCTCACCAGATGTTTCAAACTATGCAACATTTCATTTTTTTCTTCTTTGCTTTGGTATCAAGGGCAGCTTTTGTAGCTGTTCTAAAAACAGCTATCACTCCATCCTTTGTTTTTGCCGAACACTCCAAGTATGCATACCCATTGATCTTTTCACACATTTGAGTTCCTTCTTCATGTTTGACTGGCTCTTGTTTCATCTTTGCCAATTCTTTCTTGACGTGTTCATCATCTCTGAGATCTCTCTTATTACCAACCAAAATGATTGGGACATTTGGACAGAAATGCTTCACTTCAGGAGTCCATTTTTCAGGGATGTTCTCCAAACTGTCAGGACTATCGATGGAGAAGCACATCAGGATAACATCAGTGTCGGGATAAGACAGAGGTCGTAGCCTATCGTAGTCTTCTTGTCCTGCTGTATCCCATAATGCTAACTCTACTGTCTTGCCATCAACTTCAATGTCAGCCACATAATTTTCAAACACTGTAGGCACATACACTTCAGGGAACTCATCTTTAGAGAACACAATCAGTAAACAGGTCTTGCCACAGGCACCATCACCCACAATCACAAGTTTTTTGCGTATTGCTGCCATCTTAAATCATCAATCTAGGGAAAGAACTGTACAGTCAAGTTAGTCAAATCACATTTTCTGCATCTCCAAGAAAAATTTGCTATAGCTTCTCCAGATAGGCATTTTCAATCTACACTTATATTGCACAGCTTTCAAGTTCTTCATCATATAGTCACTGTGTGATTTTTTAAGTGAAAGTGGTCCTGGAATGGTTTGTAACCTTTTACACTTAATATCAATATGCATAATTTCCACAATGTCCCCTATAAATTTCTTAAGGAGCTGACAAGGAGAATTTGTTGAAATATCCATAGCTTCTTTATTTGGTGATTATTTCCTTTTTTCTCATGACTTTTATGTGTGATTCAAAGGTGATATTGTTAGGAAACATAAGATGCTGGTCAAAAAGTGTTTATTGGTAAGTGGCTGATACTTCATTAATCTGAATGGTTCTTTTCAATATTTCCACGTTATTGTCTCATTGTTGAAGTGTCAATCACAAGCAGTAACAGATGATTTTTTAAAATCTCCCCAAGGTAATCTCACCATACAAGAGAAAGAAACTATAGTGCTGTGTTGATGGGGAGTATTAAAGATAACTTTACTATATCAAATGACTTGATGAAGTGAATTGGTCATGGTAAAGTTTCTAAAGCTAACATTTAGAGTGTTAGACCTTCACCAGAGAAAAAAGTGGAATTGTGTGTGATGTACAATTTATGTAGAGAAAAATTAAGCTATGGTATTGGTGGGAACACAGTAGCAGAAAATACACAATGCAATCTTCCACCAATAGCGTGGCTCCATCTTTCTGCAACAAACTGCACACAACCCACTATTCACTGCTCGACACATCAGCATCAGCATGAAAATATTTACAGTGGCCAATTTACATTATCAACTCAGTTGATGAAAACCAACTTATGTCACCAGACCATAAATAATTTGAACCAAGATCTTTGGTGTGAGAGTAGTCCCAAAAACTGCTTTTTTCAGGAGCAGTGACTAACATTACCACGGATTTTGGAATTCCCTTAGAAAAAGTTGATAATTTTACTATTTTCAGCAATGTTAGTGTTGACATCACCATCCCAAGTCTCTTGTTTGAGTTCAGTTGGTCTGGTGTAAATCAGCTGGGTGTCGAAAGGTCATCTGAAAATTTTTCTTTATTCACATTCACAGAAAACTTGATTGAATCTTTCAAAAACATTTTACCAACCAAGATGCTCGACTACCAGACTTTTAAACTCTCCTTAAGTTTAGCCAATCAGATGGAACCAGCGAGTTAAGAGTGAAAGGAAAGAAAAGAGGACATGATATTGGAATCTCTTCAAATTGGTATAACGAATCCAATAAATTACATAACACCATTTGAAAAATGAAGGTCTGATGACGGAATGAGCGGCGGACAAACACTAAAATACTCGCACAACAAATTCAGATGAGCGCTTCTGTGACCCAAAAAATACTTTTAACGAAATGGCCGCCATTTTCAAGTTTGATTCACGTTGCATATTTGGCAATGAGACCCTGATCTACGATTCTAAGCTTTCTTTTAGATGTAATTGTGTTTAATAACCTACCTTTCAAATGTAAAGAACACTGTCCCTTATCGTGGGTTTAGAATACTCCCGACAGTGACTGGAACGAAGGATCAACGAGCGACAACCCGTTCTTCTGCTACAGTGTAGTCGGGGGGGTTCTGCTATTCTTACCGCTGACCTCAGTTTACACGTCGATCACACGTGTTTTCCAAAAATAGACTTTAGATCTTCGTGATCCTTCAAGGGGATGCTGGTTCGCGCAAAGTTTCTTTTTTCTATTTTTCAAGATTGATTTTTTCTCTATTAATGCCAATAGGCAAAACATGAGCTAATGTAATCCAGTTTTGATTGTATCAATAGTGTATTTCGGTTCTGTGCTGTCAATAAGCGATGCGTGACATTCGACTAATACCCCATTCACACCAGCAAAACATGTTTTGTTAAACTGGTTTTCATTGAATGAAAATTATAAACAGAGCACTGAAAAACTTGATTTTCCATTGGATTCAAGTACTTGCTAACTTGCATTTCCAATGTGCTACATTCAAGTCAAAAATATTCGGTTAAATAGTTTCTAAAAAGAAAAAAAAAATTAAACTGTGTTTAACAAAACAACTTTTAAACATGTTTAAGCTTTGGTGTGAATGCGGCATAAGACTTCCCGTGACAAGAACTGTTCGAGAACATGTAATCGGAAACATAGAGACAAAAAAGTGCCTAATACGATAAGTACGTTGCGATTCCGAACTAAACTCAGACATTTTTGAGACGGGAACAGATATAGGTCTTTCCTTCTGTTCATTCTAGAATTTTCTGAGAGAGAGATATATTTATATCGGAAACAAGTACGCCCCAACTTGAAACCGCCCCTGTTGTGATATGACACGCTATAGGCTATAACCCTCACTTGACTTCAAAAAGTTTGAAGTTTTCAGTATTTGGGCCAGGCTAAGTATCAGCCCCAAAAAAATTATCAACGCTTTCTTCATTTTTGCCCTGATAAACTGTTTCCTTTCATGTCCTTCATGATACAGCGTTACGCAAACCCTCTTGTAGAGTAAGTCATAGTAGCAACTGACAGTTCAGCGATGGTTCCATCAACACGAGGTTGAAGTTTTATTTAACCCTCACAACAGGCGTAATCTTTGTACGCGTCCAGACAAATATTACAGCGGCTGTCTGGTAAAAAGACACTAAAACGCCTCCTACTTGAGCAAAAGAATACAAAGTATTTTTTGCGAGGCTTAATTTACATGAAAACCAGGAATTTTAATCAGGAGGATGAGGGTCAGAGGATTAGGTAGACCCGCCCAAAATCGTCAACTTTCGTAATCATTTCATCGTTATTACTATCATTCTTGGTATTAATATCATTATTAGACGATAACTCTGCAATCTTTACCACATAGAATGCAGATTATTGTACCGTGATGAATAATTTAGGTAGTGTCGAGAAAATTTTTTTGAAAAAAATTTATCTTGCGTGACCAAACAGATAACGAAATTTTTTTTATTCATCAGTAAGAAAATAATAAATTTATTATGGATTACAAGAGTAAGATAAACATTTGGAGCTTATTACTGTAATTCTTGTCGTTAACATTTCAGAATAATTTCTTTGAACAATTTAGAAAATATTCGGTTAGTAAACATGCAATTGGCGAATGGTACCTCAGTTTAAAAAGTCACGGGTCTTCCATGATGTTACAGCCGGCAGCCTGAAGTATCGTATTTCTTTTAAAGCTCTTAAGTCTGAAGATTTTTTTGTGGCTGAGGGTCTAAAGCTTAAGTAGCTTAGAGTAATCGCTCTGAGCGACAGATGTCTGTATATGACCATTGTCGCTTAAAAGTAATACGATGTAGAGGTTATATAGAGCAAAACTGAAAGCCAAAGCTTAACACGACATTTCGAACTTCTCCTTTAGCCTGCGGGTAAGCTCTTACGGTTTATAATGACTTCGCCCCCTTGGAAGTTCGCCCACTATCACCTTTGCGAGTTCGCCTCTAACGTAAAGACAAATTCGCTCCCACCTTAAACAGTTCGCCCCCAAATCTTTCGACTCGTTTCCATATCACAGAACTTATAAATTTCCACTCGAAAACATGATATTTTTGCGACCAACATGCAACAGGGAGCGAACTCACAAATAACGGTGGATGAGGGCGAAGTTTTGATGGGGCGAATTCACCAGTTTAATACTCCTTGCATCACACCTGTGAGTATTTTTTACCTCTTGAATGACACCCTCAACTCTTGCATCGATAGGATTGCATGTTATTACTCAATGTGAAGTATTTAGAATCTACTTGTCTTGAAATACCGGGCATTTCTATACGTTCTTAAGCTCTTGTATGAAAAACATTTTTGCGTTCTCTGAAACAGAGTTTGAACACCCACCTCTCTGTCCAAAATTCGTGGATCCGCCTCTGCCAACCAATCGAGGTGGATCAATGTCGGTGTTTGATCAACTGCACACCTACCCCTCTCCTAACTCACAACAGTCAACTGATAACAAGTTAGGGTCAATGTTGGGCTAGGGGAGGGGTAGGTGCGTAATCGCTGAGCTCCTGGCATTGATCTAGAAAAGCAATAACTAGTTACAGAATTCCACATTTATATCTACGGCAACGACACGTTGTTTTCAGCGAGACCTTAGCAGCCGTTTCAAATACATCTCTAACTCCTTCCATTGCTTTAGCAGAACATTCTAGATATAAATGACCTTTGATCTCTCGACACATCTTAAATCCTTCCTCGCTGGTAACAGGCGCTTGCTTCAGTTTCCATAGCTCGTTTATTACATTTCTGTCGTTTCTCAAATCTCTCTTGTTGCCAACCAAAATGATAGGTACATTGGGGCAGAAGTGCCTTACTTCAGGAGTCCATTGTTCAGGGATATTCTTTAAACTATCAGGACTATCAATGGAGAAACACATCAAAATAACATCAGCGTCAGTATAAGACAGAGGTCGCAGCCTATCGTATTCCACTTCTTTTCCTACTGTATCCCAAAATGCCAGCCCAACCGTATCTCCATCAACTGTAATCTCAGCCCGATATCCACCGTCAAAAAGTGTCGGCACAAATTCTTCGGGGAATTTTTTGCAAGCGAACGACGTCATAAGAGAAGTTTTTCCACAGCCACTATCACCTACAACTACCAATTTTTTACAGATATATGACATGATCAGTGGATTTCTCAGTTGAACCTGCAAAATAAAGCAGAGAGTAAATTTCACACGAAACTCTTTGCTTGAGAAGTTCATCACCATACTCAAATTTCAGAGCGAATAAATAAATAAGAGGGGAGGTGTAAGAATAAACCTTCTCCCCCCCCCATTTACCTTTACATTATTCCCCCTACCACCTCATCCCGTTGTTTGAGTCACGCAAAGCCTTGCGTGACGCGCTAAACATCGACGCAAGAGATTATCTAATGAATTCATAGATTTGTTTATGGACATCTGCGCAGATTTTAACAATTATCAATAAATGTATGTAGAATTAAAATGTTGGCGATCAAATTTTCCGCTTACCTCAAAGAAATATTACCTCTTGATGACCTCTTCTTATCAAATACAGTTCGTCGAGTGAGCCAAAATTCCCAGATCTCAGGATAAGCCACTGACGATTATGGTAAACTTTTAGGTGCCTTCATTTTATACTACTGTATCAGGGCAGAGCAGTAATTATTGGCCACTGATGAAAACATCAGGAAAAGTCCTTGCGTTGTATCCTTTTGGCCTTTAGTTGGCTTGAATAGAAACCAATAACGAAATAATGTTTGATTTGGCCGGCGTTCTTATCGCGTCAAAATCGTTTTGCGGAACTTAATTCAGCTGACGTCATTTCCGCTTCCTCGTTCTGTACGTGCGTCGGGGGATTGCGGGATCGTAAATATTTATGGCCTTGATTGCCTCGGCGGAGAAAAAATACCCGCTATAGCTCAGCTTTTGGGATTCGGCTTTAAAAGTGCATGCAAAAAATCTCTACAAAATCACGTTTGTTACTGCCTGGGAGTTTGGAGTTTGACGCTCTATCGAGAAAACTCATTCGATAATCGATGGAAATGAAGAGCTCAGTTGAAACACACAATGATTTCGGTGCCTTTTTTTTTGGTCGTCTTTAATTGCTGAAATATTGGAAGTAAATTCGTGAGAAATTTACTGCGGGTGGGGAAGCAAAAAAAATTGCCTTTTTGACGAGGCAAGAACAAAGCATAACAGAACAATAATATCAACAAAACAGCCCAAGTTTTGAATTCGCCAACTGTCAAAATAATAACTTCCTTCTGTAGCTTTCATCAGAGTAAACAGGACTCTGAGATAAACAGTGTTATTAATTTTTAGCTGTTTATAGCATGTCTTGACAGCAATTGTATGAAGTAAAATTACTAATCTAACTAGTAAGTTATTCCATTTTCATTTTCCTTGTATTGATCAGTCACTTTGCGGCACCCACTCCATTCGTACCTTGAACTCTTCCGGTGTATCAAACTCCACACACACACACAACAATAGTGCTATTGTTTTTTTTCGATACTTTACTATTCCCTTCTTTTTTTCATCTATTTCAAGTAGTTATTGAGCTTTTTTTTCTCACACCAATGTGTTTCAATAATAACTTATCTTACTAGCAAAAGTTCGTGTGAGTTAAAGATAAAATTGACTTCACTTGACATGGATATTGAAGAGTGGAGATAGCAAAGGTTTACTGCAAATAGCGAATTTGACAGACTGAGTTAGGTTCACGACTCGCTCTTATCTTTGTTCGCCTGTGAAACGTGAACAAATTACGCCTGTTGTGCAGGCAATTTGAATTTGCAAAAATCATCTGAAGCATTATATAACTCCTTGAGAAGATGCCTTGTTTGTGTTTTTGTCCTCTCAATTTAAAGAACCGGTATTTCCTGAATTGACTTAAGGAGATAGACCTCCATAAATTCCTTCGAAGATTTTGATTACTTCGTGAACATTTTCTTCTGCCTGTAAGCCCTTTAATTCCTAAAATTGAATACCGAGATTTTTTCCAGGGTCTAGGGTGGCGACTCTTACCTTGTAACTGGAAAAAGAATAGACTAGACTACCAAAACATTTCAAAAAAAACAAAAACAAAAAAAACCTGCTGTCTGTTAAGCCGTGTCAAAATAGTTACAAATTGAAATGAGAGCATCAAAATGTTCATAAATTAATTTTAATTATTTTAGATTACGCTCTGCGTTGAGTTAAACTATGAATCTAAATCAGAAGCCTGAGAATTTCGCGAATGTTAAATGATAACGGAGAACATAAAGGTCACTGTTTTTTCATGATCAGTTGTTCTGATTGTTTCTAACTGACGGTTCTCAGTTCGGAAAGAATATCGAGTTCCATTCCACGCTACACTGCTGCAAACCCCATCTGGCCAAACTTTTACAATAGACGACATTTTTGCCATGATCGACGAGGCTTGTATGGTTTCGATCTAAGCGCAGCCCTGGCAGCCGTTTCAAACACATCTCGGACTCCCTCTCTCGTTCTGGCTGAACATTCCAAGTAAGCATGAGCTTTGATTCTTTCACACATAACTGATCCTTCCTCGCTTGATATCGGCGCTCGTTTATAAATCGCAAGCTCTTTCTTCACACTTTCGTTGTGTCTCAAATCTTTCTTATTAGCTACCAAAATGATCGGTACAAATGGGCAGAAATGTCTTACTTCAGGAGCCCATTTTTCAGGGATATTCTCAAAACTGTCGGGATTATCAACAGAGAAGCACATCAGGACAACATGAGTGTCGGGATAAGACAGAGGTCGAAGCCTGTCATAATCTTCCTGTCCAGCTGTATCCCAAAGTGCTAACTCTATCATTTTTCCATCAACTTCCATATCAGCTACATAAGTGTCGAAAACTGTTGGCACATGAGTTTCGGGGAATTCATCTCTAGAAAATACGAACAGAAGGCAGGTTTTCCCACAGGCGCCATCGCCTACAATGACCAGTTTTTTCCTCGTGGCAGATAACGACATTACTGAATCCTCAGTCTGACAAAGCAAAAAGGAGGAAGTATTTAGTGTGCTTTATATTAAAAATAGTTCAACAAACATACATAGCCCATGACTTTGAAGAAAAATTCTTATTTTTTACTGAGATACAAATGTTTGAACATTATTCTAAATGGTAAGGAAAAACGCGAGATCGTGTTTTGAAGGGAAACAGTTTGAACTTAGGCACTCTGGAGATCATTATTTTTCGCTTAAAAGATCAAACCGTAGGTATAAACAATGCCAGTAACTTTTTCAAATAATGATATTGCATGCATCTATTGTAATTCGTTTCAACAGTGCGAGCGTGCTTTGCGTTTAATTACTTCGCCCAATTACTTCACGCTTGCCGGTCAGTGAGCATTGAAGCGTAACAGCGGGAACCTTCTCATTAAAATTCCCACTTTGTAGACGATATAAAACAATGTTTTTATGTTTCAGTTGTGAGTTACTCGTGAAATAAAGCACTTAGATACTTTGGAGGGCCCTATAAAAATAAGAGTTGCTCGGCGCAACCGAGCGTCATCGCATGCTCTCTTCAAACTTCCCGAGTGCTTCAAATCTCGCTAAAGGCACAGCTTATGCACGAACCAGCTGTTTATAATCATTCCCGTTAACTTCACAACAATTCTAATGGTTTTTTGTATTATACAAAGATATTCATTTAGCGAAAAGTAAATTGTGGAATTGGCCGTACATTCTGAGTCATTCCTCAATACGTACCTTAATAAAAATCACTTCTAAGGAGGTCGTGCGTGAACAAGTCTGAAATAGGTAAAATGTCCGATATTTGACTGCGAAGTCCAACTCGTGAATGAGAGATAACTGTCAGATTCCTGAATTTATTCTGTTCAAGCGGAGGAGTTATTATTGGAAACTGTATATGACATCAGGGAATATACCTCTAGTATGTCATCCGGGCTTCTGATTGGTTGAAAACCCCTCATCTACTTTTAAATTTAATGCCTAAGCTTGAATAAACAAAAACATCGATGAGTCATGTTTTTAATTTATGCAAACTAAGCTTACGATATATAATTATGCCATATTGTCAAAATTTCCTTCACTTTCGAAGGATACAGTAATTATATATTACATGGACTTAAAAAATCGAATGGATCGTGTTTAATTTTGGTCAGACATATGAGCATCTATTTTTGTCATAGTATGTTTAGAAAAATGCTGTCGTTTTGTCTTGTCAGGAAGTGATGAAAATCTCTTGCGTTTTTGTAACCACTTTCTTCTTTCAAAGTGCGATTGATTTTACAAGTGCTCGTCCTTGGGAATTGACGTCGAAGGATATGATATGATATGCTTGATCTAAAGACAGCCTCAGACATAAACCTGTTTCCCAACGCTCTCGGTCTTAGTTCTTTTGGATCCCCCTTAGGTCAATGAACAGCGCTTTTAAAACGAGCACTTGTGTTATCAAAAATTCTCATTTCAAATCTTTTCGAGAGAAACAACATTTTATAGTTTTAAAAAATACTTTCTTATGTCATTCTCCCGGTATGAGTGACAAGCGACTTGCGTGACAAGAGTGGCGTCATTTCCGTTTGATATCATTTCCTCTTGTGAAACTTCTAGATAGAATCAATTGTTTTTCAGTTGCAGTTCACTGCTTTTTTCCCCTCATATTAGAGCCTGTGGTTTTAAGGTAAGTAAGAAAGTACGTCGCTATGCTTCGCTGTCATCATAACGTCGATAATGACAGAATCTGAGCAAGTGTGGATTTCGCAACATTGCATGGTTCGATGAGAACGAGCGCGATATTGACATTGAAGTCTTATAATAAGGAAATTAGTCAGGGAATTTATTTTTCGACTGACAGTTTTGTGCTTGAATCACGATTTGTTATACGCGGGTTTTCTCCCGCAAATGATTTCAAATCATTCGATCGAAAATTATATCTGAAACATCACAATCATTGAATTCGGGTCATCGGACAAGTGGACCTCCTTAAGGAAGAGAGGGGAATGGTGTGAATAATGGAACGCCATATGGGACGGGAGGTGTATCAATTTCAAGAGGTCTCTCTTTTCAATCAAGGAGGGAGGGGGTGGGGGGGTTCTTGTCTAGGTATCGAACGGATCGCTAAATCGTATTGTAAGACAAAATAATAAGTCAGTTTTAAATGGTAGGAAACCTCACCTTGACCTTATCTCTCACATGATCAAAATGTCAATTCTTCTGCACTGTCTGCCATGTAGTTCTTATAATTTTAGCTCTGAGAATTTGCTTTTGAATCAATCGATATTCTCTGATTGACACAATTACTTCATGTCATCTCTTTTATTAATATCGAGAGGAAAAACTTGCTTTGGTTACTTCTGATAGAGAGATAGTTCGAAGACTAATTATTTTAACCCTTTTAATTCCACAATCTCATTAGTGATTCTCCTTACTGACTTCCACACAATTCTTATGATGTTAGTTCCGAGAATTTGGTTTTGGATCAACTGATAATCTCGTAATTGATATTTTCCTCTGTTCTCATCACTCTTCTGCATCATATTGTATTGATATTGTAAGGAGAAGATCTGTCTTGGTCACTCATGGGATTTAAAGGGTTGACAGAGAAGTAGCGGAGCGCTTAGAAGTGTAGGGGGGGGCTCATCCTGTGTGCTAAGCCAAGTACATACCCCTACTCAAACTTTAATGTCTCCTTTTGGAACACGGGCCGGAGCTGTTCAAATGGAAAAAATTCTTACGACATTTGATTTCGCTAAAAAACGATCAAAATGAATATTTGCCGAACGGGGGTGGAGTGGATTGGCGGGGGGCTTAGCTTCCCAAATTTTCGTTTGGAGGGGCTGTTCAACACTTTCTATCTCATTCTCATTTGCAGATCGCGGATTAATCATGTCAGCAATTAGAAAAAAGTTCGTCATCGTTGGTGACGGTTTATGCGGGAAAACCTGTCTTTTGATGACCTTCTCTGCCGGGAAATTCCCTGAAGGGTATAAACCTCGAACAGTTGAAAATGACGTTTTTAACCTCAACGTTGATGGCACAACAGTCGAGCTTGAGTTTTGCGACACTGTGGGAGAAGATGATTTCGACGTCGTTCGACCTCTGGCTTATCCCAACACAGATGTTATCGTGATGTGCTTTTCCATTGATCGACCAGAGAGTTTGGAGAGTATCGCTAAAAAATGGACACCTGAATTGAGGCAGCACTGTCCTAAAGCACCGATAATTTTAGTTGGGAAACAAGAAAGATCTGAGACATGACCAAAGGATTGAAGAAATGTTATCGAATTTAAACCAATCTCCTGTAACAAGCGAACAGGGGCACGAGATGTGTGAACGAATCAAGGGAAATGTTTACCTAGAATGTTCTTCTAAAGCATTGGAAGGAGTTCGAGATGTATTTGAAACGGCTGCAAGAGCCGCTCTTTTGAAGAATCGTGATCGTAAGATATGTTGTATATTCTAAAATCATCAAGAAGCCTCAGATTCTTTAACTTCTTTGATCTCATAAGTAATTCTCCCTTCAAGCCACAAGTCATATCTTAAAAGATTAGTTAGGAGAGTTTGAAGTTAAAGATGACTGGCATCCAGAAATTTCTTCCCATGGCCGTGTCCCTGGTGTAGAATAAAGAATGTATTCAATTTTGAATTGTTGTTATGCCCATCTGAATATTATTATAAAAAGTAAAAATTACTATTGTTATTGAATTAAGACTGTTTATTTTCTACAATTTCTATTAACATCAATATCAGTAAATTTACACTTTTGTCTAATAAAAATATATATCATATATGAAAAAATCTTATTCTGCCCCCGAGGAATCTTATCTTGTAAACTTTGATGAAAAAAAACCCGTCGTCAACAAACCTATCGAGGACAACAAAACGTCTAAAAATACGAATTTTGAATCCTTTTCATTGACTTTGAATTTGGCCAAGAGAAGCTACCAACAATATTATGTTAATTTTTCGAACAAAATATAATTTTTGTCGTTTACCAATATTAGATTGCTTGGAGTTAAAAGATTACGTTTCTTTAATAGACCTCACCAGACACAAAACAGCCATTGTGGAAAAAATATAAATAGTGTGAATCAAATGACCGGGAAATTAGAGATTTTTTTTTCCTCGTTATGTTTACTTGTAGACAAACATGACAACCATGCATTTGTTTTTAAAACGTTTTAGCGCGTAATGACTTTGAAACTAAACTTAGCCCTCGGGCCCCAAAGCTCAGAGAGGTTTTAAACTGATTTCGGATATTTCACATTTAGTTATAGTATACCACACTTAAGCCACGGTCGACGGTTGTATAGCTTAGTTTTCAGTGTAGCCTTAGCGGCCGTTTCAAACACATCTCTTACTCCCTCTCTGGTTTTTGCAGAACACTCCTTGTAAGCATAAGCTTTGATCCTTTCAAACATTGCTCGTCCCTCTTCGCTAGTTAAAGGCGCTTGTTTGAACTTGGACAAATCGTTCTTTACGTTTTTATCGTGTCTCAAGTCTATCTTGTTACCGACTAAAATAAGAGGAACCCTTTGGCCACAGAAGTGCCTTACTTCAGGAACCCATTTTTCGAGGACGTTTGCTAAGCTGTCAGGACTATCAACGGAGAAGCACATCAAGACAACATCAGTGTCAGGATAAGACAAAGGTCGCAGTCTGTCATAAGCCTCTTGTCCAGCGGTATCCCATAAAGCTAACTCTACCATTTCGCCGTTAACCTCAATGTCAGAGACATCAGTCTCGAAAACGGTTGGAACGTAAAACTCGGGAAACTTTTCTGTAGAGAACACAGACAGGAGGCTTGTTTTTCCACATGCACCATCTCCAACAACTACTAGTTTTCTTCTTATGGGCGACATGGGGGCTGCTGCTTTTCAACCTGTGCAGCAAAGAGACATCTGATTCGTAATTCTCCCTTTCTGTTTTCACACACTCAGACACTCAGTTAGCCTTATAAAAGTCACCCTAAATCTCAGTTAGTTTTTTTCCTCGCCATCAGGTTGCGCAACATTGTTTTGAGAAAGCAATCAAGGAAACGTACCATTTTCTTCACTTTTCACTTGTGAGGGTCTCAAAAAGTTATCTTGTTTAATAGCAAGAATAGAAGACTGAAGTCGAAAATATCATTGACGCTCTGACTGATGAACTCGACGTAATTTACAATCAGATAAAGAAAACACAAATGATTATTCCATTCTAGAAAAAAGGGAAAAACCTTTGAATGATTTAGTTTAAGGAACACCAAACTCAGGACTACGTGATATTTTTAAAACTCTACCGAACAACCTTCTCGACTCACATAGTTATGTAGATAAGTCTGTACTCGAGCAAAGCGGAGCTTCTCCCGGTTTCCTTTGCATGAAGCGACTAGACGTATCACTCCTCGCCCGCTTACTGGAATACCGGTCCACCTCAAGTTTAACCCTTAGCATTTCATCGGGCTTCCCTGGTAATTTTCCGTACCTTGACGATTATTGTGTCATTTCCCAGTCAGCAAAGTTGTTTAACCATTCCACGTATAATATACAGTGTATAGAATATTATAGTTCATTGAATATTGACGATAAACTTTCAATATAATCGCCGTAATAAAGATAAGTATCAGACTCTAACCACTGAATCTTGAAGAAATCTTGCGATTTTCTTTTCTACAAACAGTTGGCTATTGTATATTTCAGATGACGCAATGGCATGGATGTCAACTTACCTTTATCAATCAAAGCAACAGGGCTCTCCTTACAGAGGCAGTTCTGCTTGAGGATGCACTGCTTAATGAACGTTGTAGGCCGAACGTAAGACTTTTTCATATAAGTAACACTGTTCATTAAGCCTCAAATTTATTCTTTCATAGCGGTGTGGTTATTAATGGAAACTGACGTATCACTTACGTTAGATCTTGAGGAAAATCCCTAGGGTTTTATGCCTTCCTCCGATTGGTTGAAGGTATCGTTCATCGTTTACCCATGAGTATAACCAATCTGACATTGTAACAAAGCTTCTGATTCGACAAACATTTGGGCTAAAAATAGCTAGAGATATAATCATGACCGGAAAACGAAAACGGTCGCATTTACATTTACCCTTTTGGGACGATGACATCGATTGAATGTAGATGCGCTGCGTATGAAGAGCAAGAGTTAAGACTTCTTGGTTGGTAATAAATGAAAAAATGTACATGTTTCTTTAGGAGACCGTTGAAATTTTATTTCAAACAAAATCCTCTACAGGGTTATTTAGTACTATCTACTGAGTTGATAACGTATATAGGCCACTATAAAAAGTTAAAAGCTGACGTTTCGAGCGTCAGCTTTTTAACTCTTTACGGCGGCCAATTTACGTTATCAACTCAGTTGATAATACTTAATTATCGTGTCATACTCTCCCACCGACGCAGGGCCACAGTTTCCTAAGAAACATACCCTCAAAATCTTCGACAGTTGAGCATCTTAAGATTGCGTTACTTATGATACCGTGACTATAGATTGACGAGCTTTCGCCATTCACGCGTCATTTCCGGTTGCTCAACCTTCCCTTTAGTTAAGGCTTTCATCATACACTCTTTTGGTATAACACTATTAATCCCTATCAACTTCTTTTTCCGCGTTCGACACAGGAGAACGTATACTCTTCGCGGGTTCAATTATGGCCTGGATTTTATTGCGCCGAGACAAAAATACCCATTCCTGAGCTGGTCCGAAGCCACTTAACTACTGCATAATTATCAGGCTAGTATAACAAGAGTCGAACAAGTATTAAAGCGGTCACCCACTGATCGCTTAATGGCTCCACAGAATAGGGGTGATTTAAGAAACGATAAAAACACCATTTAATGCCACCATTGACCATTTAATGTACAAAAACCCACTCAAAAATACTTCTTATTTTTAGTAGGGAGATGAACATGGATTAAATTTTATTTGAAAGATTAGTCTTCGTTTTATTTGAGCAATTCTGCCCTAATTGTCCGTTCAATACAGGTAAACCACAATACGAAAAGGCCGTTGGGACTCAGTTAAGGGTGACCACGACCACTTAACCCGTTACACCCTAACATCAGTATGCATATTCTCCATACTGTTCTCTATAAATTTCCCAAGGAGAAGACAAGGAGAATTTGTTTACTCATCAAGAGCTTCATTAGTTAGTGATCATTTTCTTTCTTCTTGTGACTTTAATGTGTGACGGGAGGGGTGAATTGTAGGGAGAAATCAGATGCTAATCACTCTTAGGGGCTGAAAGGTTGACAGAGGTCATCGCTTATTAGGGAAGAAAATTACAGTGGTTAATAGGTAACAAATTCGGGACTTTGACAACCGGCCGCTTAATGCAGCTTCGACTGTAAACAGCGTTTTCAAAGACTAACTCAGATTGATGACAAAATGTTGTTTACAGTTACTAAGTGAGCAATCCTTGTCCAACGTCCATCAAAATCACGCGTAGCTAGCGAGTCACACTGAATTACGTAAACTAGATCTTGCATTTCAAGTATTCTTCTCCGAAATATCGATTCTTTACAAAGTGAAAGTTCTAGTCCTGGCCGGGGCAACACTAATGAACGGATTTACTTTCAAGAGCTAGTTACGATGGAATCCGAATTCCTGTTCTTTTACGCCGAATTCACAATAGGAGGGGCTCTTAGATTATAAGTAATAGCGTTTTATCTAGTGCAAGTATTTTGCAATGTTATTGAGTAGACGTCCATCATTTTAATCAGAGATATCAATTAATCAAACCTGTAAAACCAAGCTATCATGTTTTGGCTCAGACTAGCTTGCAAAATACATTATTTCCATTTTCTTTGGCTACCTATGAAGAGCCTAGAGTAAAGAATAATGTTATATCTGGAAAATTGTTCACTAATTTCTATTACGCACGACGCAACGATGCACGACGCACGAGTAGAGCGTTGGCTTCTTTTCTCTCCTTTTTTTTCCCGAAACCTCGGTACTGGTTGCCCTCGTTGTCTTGGTTTTCTTTAAGTACCCTGAGAAGCTCGATCAAGACGGTCACAATGCCTTTTTCCTCTGCACCAGTGTATTTAAACACCTGTTTAGACTCACAAAAGAAAAAAAAACATTATTTAATTGCTTTCTGTTTAATGACGAGGATGCAATTCGAGCCTTTGCCACGCACGATTGCTTTTGCATAGGGCGGTCTCGTGATTACAATGCACAAACTGATTGACATTTAGTTATGTTGCTCCTTCATGCTAGCTAGTATAAGTTGGACGTCTTCAATTCACAGTCTGTCAACCGCCAAGAGCCCTGCACTTAACCTCTTAGTGCACTAAGGTCACTGTTATAATCACAAAATCTTTCGCGTACAGCCATGGGTCTGAAATTTGTTCTTTTAGTTTTACTGGACCTCACTGCTCTCTTATTTAACTCGGAAATGCTGTGCCGTTGCTACCGTAACAAAATGATGTCCAAGTTTCTTAAAAAAAGCAGAGCGTTGTGTATCATCCAAGGCATATGCCAGCTTACCATTCTCGCTACAGCCTCAGTTCAAGCCGTAATGGATTGCTACATCGATGATCAACGCTCAAATTCGTGTCAGATCCTCAAATTGGTTTTACTCTCTACAATGTTCCTACATGTATACAATTTAATAGCGATTTTAACGATATATTTTGGCCGAATTCTTCCGTGTGACACACGCGAGCAAAATACTTCATTTAAATTGTATGCCACACTTTCCATGGGATTCATCGAATCAGTTGTTCTGTTATGGTTTAATATTTTACCTCCAATGAACTACTCTGAAGTATCTGTAAAGGTTCTGTTCGTTGTGACTTTGATGTTGTTCTTCATCACTGTTTCAAGAAATGGTTCAAGCAATAAAATGGACCAAGCGGAACCACTGATTACAAAAAGACGTGTTTTCATCGTCATAGGCTTGCTGCTGTGCTTATTTCTCGTTTACCGCGACGAGTCATCACTGCGCTGGGATTTTGAAGAATCCGAAGTTGCCAAAGAAGTGCTTTTCATCTTCACCCCGAAATTTATCTTTGGAGTTATTCTACCTGTAACATTCTGCGATTTGATCGAATTTAGAGCTAAAGAGGAGATTACAACAAAAACTTTTATAATATAGAGGGAGTTAATTCTTAAGATAACCTCAGAAGTTGCCTTTTTTTTTTTTCCATTTCAAATATCCTAAATTTGGACAAACACGTGTGTTGAATACTTTAAATATGCATTCACTTGAAAACTGTCTCCGTAATGAAGAATTTCACAGGTACCAGCCATTTTGCAGAATAACATGTCACTGGATAAGAAAAGCGTCCATTGTGTTTTTCCTTGTTCTTCAAAGCCTTCCGACACAAGTAAATGAGGTGGATTAAAGTGGTAGGGTATTCTGCAGTTGCTCTAAAAAACATGGCTTTTTATCTCACGAAACTCAGCTGGCGATCGCGTGATATAGGCCTTCAAACTTCACTCTGTAGAGTTTGTCAAATTTCACGAATGACGAATACTGTGTTAGTTGTAATAATGCCTACTCGCGTGTTAATGATATTTCTTGAAAATAATAAAGCAAATAAACACGCATATAAATACGAGAAGTATATTAGAATTTGAAAGCTAATACATTGCTTCATGTTTTACAAGTGTATATTTTGGATATTCCTGTATCATAATCCTTAGGCACTGTCACTTCTTTACTTGTTTTGAGAAATGTGGCAATCGTAGTTGTTACAGAAACAATAGTGAATAAAAATCAAAATAAAACGTAGGTAGATTTAAACTTTTATTAAAACAGGCTTGAATGCGTCGAACCATTCCTTAAATTTTTACAGATCAAAGTTTCACACGACACAAACGATGGAGGGCGGGTACAATGGCCTCTTTGTCTTTCTTTGTGCAGTAATAACAGAACCGATCATCGTGAAATGATAAGGCGATAGGCAAATTATTCTGTTTAAAGTCTCAACCAATACATAGAGCCTCGAATTCTGTTGTATTCATGAAGCTGTTCGATGGGACCTTAACGAAAAAAAAGATAAAAATAAAGATTGAGCTTATGTTGTTACGCGAATTAGTGTTCATGTTGATTCTCGTGAATAACTTGACTAATAATTAAAAACGGTTGAGTTTGTCACGCAAATCGGCGAAGAAGTTAATTCGTATGAATACATTAACCCTTCAACTCCCAAGATCTGATTGTTAATTCTCCCCTCAAGCTGCTAATCATTTCCTCACAAATTAATTAAGAGAATTTGGTGTATGATCAAGATAACAACTTCTACTTGATAAGTTCGAGTATTCTCACTACTTGTTTACATGTTAATCACCTCTGGGAGTTAAAGGGTTAACTAATTGATAAACCGGGTAAAATATGTCACGCAAATTAGCGTGTACTAAATTTCCTCGAATAAGTCCCCGGGTGCCTATTCACTTATTTAAAATTTGGGTTTCAAGGAAGGCCGCTTTTGGAAAGAGAGTGTTTCATCAAGGGGGCCGGTTATTGAGGAACTTTTGGCCCGAACTGATTCTGCTGTAGTTGAGGCTTTAAGGTTTTAAGTTAAGTGACAACAGAAACACGTTTCATTGTAATCCTACAGGTTTTCCTCGTATCCATGATCGCGAGGGGCGCTTATTTTACTTTAAGAGAGGGTGGGTGCTTATTCGGGGGAGGGTACTGATTAGAGCGTGGACGCTTAATCCAGGAAATACGGTTTGTCGATAAACATGAAAAAATGTGTCAGCAAATTAACGTGTACGTCGATTCTAATAGCTTATGACGACGTTCCCTATCTTTAATTCGCGTGTTTCTTCTATTAAAAACTAATTCTAACTCATCATTACAGAATTGAGGTAATAACTGAGTGATGCAATACCTAACAATAACAATGCTACAGCCTACTACAGGTTCAAGAGTTTCTTACCCCGTTTTAAATCATTGCTTTTCGAAACTAAACTAAACTAGACTAGACTAGACAAAAAAGAAATAAAACAAAACAAAACAAATCTAAACTAAACTAAACTATGAAGGGGTAAGGTTCTAAAGAAACTGTGGTGCTGCGTCGGTGGGAGAGTATAGAAGGTAATTTGGTGTTAACAACTGAGTTGAATCGCTCTGACGAAGGGCTAACGCTCGAAACGTCAGCTTTTTTTACCCTTCATAGTGGCTAATTTACGTTTTCAACTCAGTTGTTAACACTAAATTACCTGCTAAACTAAACTAAACTATACTAAAAAATAAAACAAAACAAAGGAAGAAAACCTGAAAAACGATAAATCTTGATATGCCGATTCAAATTAAAAATAGTGAAATAATAAAACAAAAAAAAACAAAACAAAACAAAAAAAGGAATCAGATATTGGGTTATTTTTCTCTTGGAGATTTAAGGAGAGAGCCCCTGAATGAAGCGCTTGCGGTATTATAAAATTTGATTTCGAAAGTGACACTTTCATATCAGTCTCCCAAAGTATTTGCGACAATTTGTAAAATAGGAGGAGAATTTTCTTACCAACACCAACCACGGCCGGGCAGCGATCGTAGATATATTTTGTGGCAATATCCCTCACCATCTTGGCGTCAACCATCTACAGAAAGAAGTTAATGCAGATGTAAATCAGCAGCAGTAAAATGAAATCTGTAAATTAAATTTTGACCAGCAGTAGATGAACAAGTAAATAAATGGTCATTGCAGATGGGCTGCGTGAAGATTTTCTCACGGGAACGACGACCCATCAAAATTTTCCTCGCTCTCGACGTGGAGCTTCGTCGCTCAGTTGGTAGAGGCGCCCACCTAAGGAGGCCTGGGTTCGAAACTTGTCGAAGCTCAATTTTTGTTTTCAGCTGAGAAGATCACTTTTTCACTTGTATTCACAAACCGGCACAATCTCTAATTCCTACAGGACGCTGACGGGTCCTCATGATAAACTTTACTTTTAAGAAAGCTCCCTCTTCCTAATAACACGCCTCTTAGCTTGTGATCATTTCTTTTATTCTCATGACCCTTACATTTAATTCAAGACTGGTACGGAGAAATTAGAAGCCAATCACTCTTAGGGGCAAAGGGAAATCCAATGATGAACTCACCTCAATTCGTTTGTCGAGCTCAGGGAGGGGAATACGGCGGCCATATGTCAGCATTTGTCTGTGGAATCAACCATAACAATATAATTTAAGTTTAAATTTACGTAAGCTACACAGTACTCTCGCCACAGTAGAACCGAAAAAACAAAACGAAAATTAAACAGAAATGACTAACCGTCCGATGTCCTCGCAAATCGGAGTCGATCCTATGGAAAGAAAGAAAACTTGTTAAAAAAAAAAAACCCTACGTAACTTAAATCCTTTTCTTTCCGCCTTACTATGTTTTTAAAGAGAAATACACGAACAAGGATTTATCTCGGGCAGTAAAGGCAACGTTAACACCAGCGCGTCACACGAGGTTACAACTCGGATGCAACTGGCAAATTGTCCACGAAACTACCATTGTGTGAAAAGAGTTAAACATGAATGTGTTGTTATTATACCGAAGGCATTTTTCAATTATTTTGTTTCTTCTTCACTAAGAAAAAAAAAACAACAAAACATACCATCTAGCTGCATTAGAATGTTGGTCTTCAGCAGATTTTTGGCACGAGCCACCTCATGGTCGGTCACACTGGTACAGATACGCATCCTAAACACAGCGAAAATCAGCACAATAAAAACCAAATTTTTTAGTAATACAATGGAATTTTGTCACGAACGTAGAAAACCAAGACATTTTTATCCCTCGTGAGGATTAAAGACCCACACAGTTCCAGTTTTTCGGTTGTTATAAAAGCACATTTCCTACAGCACGAAGGACAGGAAAAATGAATCCTTCAGCAAGGCGTAAGAATTCGAACCCCAGATCTTAAGATTTCGCAATATGCTAGTCTGCCAACCAAGATACAGAGAACTTGACGATGAGCTCAGATTGGTTAAAAGGGACCTGAACAGATGATGGTAAGTCATAGATTTTGTTAGTCTCATGAAAAACACTTATAAACCACGAACACATGATGTGGTCTGTCTGTGGTATCTATATTAAAGGTCGGTGTCATAGGGGTGATAGTAGCTGCTGTTGACAACAAGCCCCGTTTGTCGCTATTTTTCGAGCAGGTAACATTGCCCTTAGATACTTTCTACTGACTTTCATTTTTTCCCGAGAGGACGACGTAAAGGCTTACCATTCTTTTTGAATACAATACGTTGTATCATCAATCTTCATTCTATCAGCAACAAAGTAAACACCCCTGGAATAAAAGAACAGAATGTATCTAAATGCAGACAGTTACTTGGATGCTCAAACGTCAAAAGGGGTCAAGGAGGGGGTGGGGGTGGGTAGGGTGGGGAAGTTACAGCACTAACCAGAGTCCAGTGTCTGTGTAACATGTGTTGAATGACATGAAGCTGTGAGCCAAGTTATACTCCACCATATCCTGGAAAAAAAAAAACAGAAAAAAGAATAAAAACAAATAGGGTTTTAGCCACTTATTGGTTTTCACTAAGTTTCAGTTTTCAGTGCAATTCTTGTCAAAATAACAGAGTTTTTCAAACTATACAACATCAATGCATTATTAAATGGATGTATACTGGAAATTGTTTGATTTCTCTCAAAATTCTTCGTGGAATATAGCAAGTATGATATTTAGATCATAGTTGCCATCTTACCTGGGCAAGTTTGCTGCTGATGTTTCTACCAGCACTAAATGATCTATCCCAGCTACCAATCAACTACATTAAAAAAGAAAAAAACAGAGGAAACTTTCTAAATGGAAAAAACATGTACAAGAGAAATGGAGACAAGGACTTGTCATTGATATATTTCTTACAATTCTTCAGTAAATTATTTTTCGTATTGCAATTTCTTTATTAGCAACTGCGGGCGATCACAAGAAATCATAATGACAATTCATTCAGATTTATGCTTTTCTTTGGGAGATATAATGTAAAAAATTTTAATTCACCTTACCTTGCACTTTTCCCAAAAAGCAAATTACATCAAAACTGATTATTGATTATAATTTTATCACAATATTAGGAATGACACAGTTAAACATGTTCAAGCACAACCTACCATATTGGCAACCATCAGGCCAAAGTAGTCAGGATGAGTCCAGCCACATCCCTCAACAGCGAGAGCTACATGGGCCAATGGCATGTCATCATCACGGACACGAATCTATCATTCAAAAATCTTCATTAATAATTGTATATCAATAACAATTTTTAACCTACATGTGTTAAAAATGATAATAAAGTTGCTGGCAACTAGAATATCGCTAGTCCCCAGAAGCGATGAACTTAAAGCTATGTAAATGATCTTTTAAGTGAACTAGCACTTCACAAAGGAGCATTTTTCATTTGTCTTTTCACTTCACTTAAAAGGGTGATTGTTAATGAGTAGAGAAACTGGCTTTTTTTGCATATACAACTGCAGAAAGAAATTTACAAATCACACTTTTCTGGCCACTTAATTGATCCATCTAGTAATTAAAACAAATCTGTTTAATGAGCACTTGCCACCTGTGTGAAAAAGTTTATTTTGGACCATTTTGGGTCTATGCCTCTGTGCCTTATAAATGAATAAAGGTGGTAAGTTTCTAAAGAAACTGTGGTGCTGCATTGCTTGGGGGGGGGGTGGTGTATTACTAGAAAATGTAGTTTTATCTACTATTAAGAGTTTCTAAAGCTGATGTTTGGAGGATTAGCCCTTGATCAGAGGAGAGATACATTGTCAACTCAGTGGATAAAACCATATCATATTGTGCCTGATAGAGTCAACTTACCTCACTGCCTGTGTACCTGCATGGGTTGACCACATCTTGTGATTCATAGGTTGATCTTAAACCGCTGAAATTTTGTTCTGCAAGCTTGACCAGAGCATCATGATCCACACCTAGACCAAGACAAATTCACAGTGAAGAGAAGACAAACAGCCTCTTTTTATGAATTCACTTCTCCAGACTGAATCAGTGAAAAAAGTATACTGTAAGGAAGAAAGTATTTACCTCCAGCTGCCGCAAGAACCATTCTTGGAGCACTATAGTGTTTGCTGATATATTCTACAAGATCATCACGGGTTATAGTCCTAGAAAATGAGCAAAAAACGTTACCATTACTCTTTCAACACTTAAATCAAAATGAACTCAAACACACCTACATGTTAAAAACTATCTTTAGTATTAATCCTTTAACCCACAAGAGTGACTGGCTTCCAATTTTTCCTCACAGTATTCCCCTTGAACAAAATGTTGAGGTCATGAGAATAAAGGAAATGATCATTAATTTAGAAATCTCCTGAAAGTCAAACAAACTCTCCACCTCAGTAACAGAGGAAAGGTCTCTTAGGTGTATGTACTGTTACAGTAATGGCTATAACATTCTTTCATGTGGCAGGCAGTCTGCTTGTTTAATTTTTCTGTTTTCATTAATCCTTGCTGATGTTACACTTGTTATTTATCTGATTAATCATTCCTTTTCTTTATCTTTTCTTTATCTTTTCCTTTTCAATTATTATTTTACAACCCTGACGTAATATTACAAAGCATCACTTTCAGTTACCTTTTCCCTTTACAATTTACTAACATCAATCAACAAGACATATGCCTGTTGCTGACATCACAACTCTAAACAGATCTACTAACAACAGCCTGCTTTATTCACAAAACATCTATAGGCAGGTAAAATAACATTAAAACTATAACGAACACCACGCAAGTGAGAGGAGGGTGTGATTGCTGTTGTAATTTCTTTTGTTTGGATTTGACCCTTTACACCCTAATTTCAATAAACATATTCTCATACTGTTATATATACATTTATTAAGTGCTGACAAGGAGAATTTGTTAAACAATCAAGAGCTTCTTTAGCAGCTGATCACTACCATTAGTCTTGTGCTTTAAATGTGTGATCCAGGGGTGATATTGTATGGTGAAATAAGATACTTGTCACTCTTAGAGGTTTAAGGGTCAATAAACTCAATTGAGTTTACTTACTTGACATTATGAGTTGGCCCAAGAATTGTTCTTCCAAGTGGGGTTCCCTGGTAGGCTGTGGCATGGAGATGATCAAACACCACTTCTTCTAACTGGGTGTCAACTTCCTGCATTTCACGTAGAATCACGCCTCTCTCTCTTTCAATTTCAGCCTCACCCAAAGTTGAATTCTGAATAATGTCAGCCAGGATGTCCACAGCTGAAAATTTCATGCACATTTGATTACATTTGCATGTAGAAGTTAGAATTTTGAAAAAAAATAAAGTTCACGTTAAAAAGATTTCAAACTAGTTTGATTTGCTTTCTCCTTTGTTCAAGATACCATACATTAACCCCTTCAATCTGCCATTTTCATTACTGCATGCATTTCTGGACACAACTGGAACAGAGCATGCAAATCTACCTGGTTTTATTTTTAATTTAATTAAGCTACAGCCTTAGATCACAAGATTAGTGACAGATATAAGTTTAAATGATCTTTATTCACTTAGGATTTCTTAAAATAAGAATTCTTATAAGGTGCTAGGCATAATTTAGAATCTTCAAAGCTAATGAAATCAGTCAAATTCTTTCACTTCTAGTGAGAGACCTTAAAAATTTTTCTTGCAACAATATCCCTACAACTGCCAACAAAAAGATAAGATAAAGGAAAGAAACATGAACAAGATAGAGCAACAGTACAGATCAGCAAATACAGCCCTCATACATGTTGTAAAACACTTCACCTTTAGGAATGTCTTGGCTAAAGACCTTAGCATAATACACAGTCTGTTCACGAGAAGTGTAGGCATTCAAATGAGCTCCCATGTTCTCTACCTCCAGCTCAAGATCCATCTGTGAGCGATTCTTTGTACCCTGAGAGCCAAATGATAAAAAAAATTACTTATAGTCTAAGAAATCTTCCATGTCACAAGGGGTCCCATGATTGTACAAAATATAACACATGGCAAAATATATCTCTTTATATTAGGGCTGGTGAGACTGTGTCCAGATTTTTGCTTAAACAGGAAGTCCCAAGAAATATTTATTTGGAAGAGTGATGTCTTAATGATGATTATGATAATGAGGCTGGTAATTTTTCCAATGGTAGACAACTTTTAATTAGTTTTTTTCAAAAAATATCAATCCACAAAAACAATAGCAGAAAACATGATAAAGGAAAGAGAAACGAAACAGGTCGCAAATTAGATCTGAGGAGAAAAAGAAGGAAGGACAAACCTTAAATGCCATGTGTTCCAAAAAATGTGCAACTCCATTGTTTTTTTCTGTTTCAAATCTACTACCAGCATCTATCCACAAACCCACCTATGAAAATGACATCAAATGTTTAAATTTCCTTCTATTATACATACAAAATCATTGTGACCAGTAAATTAACTAAACATGGTAGCTAATCCTTGTATTATTAACCAAAGAAGGAATAATTACGTTAATGTCCATGTGGTAAGAATGTAAAACTCCAGAATCAGCTACACAAGATAAAAGATGACTGATCTAAATGGCAATGCTACTGCATTTATGTTCAGAACCACATGTGGGTAAAGGAAGTAAGCTGATGAGAGCCTTGCCCTTTGTTATGGTCATGCATTGGATAATAAAACTTTTTTCCAAAACCTCTAATAGTGGTTATCGCAAAATTCTTCAGTTCATGATCCTTGAAACTTCCAAGGATCTACATGCAGGATAAATTTCAAATTCAAGACTGTCAATTTACACTTGATTGTCACTATTCAGTACATCAGGAAGGAACAAATGAAGTTTTTCTAAACCTAATTCAAATTACCTAGGATCAATTAATTTTTAGTCCTTCAAATACAACTTAAATCTCTGTAAGGTTACATGTCTACTAACAAGTTCTATACAAAAAAATTATCCACATACTGTGGCTGTTGAAAGCCCTGAGTCTTCAGTAGCAACCCTCAAGCCATTGGCAAGTGTGGTAACTTTAGTCTCAGGTACATTGTACAAAGACTGTTGGAGTAGAAAGAAATAAGATCAATTATGCTGATGGAAGAAACTTCCTTAACAAATAATCAAATGGACATAGAGTAAACTCTGACATACAATTTATGAATACTTCCAAAATTATAGAGCACTATTATAAAATCTGGCTGAGGCTCAAAACGTTGACAAGATGATTGATACAAGTTGCAAATAAACCTATGTCCTGAACAGAATGATGAAAAAGACTTTTAATCTCTTAGTGGAATTAGGAGCCCCACATTCGAGGAAACAATTATATTTCAATAATTAACTTATTTAAGTTGATAAAAAAAAAGAAAAACTGAGTTCTTAAACCCATTCAATACCATGAATCACCAAAAAAAATTATATCTAAACAAGCAATTCCTTCTCATACAGAAAGATTGCAAGAAGAAAAATCTAAACATTTGATTAATTAATATCAAAATTCTCAGAACTGAAATTATAATAACAACCTGTATTGCAGTATTGAGAATCCACCTTTAAATCTGCGGGGTTGGAGGAGAGGGGGGAGGGGGGTGGAGGGGTTGAAAGTGACGAGCACCACAGATTCAGTAGACAAACAGGATAACCCTCTTAGTGAGGGCTGTGTTCAAAGGGTGGATGAATTAAGTTTCCAGTTCGCACATTACTTCCTAGAAGATTATACTTAGTTAGTTAAGTAAATTACAAACTCGTTCTCGGGGGAAATTGTTTCGGTTTAGTCTAATTTAAAGGTCAGTCAGATAGGCAGGACATACGGATTTACATGTACAGACTCAAACTTTTCTGTATTTCAGTGTAATGTTTAGGAAATAGCACCTTCTTCTCTAGGGAAATGACACATACGAGGATTAAATCACTGATAAATGTTTTTTATCAAAGAAATGATCACTCACTTGTTCATATGATAGAGCTGTTGATCCGTACCTCTTACAGGCCAATATGCCGGTTTTACCCTGCAAAAGTACAAACAAATTTGAAACTTTTTAAAGCAAAGAAGGAAGTTTTATCCCTTTAAAACCAGAAGTAATCCATAAATATAACTATTTTCATATAAATAACATACTTTTGGCGTTAAAGAAAGAAGATTCGTTAATCTACCGGCATTTTTCAACCCATGACGAAAGGCGATCGGAGACGCCATGTTGAATCGTAGCGAAGAGTACAGATCTGATAGGGAGAGGTATGGGTATGAAATTATTCTGAGCATATATTTTCTTGGTGAAACGCTGACACTCCAGTTGACGGGCTCTAGGAAACTTGCACACTCATAGTTAATAAGCTCCTTTGGACTGAAATTTTCACGAAAAATTTGGTGGTTCTACCACGATTTGCGCTGCTTTGTGTAAATTTCACTCTTTGAATACTGTAAGTACCTAGAATCATGAAGACATGAGACTGGCATTGCTTCATTTTGTTCTAAAAAAAGCTAACCTCGACTATGTTGTTTGACAGTTTAGAATTAAGAAACCTCGTGGCCTTGATACTTAATATCAAGAATCATTTGAAGAATTGATAATGTTTCTCACAAGATCAGAGTACGACAGGTTAGTGTATTTCCTTAATTACGTCGAAAATGGCCACAGGATTGTTTGAGGGAAAATTAAATTTTATGTAGAGATCTACAGACGAAGGTGTCTGAGATACTTAATTGGCTAGGTGTCTTAGAGTATATGGTTCGAATCTTTAAATTAAAGCTTGATCGTATTTGGATGCGATCGTTCGTGTGAGAGTAATCCTGAAAAGATGTATTCTTGATTTCAACGATTGGTGTTTCACCAAAGTGAGCAGAAGTCTGCATGTGAATCCACCGGTGTTCTGGAAAAGTACAATGTACGTGTTGGTCACTCTAACAGCAAGAGTACTTTACATGACTGACGCTACTCAGAAAATATTATTGTAGACTGTTTCACATTTGTATTTTTTAAGCTAAACATGGTTTGGGGAATGGTATCAAGGAAAAACGATGGGTTTCACAAAAGTCTCATCTGATCTTGTAATCATGTCAGCTGTTGCATTGCAATCTTTGGGATAAGTGTAGAACTCTTGCATTCTTTTAAAAGTTCACAAGTTCTAAGAAATTTTTACTTGTTTCTAAGGGTATAGAGGTAGAATAGCTAGGAATTATTCATTGTTAGTGACAAAAGTCTTAGTATAATTGTTGCTATTTGAAAATTTAGCTGATGTATTGCAATAACAGAAGAAAAAGAGTGACTGAAACCCTAACACTGCACTTTCCTGTAATTCATTGTACCTTTTAACACCTTGAATGAAGGGCTCATAATTATGAGTAGATAAGTCTCAATCTCTGACTTTTCAAATATTGGTCTGCCTCTTGAAGAATCTGAGATTTTACCATTTGCCAGCTCATATATGCAAAGGGGTAAGAGGCAATAAATACTGTTAATGTAAATATTTTTTTTAGAGGTGTCAACACCTTTTCACCAGAGGGTCGTCTCTTTCAAGTGGAATATGCAATAGAAGCCATAAAAGTAAGCCATGACCTTTTTACACCCAGATATCAGTATCCATATTCTCCATGCTGTTCTCTATACATTTCTTTGGGTGTTGACAAGGAGAATTTGTTTAACTATCAATAAGCTCTTTACCTGGAAATCATCAATTCTATTTTTATCAACTTAATGTTTGATTTAGTAGAGATTCTGTATGGAGAAATTAGATGTTATTTACTCTTAGGGGTTGAAAGATTAATTCTGTCTGTCAGCCTGTCTGTCTGTCTAACTGATTGACTGTATGTCTACAAGCCAACCAGCTGATCATTCAAATTTTCTCAATTTTGTCTGTTAAATCTGTCAATAGAAAGCTTAAAGCTTTTCTTTTTTAATATACAGCTTGGATCAACTGCTATTGGCATACAGACATCAGAGGGTGTTGTGCTTGCTGTGGAAAAACGGATCACCTCCCCACTAATGGAACCAACCAGTGTTGAAAAAATTGTGGAAATTGACAGTCATATAGGTAATTAAAATTAGATTCACAGCATCTGCTACAATGTTCAGAGAATAAAAATTCAGTTCACGTGTATTTTTATTCAGAAGCCTTACGCTATCTTTTTCCAGTATGGTAATGAAATATGAATGTAAGTCTATCATTCTAAATATCCCAGTCAGCTAGACAGATTTCTCCTGCTACCAATAAGTATAGGCAACAACATGATTTCGAGTACAATTCGGTGTTAATAAGCACAAGTACATTTTTTCAAAGACAACAGAATTGCAGAAGCCAGTAGGGCAAGTGTAATTTGTAGTCTTTGAAAGATTTACAAGTGCCTATTTACACCAAGTTGGACTCAAAATCATGTTGTTACTTGTTAATAATTTACTTGAAAAACACATCCCAAAAAGTCAAAAAGTATAAAGTTTTGGCAGCGTGTGGATGCTTAGTGTGCACACGCTGCCAAAATTTTACAATCCTTTACACCTCAAGATTATTTGTACTTGTGTTATAACTTTGCGCATGTGTTACATGAAAAACGCATTTGTTTATAGTCAATCTGGCGCATATAATTTTTTCATGTGTATTATTAAGTTTGATTATTTGATGCAGGCAAATGATTGACGCTGATATGCTGCATGACCTGTTATGTCTTAACTGCACACTGCAAACTTGTGGGAGAGGGCCAAAACTTTGTTCTGCTGCTAGATAGGATGGAATATTGTAAAAAGAGTTTTTGTTAAATGATTTTTCTCCCATTTTTCTTCATTTTGGATATAACATACATATCTACTTCTGTCTTCATTCTTAGGTTGTGCTATGAGTGGGCTAATTGCTGATTCCAGAACAATGGTGGACAAAGCAAGAGTGGAAGCACAGGTAAACTGAGTCATTTGGGGAAAGGTTTTGTTATAGAAAGACATAAAATTTGAGATTGGTGATTGATATGTGCAATTAGGACTTCACAATATAATTAGGATGATTATACATTATTTTGAAAAAGGCTTCTTGATAAGTATTCAGCATAGAATGATGTAGTGGCTTGAAATAATGAATTACATGTAGATTCAGGAAAAAAAAAAGGAGGCACAAGTTTATCATTATATGGGTGGCCGCCATCCCTAATTCAAGATGAGAAAGGGTCCTGTTTCAGTAACCTTGCCCTGAAGATAAGAGTGCCAACCTTGCCTGCATAAAGTACTGAACAGTATGTTAAGCTTATCTGAAGTATTGGTTCCTACAGAGTATCTGTAAAATTGTCTTATTTCATGGCCTTCAAACCTATAAGTTACAGAAATAAAGCATATTGTTTGGTTGTTAAAGGCAAATAGATTTCCCTTATATATGAATTACCTTGTGTGCTCACTTGTGTGCTAGGAAAGCCCCTTTTAGTAATTTTCCCTATGATTACATGTGAATGCTGTTGTTGTTGTTTTTTTTGTAATAATTGTAGAATCACTGGTTCACATACAATGAGAAGATGAGTGTGGAAAGTGTCACGCAAGCTGTATCAAACCTTGCACTTGAGTTTGGAGATGATGATGCCAGAGAAGGAGCAATGGTAAGGAAGTCAAGTCACAATTTTTAAAATCAAATCACTTTATCAAGTGCCTTTATAAGTGAGTGTAGCTCCATGATCAATGAAGTGGTGTTTATGGGGTCTTCCAACGAAACAAATCTATGATAGGAAATGCTTCTGTGGCTAGTAATTATTTTGTACAAGACAGTCATTGCCTCTGTAATAAGTAACTCTAGCAACAAAGCACTGACTTTTCTAAGCACATCTTATACCACCTCAGTTCATGGTGGATAAAGGGGTAGGGAAAGATGATGATGATGTGCGTCTGACTCTGTCTTCTCATAAAAGTTCCAATAAGACGTACAGTAAGAGAAAACTTCTGTTTTACAGGATAAAGGCAAAGCCTGCACTGTTTTGAAGTACCTTGACCATAATAAATAACACACTCTGCTCAAACTGTATTTTGTGATGCATCTCCATCCTCTGAATTTTGCTAAATTTCATTTGGCTTGCATATGAAGTAAAATTAATTTTTTCTTTCTCCAGAGTCGTCCATTTGGTGTAGCTTTGCTATTTGGAGGAGTAGATGCCAAAGGCCCTCAACTGTAAGAGTTTTAACCTTTTACACCTTAATTTCAGTATGAATATTCTCCATACTGTTCTCTATAAATTTCCTTTTGTACTTTCAAGGAGAATTTGTCAAACAATCAAGAACTTCTTGAGTTTGTAATATTTTCCTTAATTCTCATAGCATTAATGTTTGACTCAGGTGTTAGGAGAAATTAGATTCTTATCACTTATAAGGGTGAAAGAGTTAAAACCTGATTTGGTCATTTCCTTAATTGTCAACAACTGGTTAATTTTTTCAGGGTACACACATGCATAATTTCCATCCTTTTTCAAAATTTATTAACTGCTATGGAATATGAGAAGGAAAATTCTGACAGATTTACTTGATTCAATCGATGCTCAATGATAAAGCAACATGAGTACTAATGGAGAGGCCATAAATTCAACTCAAGAAAGTTTCCAAGTATTCTCTGGTCACTAAATAAGGAAGTTCATCCTTAAAAAAATAATTTTCCTTGTACTCTTCCCTCTTCCTTCTATCAGTGGGGTGACACAGGCTAGTTAAATTTTAAAAATAATTATAACTAACCATTATAATAATTATTAATCTTTTTTTTTAGTTATCACTTGGACCCCTCTGGGACATTTTTCCAATATGATGCAAAAGCCATAGGTACAAACTTAATAAAGGTTGAAGATGTGTCAATAATATTATATAATGAACCAAATTATGCGCATATTTTGATTGGTCCTTGCTTATGGTTGGAAGACAAATGTTTAAATTATTTTACCATAAACAAAATTTCGGGTTTTTTCACATAAAACAATTGAAATGGATTCTATGTTGCCATGGTTCTGTTGAGTTACAGATCCCATAGGACATCAAAATGTGGTAAGAACAGCAGTAACACACCTGTCTTCCCCTCATGTGTCACTTTGGTGTTTTTATCACATTTTGATGTCGTCTGTGATCTCTTACTGAACAAATATGTACATTTAGCAACATGGATTGTATCTAATAAATCTATCTTCCACTGGCTAAGAGTGAATTGGAGATTCTCTGATAATTTGGTGTATCACCAGATTTATAACAGGGTAATCTGGTATTATTGACTGAGTTGATAAAATTGGCCACCATAAAGGGTTTCAAAGCTGATGTTTCAAGAATTAACCCATTTAACCCTCAGAGTGAATGGTGAAGAGCATCTGACAAAGGGCTGGTGCTTGAAATGTCAGCTTTGAAACTCTTTATGGTGGCCAATTTATGTTATCAACTCAGTTGATAATACCTAATTACCCTGTTATACTCTCCTGCTGATGCAGCACCACAGTTTCTATAGAAACTTACCCCCTTTATCACCACACTTAGTTTTTCTCCTAATCTGGGTTATTTAATTGCAGGTTCTGGGTCAGAAGGAGCACAACAAGCTCTAGAAGAAGTTTATCACAAGGTAAAAATTTTAAAATGTCTCAACAGGATGTAAATTCTTTGATTAAAACTGACAGTGGTTATTATCAAACTTGTTGTTGGTATACTACTGGCTTTGCATAACTAACTTGTAGAGAAGTAAATTTTAAAATTTCCTGGTTTGCTTTGTACAGTCTCATATGTTTCTTATCTCCTGGTATCTTGTTGTAGTCCATGACACTGAGAGAAGCTTGTAAATCAGCTCTAACAATACTCAAACAAGTTATGGAGGAAAAACTCAATGCTACAAATGTAGAGGTTAGATATTTTGATGTTGTAATGTAGAAAATTTAATTAGTGGGAAGTGGAAAGGATTTGGTGATTGATTGATTGTTTGATAGGTTTCCTGATTTCAAGAGTTAATGTTTGAATAAATGAATGGAATAATGGATGGATGAATAAATAAATGAGAACAGGAAAGAGGAAAGTGGCTGGTGGACTGACTGACTGACTGGCTGACGTACTTTCCACACAAAATAGCTTTACAAGGTCATTGTGATGATTAGACTTGCACAGCTAACACTAATTTGTTGTTTACAGCTTGGAACCTCGACACCAGACAGAAAATTCCGGATGTTCACTAAAGAGGAGATTGAGACACTTGTACAAGAAATAAAATAACTGCAACTTCAAACCAATGAAAAATTACTTTGTTTAGGTCACCCAGTACTCTCTGGCACTTAGTGTTTGTTCATAATAAAGTGGATTGGTGTTAATATAAATTGTCTGAATTGTTGTTTCAAATTGGGAGAAAGGGGTGTTTATAGAGTGACAGGCTTCCTTGAATTGACTTGTGAATGTAGCAGACTGTCACACATGAGCAAGAAGTCAGATGGGTATATTCACATGTTTGTTTTGCAAAAGACATATTTACACAGATATAAAGGCTCATTGTGTGAGCTTGGGTTACCTGTGGCTAGAGGTAGCACTATCATGGGTGTGTCTGTTACTTGCATATCTATTAAACATCAGCCATGCTGTATTAGCCCATAGCAGTAACAAATGGATGAGTTTGCAAATTTGTTGTTAGTAGGTTTTGGGATATTTTGAGTTCTTGAGGGATTTTTTAGAGGAAAAAATTAGGAACTTCTACATTACTTTTGGGAGCAGTTTTTTGGATTTTAGTGTATCAGCCAGCATATAGTATCAGAAGGCATGGACCCATATTGTAGACTTCTGAAGCCTCACACAAACATTGTGACAGTTTTTTTTTATTTTGAGCTAATGTATCAGAGAACTTCTTCTCTCAAGTCTCAAGTGGGAGGCAGCTGTGTAAACTTATTGGACACACTGCAAGAGCAGACATTAACTCAAAGCTGTTGGCAAAATAATATTATTGTCTTGTAAAATGGTATTTTATTTCTCATTTTACAGTTTTCTATTTCTTTTTCATTTTTAATTTTGTGTCTTGCCTACCTTGAGTTTCTACATCTTTAGTGTTTAAAAGCTGTAAAATGAAAGCTGTCAGATATACATGTATGTACTTTAAAAAAATAATTCTTTAACCAGAGAAAGCTTGTTATGAAAACACCAATTTACACCCTGGTTCTTCATCTGTTTACGAAGAGTATATAAAATAAAACTAATACTTTACTGTATATACTATACGTCTACATATACTATCTAACAAAACTATTAACAATTCTATAGTATTCACTAAATAGCATTTGTGTTGTTGTTTTAATTCAAAAGTTTCCACATAAATATTTGATACTGTTTCCCTTCTTTCCATTATCTTGACTAAGGAAAAAAAAATGCATCAACTGGTTTGAAAAATTTGAACTATCAAATAGACACTGTAGATAAAATACTGTTGAAGGACTAATAATATTACTATATATGAATGAAAAGGAATAAGTATGCAACACTGGCATTTTTCTACTTATTTAATCACTCTCCTGTGACCTTTTAACAACTTTAGTTTCACCATGTTTAATGGTATGAAACTCAGCCCGAGGAATACCTTTCATGTCTAATGTTTCAATTAACTTTCTTGGTGGGTCCAGATAATGCTACATGAGGAAAAAAAAAAGAAAGAGAAATGGTCAAATACCCTGCAAAACATGGAAAAACATGGGCTCTTGTTCAAGGAAATATGGCTAAATGTTTTTTAATTAATTCCAATGCAAAGACTGAAACAGTAAAGAAATTATATATTTCTAACACTCGCCTCATATGATAAATTAAATGTACCCCAATGAATTGCAACAGAAGAGTTAGATTTAACATCTTGGTGAATCTCTACAGCTTCCTGTGGGTTAACATGCTGGAAAGACATCAATCCCCTGTTTAAAAACAAAAGAAGCATCTGTGCTGCATGAGTACAACAGGATAATTTTGGTTTTATCAACTGAGTTGATAATGTAAATTGGCCACCACAAAATGTTTCAAAGCTGACATCTCGGGCATTAGCCCTTTCATCAGAGCAAATGATGAAGGGCTAATGGTTGAAATGTTAGCTTTGAAACATTTTGCAGTGGCCTATTTATACATTTTGTTTTACTCCCAAAGCAGGAGCACAGTTTCTTTAGAAACTTACCCCTTTATTCATTTGTTTATTTATTTGTTTAATCACATCTATCGTTTACCTCTCTATGACACCAGCATTACACTGGTCAGAAGTGAAAGCAAACTTCACTGATTCATTCATTTCTCAGCACCTTTTCAATTAAGGTTTCCATTTATCCCTGATCAAGTGTTCTATGACCAAAGAATGGGTCTCACTATGGCAGACTGATGACAAAGTGTCTATTTTACCCCTTTTAGAGGTTTTATCCCTTACCTCGGTTCATATGCTCCAATAGGGATAGCTGCCAGATCAAATGGACCATATCGCTCGCCTATTTGTTTAAATATGTGACAGTAACCAGAATCACCAGCAAAGAAAAATCTGTTTTGTGGACCAACGATTGACCAACTTCCCCAAAGAACCTCATTTGTATCATTTAGTCCTCTGCGGCACCAGTGCTGTGCTGGAGTAAATGCGAACTTCACTGCCTTCTCATCTTTTGTGAAGTTTGGGTGAGACAGTTCATCCCACCATTCCAGTTCAAAAACATTATTACAACCACAATTTTTCATCCATGGGCGAAGTCCCATAGGCACATACCAGAGGAGTTTATGGCCAAACCTCTTGTTCAGTTTACACACTGAGTTGTAATCAAGGTGATCATAGTGATTATGGCTAATACACACAGCATCAATTTCTGGAAGTTCGTCAACAGTGCAAGGAGCAGGGCGATATCTTTTGACTCCAAATCCCTGAACAGCACCACAATAATCACTAAATACTGGATCTATGAGGATGTTAAGTCCTTCCATTTGGACTAAAACAGTTGCATGTCCAATCCAAGTAAGCTGGATGCTATTAGATGCTGGAGATTCTAATCTTGCTTTGTTTGGTTTGAGAACTGGGAGGGTCCTGTCCAGTTTCTAGATAACAAATTTAAATATACTTGGTTAAACCAGCAGAAAATCAGTATTCAACCATTTAAGGCCTAAGAGATTCATAAGCATCAAATTTCTTGTCACAATATCAAGACATTATCACAAGTAAAGGTCATTAGACTCAGGGAAATAATCATGAAAGGATAACTTTGTTAACCTCAAAAGATTTCTCACTGAAAGGAAGTATATGTCCCTGAATGAACAAACTTTTAAATTGACTTATAAACAAAGATGTTCAAGGAGATATCTACAACTTAAAGCTGACATTTCAAGCATTTAGAATGATCATTGCTGTTAACTCAGGAATTTGAGGGGGAAGGGAGGAGGGGGGAGGTCGTATAAGAGTTCTCCTTGTAATTCAGCTTCTTGTATATATGAAATATAGTAATTATCTTTTCAGCCTTAACTCTAGCCTGGCTGGTGGAGACCCTCATCAAAAAACACTACTCCACAAAAAAAAAAAAAAAAGAAAAAAAAAAGGGTTTTATCTAGCAAACTAAAGTTTCAAAATTTAATATTTCAAGATAACGACACTTATTTTAAGTTAACTTATTTTTTTAACCTTATCATCAAACTGGAAAAAATCCTTCAGTCCTCCTCCTGGTACACTGCTGTTATTAGGAGACCCCAAAAACCATTGAGCAGCAACAAGCATTGAGGGCAATCGTGACCCACTCCATGGAAGAACAAATCTTCCATTCACTTTCTTGGCTTTAGGATACTCTGTGCTATCATAAAAAAGCTTGGCATTTTCTCTTTCTATTGATGTTGCTGTGGTCTTTTGTCTGTTAAAACAAGTTTAACCTGTTACAGGAGTGTGACTTGACAGAGCCTGTATGGCACGAGACTATCATTGACTTGGGCAACTTTTTAACCCCTACACCCTAACATCAGTAAGCAAATTCTCCCTACTATTCTCTATACATTTTATACAGCGTCAGCAAGGAGAATTTGTTTAAAAATAAAAAGTGTCTTTAGTTGGTGATCATTTCATTTATTCTCATGACCTCAATATTTGCTTCAGGGGTGATATTGTGGAGAGAAATTAGATGCTCATCACTATGGGGTCAAAAGCTTAATTGTCCTCTCTAGAAGCTCTTAAGTAATGGGCTTCCTAGATCTCTGAGACATGATAATCGCTGAATACAAATGTTAAATCTATCGATATTCCGGTTATACAGTCACAACTTAAAGCATACTTAAATCAACATTTACATCACTCAATAACTATATTTCACTGACAACATTAATACCGGTATCCATAGTAAAAATACGGTCATGCAGTCGTGTCGATCTATTCCCATGATGAACGCATTCTTAAAGATACGACAAAACAGCATACACTGATTAGTGTCTTTACCCTGCCTGCTTTCGTCACTGTTCAAAGGAGCAACAGTTCGTCTTACGTCATAAAAGTCTTTGCAAAAAGAGTACGAGCAACTCAGGTGTTTGTATACTACCTTCCGTGGAGAGAGATTCCCTCAGAGCTTCTGATAACGGCGGAGCGAATCAAATCTGTATTTTGAAAGTGTAAAAAACCTCTTCTACCGAGCTTCCGCAGCATACTTGCGTCAGACAAATCAACTTATAAAATGTGGTTCCATAAATCTAGCAACTCCGACCGCCATTTTGAAAGTGAACGGCCGAAGGGCCTGGAGTTGAAAATTTCGCCGGAGCGTTCCCAGGTTCCACTCCGTAAAAATTTGGGAAGTAGAGAAAAAAAGAGGCGAAAAATAAGTGGGAGGTAATAAGATGGCCTAAAAATAGAAAAAGAAGAATGATGAAATTTGGACAAAGTATATATTGGGAAATGGATTTTTACTCACCTAAATTTTTCCATCTCTGGCCCCTTTGCTTTCCAAGGCCCTTCTAGCAGGAATTGTCAAGAACGGTATTAAACTTCTGTCACACTGCTTTTGCTCCCAGCAGTGGTCTTTGCAAAGAGAGACATGCTGCTTGTTGAAAAGGTGTTGGTGCAAACAATTTGTTTCTTTACAAAACAGTTATTAGTACAGCCAATGGGGAAAAAGACTTTATAAGTCAGTTAGAATTTCAAAAGAGAAACAAGTTGTGTGTACTCAGTGTGTAAAAATGCTAATGATCCAGTCTAGCTAGTTTGAATTTGCAGTTTTTTCATTTGGTTTTTAGTTGTGGGGATGACCTGCAGCATTCAAAGCATAAATTAATTTATCTTTATGTAATCTCAATAAGAAAAATGCATTCATCAATATTTTTCCTGGATGACCTTTAGTAAATCTCCAACTGTACACATTTTTAGATTCATAACAGTTCAAGCACTATAATCAGTTGGTTTTCAAACTTGGGAACAAAATAAATATATAAATAAACTAGCATTAAAATTTTTAAGACAAAAAATATCTAATTCAAAACTTTTAAACCAATATGAATACCTTGTTGAGAGTTTGTTTACAGATTTTTATATCTTAAAACCATGTTTTTGTTCTTGCAAGCCAGCAAATTAAAAACAAGTTCGATTTGAGCTTTTTTTTTAAAAACAACTAGAATTTGGTCCTAATTTAAAGGTCTCTTAAAGGTCTGTACTGTCAAATCAAAATATTCAGCCCTCATGCCTGGTTAATACTAAGTTATTATTTTTTTGTGGAAATTTATTTTTAGTGCGAGGATTCAAAGACAACAGCACTGCGTCGTGCTTGAGCCTGTTTTGTAACTTCACTTGAGATAACTTTGGTCTCTCCATGTTTTATGGTGTGAAATTCTGTTTGTGGAATTCCTTTTCTGTCCAGTGTCGCACTCAGTTCTTTTGGTGGGTCAAGATAATGCTGCAAACAAAAAGAATTAAAATTATGGTCATTGAAATTTTAATTCTGTATATGACTAATTGTCAACCTTACCATCAGCATGACATAACTTTATGTTATCACCATCTTAACCCTTTACTCCCTAACATCGATCAGTAGGCATATTCTCCACACTGTTCTCTACACAATTCTTAACTCAGTTTCTGCAGCACCAAGTAACTACAGGGTTCGTACCAAATTTCACCATAAACCCTTTCATTCGCAAGATTTTAGAATCAATTCTCCTTACATTCTACATACATTTCTTAAAATGTGAGTTCTGAAAATTTTATTGCTTGAATTAAGAAGATTTCCAGGTTTTCCAGGACCTGTCTGAACCCTGTTACTAAGAGTGGTGCTCCTGAATCATAATGGATGCTAGTACAGAACAAGTTACCCCTCTTTCCACTCCCCCCCTCCCCCCACCAAATTTTCAAGGTTTCCTTGATGGTTTGTTAGTTACCTATGTGTACCCCAAGGTGAAGAAAAGTGATGAGTGTCCATTGCTTGCATGCAAATAAACTACAGTCACCTGTTCAGGGCTCAAACCCTGCCCTGCTGATCTGGTGACCAGTGGGCTAATCAATGGCCAATTTCCACCTTCCTGTCTCACACAAGGGAAAAATTTCATCTTAAATCAGAAGGATACTACTGACCTCATATGACAAATTAAAGGTTCCCCAATGAATGCCAAGAGAGAAGTTTGACTGGACATCTTCATGTATCTCAACTGCTTCTTGAGGATCAACATGTTGGAACTGCATAAGCCCTCTTTTAAGAAAGCAAAAGTCCAACTTTATACTTTCAATATCAATAACTGAGCAAAACTTAGTAAACAGGATTGTTCAGAACAAACATTTTAACATAGTAAATCAATTACTGTCTGTGGTAAAATACTGATTTAAATATTTAACAAAATCTTTGCAAAAGGGCTTTCCTTGAAGTGATATTCGTAAATGTGAGCAAGGGTATTTTCTATGCCCCTCAGGTGTTTCAGATTTGACTCAAATAATTTGGCACAAACTTCACTGTAGAGGTGTGTGACACTTAAAACAGTATGCTGCAGTTCATGTTGGTTTTGCCTTCCTAATAAAAAAAATAAGCATTTTAAAGGTTTTACTCCATACCTTGGTGCATACGCTCCAATAGGTATGGCTGCCAGATCAAATGGACCATATCGCTTGCCTATTTGTTTAAATATGTGACAGTAACCAGTGTCACCGGCAAAGAAAAATCTGTGTTGTGGACCAATGATTGACCAACTTCCCCAAAGAACCTTGTTGTTGTCATTTATTCCTCTGCGACACCAGTGTTGTGCTGGAGTAAAAGCAAACTTGACTGCTTTGTCCTGATCTGTGAATTTTGGATGAGAATGTTCATTCCACCACTGAAGTTCTACAACATTTTCACAGCCACAGTCTGACATCCATTTATGAAGCCCCATCGGCACATACCAATGGATTTTGTTACCAAACTTCTTGTTTAAATCACAGACAGTTGTGTGATCAAGATGATCATAATGGTTATGGCTGATACACACAGCATCAATGTCAGGAAGTTCATCCACAGTGCAAGGGAGGGGACGATACCGTTTCACGCCTACCATGCGAGTCATTCCACAGTAGCTGTTAAAGACTGGGTCTGTGAGAATATTGAGACCGTCCATCTGTACCAGGACAGTGGCATGACCAATCCAGGTGACTTGAAGACCATCAGGTGGAGGAGAATTTAAAGCAGCTTTGTTTGGAGACAGAACTGGGAGATTGGTGTTTAATTCCTATAAAAAGTAAAACAAAGTGTCCTATACATTACATTTGGAGTTAAGGTAGGACTAAGTAGGATCTTAACCAATTGCTGTTTTAGTTGTAGCTGGAAAATAAAAGTTTATCAACACACAAGGTGACACATGAAGGTAAGCAGGGTAAGGTTACATTTGTAAGCAAGCTAAATGGCCCATCCAGCTAGAGTTAGTCCTGGTTTCTGTAACAAAAAGTGACTAGAAGTATTAATACTCCCTCCTGGAAGGAATGCCAGCTTATCACAAGGTTACCCCCTGCATTTCATCAGGCTGGACCTAATAATTTGCCTGTACCCATTTCTACTCCTAAGTGAAGAGAGGCACTGTGAGAGTGAATTGTTTTCTTCAAGAATGCAATACAATGACACTGCCAGGTCTTGAACTTGGACCTTGCAAACCAGAATCCAGTGCATTAACCCTTTAATCCCTTGTATCAGTATGCATATTCTCCACACTACTCTAGACATTTCCTAAGGTTCTGACAGGGAGACATTGTTCAACAATCAAGAGCCACTTTAGTTGGTGATCATCTCCTTTATTCTCATTACCTTGATGTTTGATTTAGGGGTGATGTGCTAAGGAGAAATTAGATGTTAGTCACTCTTGGGGGTTAAAGGGTTAACCTTGAGGCCATGGCATCTCTACAGGTAAGGCATATAACAAGTAGTAGAGTGACTGTGGTAGTCTAGTGATTGACATGTTGGAGTTGGGATCCAAAGTTCCCTGGTGGACTGCCTGTCAGGTTGTTATGGTTGCATTCCTAGACAAGACACTTTACTTTTACACAACCTCTCTCCATCAATGGATGTAAAAGGGTGTACAGAAATTGTTTGGAAATGGGAAAAAATGCTGGGGGAGGTTACCTTTGATGGATCAGTATCCCATCCTGAAAAGGCATTGATGCTTTTAGTTGCTTTACATTAGTGATTTAGGATGAGCTCACCGAACTTGTCATATTTGTCATCAACTGAAGGTTAATCCACCCCTTGCCCCATCTCCCCTCAGTTTTTTATCCCTGAAAATGTTATCCTTGACAATGTGCAAATACTCAATCATTCCAGGGGTGGTAAGTGACACTTTCAGAGCTAATTGTTTGCCCTGGAACATGATGCAAACAGTCGACCAGGTGAAGTGCTGCATCCTGCCCACTGAGAAATCATGTTATCATGTTACTAGTGTTTGTTTTTAAATTAATCATATAACAATCATCACCGAAGAAAAAATCACTTCAATTCAAAGGAGCTGGACAATTCACCTCATTGTCATAATTATAGAAACTTGAAACCATGAATCCTGGTAAACCACTTCTGTTTGTTGAAGTCATGAACCATTTCAGTGCTGTTAGTCCTGATGGATTTGTTCCTCCCCAAGGTATTTTAAAAATTCCATTTTCTCTTATAGCTTCGGGGTATTCTTCATTTCCTGCAATCTTGTCATCTTGTTTTTCTAGCTGTGAGCCCATAGTTTGAAGCTGTTCAAGGGGGAAATAAAGAGATTTAAAAATAAGAAAGGTAACATAAGCCAAGCCAAATCTATGATTTGTTGCATTAAGAAAGAATCACAATGAACTGAGAGTTTTCCTGAACAGAAGGATTTCTACCATTTTGCAATTAGTCAGGTAATGTTATTTTAACCCTTCAGGATAGGATGCAGTTTTCATTAATCAATATGCATTAAATTATTTATGCTGTACTCTAAACAATTACTAAGGAGCTGATAAGTGGAATTTGTTTTAACCATCAATAGATTCTTAAGTTGGTGATCATTTCCTTTATTCTCAAGACTTAAATGTTTCATTCAGTGGTGATACTGTTGGGAGAAGTTCAAAGCTAGTCACTCTTAGGGGTTAAAGCATTAAGGAAGGTGGTGACTGGAGAATTGTAAGTGAAAAGTTGGAGAATATTCTCCATTCTCCACTTCTGGATGGAAAAAAAAGCTCAGGAAATGGAAATTCAGTATGTCAGTTCTGCATAATAGCAGAATTCTCTAATCTGTGAAGCATAACAAACACCCTTGGGTGAAGGGATATTCAGTCACAAGTCTCCCTTTGGATTGTCAGGATTCCACAACAGTTTATCAGTGCCCATCTATACTCTTGGATGAAGAAAGGCACTGTGACAGTAAAGGATGTTTCCAAAGAAGACAAAAAAGTAACCCTCCCAAAACTTGAATTTCAGCCATTACAAAGCAAGGTTTAAGGGGGGACCTGTTGTAACCAAGAGCCCATTAGTAACAGGCTCCTGCCCTGACTCATTTCTAAAGCACTGGCAGACAACACAGTTAACATGGGAATGTAAGACCCCTGCAAGGCACAATGGATGATTGAAAAAATGACAGAGGATGACTCAGAAACCTTTAGGGAGTGGTCAACCCTCCTACTTCAGAGTAAACCAACATAGGCACCTGTTTTGACATAGAAGGAAACACATGTTCGGATAATAACGATTATTTCTAGAATACAACTGGTTTCAAATAAAAAACGGAAGAAATATGTGGCTTGAAACCGTAAAAGGTTATGTAAGTGTAAATTTACGTCATCAGAACTAGTTATAAGACCGAATATGAAATTAATTCATTTTCTATACACCAGCTTTGCTGAATACATTCACTCTCTTTGTAAAAACCTGTGAGAACAGCTCTTCACGTAAAATTAAATGCAAAATTAGATTTCACAGACAGGAGAAAGAAACCAGAGCGAAATAGATGAATCCCAATTTTTTAAAGTTTTTTTTCCACAGACGAAGACATGAAAACATATGAAAACAGAAAAATAATAAAATGTTACCTTTATCGATTGAGTTTTAGAAGCTTAACTTCCAAAGATTTACTAGATCAAGCCCAGTGTGAATGAAACTCGAAGAAAAGTCGAGATAGGCGTAAATCCTGCTTCGTTCAACACTTCCGCTTTCAATTGTGCCGGGTACAGTTAATATGTAGCCGCTGAAACGTCACGCCTTAGCTGTGAAGGAACGCTTCAACATAAAGGATGTTTTTCTAGAATGCTTTGCGCGCCTAGTAATCGACGATGTGTGTTTTCCAACCCTCCCACGCACTTTCCGCTAATGATTTGTTATTTTTGGTGCAGGAATATCCTGATGTAGGAAAATTCCAATATTTTTACTGATGTTCCGGTCGAAATGTGAGATATTTCGACCGTGAGTCGCTCCGAGGATCAAGCAAACGAATTCATCCATAGTATGTTTTAGGCTCCTTACCCATGAAAATGTTTAGATTAGTTGTTAATTTGAATATTTTTGGTAACTTCCATCAACTTTCGCATCACGTTCTGTATCATCCTGACTTTCTTGAGGTCAGCTAATGAGCTTCCTAACACGTAAGGTAGATCTCGCAGATATCCAGGTTCTGTGTAAATTGTGTAATATTTTCTTATTTAGCAGAGAACAGTACCAATTCATTATAAATGAAATCCTACACATATCTAAACCGTTTACTTCCATAAGTGACAAAGCTATTAATTGGATAACACAGATTCATCCCCAACAAATGAAATAAAATCTTTATTCTTCTAAGTACATTTTTCATACAAATTTACATAATTTTTTTCTTGGACCTTAATTAAGATGCCAAAATAATAATGATAAAAAATTTCAGTTAAGCAATATGTTTATTTTGTTGTAGTTTAAAAGCCTTAGGACATTGGATCAAAGTAATTTAAAATTAGCTAGTTTTGTATTTCCTTTGCTTACAAAATGGCCATGGTACTTTAACTGGAACAAAGTTAAATTAACTTATCTGTTGTTTTTTTTTTAGTCAGTTGTTGTAAATTGTTGTTTTTTTATATGTGATGGAAAATAAAAATAAATTCAATGAACTAAAAAAATCTGGAACAAAGGAAAAGGCAGAGTTAACTAATTTAAAACTATTATGACCCCAAAATTCATCATGAATATCAAAATTTATTCTGTAAGCAATTTTGTTTAGACTGGGTCTTTACTGAAGATTTCAATCCTCCAGTTTTAAGCAGAAATTTCCCAGTACCCTTTTCAATTGTGGTTGTCATTTTTTCATTTTATGACTCTGGTTTCTCCATGTTTCATGATAAAGAAGCTGTCTTCTGGTATTTCTTTTTCCTTGAGTGCTTCACTAAGATCTTTGGGTGGATCCATATAATGCTACAAAGTAAGTAAAAGAAAATGGAATGACAAATTAATCTGTAATTAACCAAAAAGGGTTCTTATAACATCTACTGTAACTGTGTCTGTTGTGGTGACTTATTGATCTCCATTTTCTGAAGTGAAAACAAGACTTAGTGCAGCTGTTTAATTTGACAATGGCTGCAGTAAAGATTTTCTCAGATAGCTACTTAGAGGCACAACAGAATTTGAAAACATTATTTCTAAGAAGTGACACACACTTGAACACAAAAAAGGGAATATCTGCAAAAATTGCAGAAATTCTTAACAGTGGAATTATCAAATTGGCACAAACTCCTCTGTTGCACTCAGTAAATTTATTTCAGAAATGATTCCCTACTTTTTATTAGCCTTTGAACTCCAGAGTGATGATTATGAAGTAAATTCTCCTTACAAAATCAGTACATTTTATGCAAAAGGATTGTGAGAAAACAAAAACCAATAAAAGTTGGAGGAAGTTAGCTTAATAGAGTACAGGTGCTAGGAAAGACTGGAAACTTTCCAATTCTGATAACGGACAACTTTAACATAAGTAACACTTCCAATGTCTAAAACTGATAACGCAAAACAGCTCTCTAGTTAAACTATTGATGTGTGAATGTCAAATAACTTACACATTAAGCGTTTGATCTCTCCCTACCCTTAAAAGGTTAAATTTTAACCTTTTAAGGGTAGGGAGAGATCAAACGCTTAATGGTCTCTTTACAATTCTTCCCAGACAAGTACAACTCAGGCATTAAAAATGGGAATGAATGTATTGGACTCGAAAGAGAGAATTTCAACTGAGATCTTAGAAGATAGAAGAATTAAAATGATGTATCAATACCTCTTTTCCAGTGGGAAATGTTCCCCAATGAATTCCTAAGGAACAGTGAGATTGAACATCTTCATGAATACAAACAGCTTCTTTTGGATCAACATGTGCAAATTGTGCAAACCATCTGCAAGAAAGTTAAAATTATGAAAAATATGAAGAAATTAGCACCACAACAGACATTCAATTGAAAGTTGTAAACTACAGCAATAAGAAAATGGCTGGAAAATGGGATTTGAACAAAGTTTGGGATGCCAAATGGGGATTTACACCCCTTCCCATTCCCCTTCAGAACCCAGTCTTCTTAATGTACTCCTTTTTAGAGAGAGGCAATGTCAACAGAGCTATGTCTTGCCCATTAGAGTACAAATAGACTTTCCCAACCTTGGCTTGTAGGCACCAATTGGTATTGCTGCAAAATCAAATGGTCCAAAGCGTTTTCCAATCTGCTTGAATCCTTTGCAGTAACCAGTATCACCAGCAAAGAAGAATCTGTGCTTAGGCCCTAGGATAGTCCAACTTCCCCACAACACCTGGTTTTTATCTGTGGCTGAGCGACGACACCAATGTTGCGTTGGTGTGAAGACAAACTTAACAGTGCTGTGGCTTTGAATTTCTGCATCAGTTTTCTTTGAAAGCTCTGCCTCTTCCCACCATTCAAGTTCTACAGCATTTTTACAGCCGCTGCTTGCCATCCATGATTTTAGCCCATTAGGAACATACCACTTAAGCTGATCTCCAAACCTCTGATGAAGTTCTTTGACAGTTTTTACATCAAGATGGTCGTAGTGGTCATGACTGATGCATACTGCGTCAATTCTAGGTAGTTCATTTACAGTACAGGGAGCAGGTCTATAGCGTGTCATGCTGAATAATTGTGTGGGTCCACAGTAGCTGTTGAGAATGGGGTCAGCTAAAATATTGAAACCATCCATTTGAACAAGAACACTGGCATGTCCAAGCCACGTCACTTGAATATTATCTGAAGGAGGTGATGATAAAACTGTACTGTCGAGGGTCAGGACAGGAAGGTTTTGCTCCAGTTCCTGTTTGAAAAATGTTAAAATGAAACAAAAAGAAATCAGTGATAACAATAACAATGACAAAAATGATACTAATGATAACGATAATAAAAAAATTTCAATAGTTTGACTAGAGGAGATTTCTGTATTAATTAAACCCTTATGTACTCTATTCCAATTCAAAGTAGTCCTCAACCCTTTAACTCCCAGAAGTGATTCACATGTAACTTCTCCCTATAATATGCATACACTGTCCAGCAAAAATGTAATGAGAATACTCGAACTTATCAGGTAGAGGTTGTTATTTTGATGTAACAACATTCTTGTAACTTATTTACAAGGAAATGTGAAGCAGCTAGAGGGGAGAATTGACAATCAGATCTTTGGTCAGTTATCTTGATGTAACAACAAATTCTTGTAACTTATTTACAAGGAAACGTTAAGCAGCTAGAGGCAAGAATTGACAATCAGATCTTGGGTCAGTTAAAGGGTTAAAGCACTCACAGGTTTTCTTTTATCCAATTTCTGTGTGTATGATGAAGTATGGGGTAATATTCGGAAATCTTGGCGACAAGGGATGTGATCAGTTATTGAGATGAATACACTTAGTGACTCATTACGTAATTTCAATTAGTATTAAATATTACAACAACTATTTCATCCACCTTCTACTAAACAAGTTTATGTTTTTAACATGTTTGTCACGATGAAAGTTTATTACTTAGAACAACGATAGATGGATGAGCATTACTATTTTTAGAAAATACCTCAGTGTTGAAACGAAACAGTTCCTTCCAGCTTCCACGAACTCCTCGTTCATTTTTCTCAGTCATCTTCCACCTAAGAACCTCAAACAATGATGGCATATGAGCGGTACCCCAAGGATCAACATAACGACCATTTACTTGTACTGCTCTTTGTAAGGTTTCTGATTCTTTTTCCTGTTCGACTTTGTCATCAAAAAACTGATCGACACTGCTCTTCCTCATCGCCATGTTTACTTCGAATGACCGCGCGAGAACTGAAGCCGAACTGTCTACGGTTGGGATATTATAGGCAGCTGTCACCACCAAAAATTCGAGGATGTCAAATAGTTCAACAAATACAAAGCTGGTATAAAGATCAGCTACAGGATTGAATAGCTAATAAAGGAATGGCATGGCCAAATTATAGACGGTTTAGTTTTCCTTCGTGAAACAGAACACCCTAAACATGGATAGCTTAGCCAAATGATAAACGGTCTAGTTGCCCATGTCGAGTTGGAACATGAAATAATTGTGAAATGGACTAGCTCAATTGCGAATAGCTTGGCACTCATTTGCAATAAAGTACACAAACGATGTTGCGTTGCGTCAAATGGCTCGGGACAACGTCGAGTAACACAGCGTACACACAAACGGTGTAGCGTTGTGTCAATTAGCTCAGCGTAAAGTAGAATGGTACAGCATACACACATACGGTGTAGCGTTGCGTGAAATGGCTTAGCGTAATGTCGAATGGTACAGCGTACATACAAACAGTGTAGCGTTGCGTGAAATGGCTCAGCGTACACACAAATGGTGTAGAGTTGCATGAAATGGCTCAGCGTAATGTAGAATGGTACATTCTGATCGATTTGACATCCTTGTGTTTTTGGTGGTGACGGCCGCCCATAGGATATTAGTTCGGCTAAGTTTCGTCTAAGATCGGCTTTTTCCGGGATATTCTTCGGACTTCGAGTCACGTGCGTGTCTGGTCCAGGCAGGCGCGGTATCTGCAGAGACGTGAAGGGGGGAATCTAATACGGTTAATCCTTTGTAATTATTGCAAAACACTTTCGAAATCAGCTTTATAGTAAACACTGATATTTTCCACAAGATGCCGACTAAGCTTTTTATGTTATGCTCCTTAATCTTTAGCACATGCCAAGGACTGCAGTTCAATGTTTCTCGAGTCGCCTTAGTAACAAATTTGGGGTCGAAGGACCTTTTTACAAATCTTGACCCTTCTGCAAAATGCCCCAACGAGAAACCAAATCTTGATGCCGGAAGACCGTGGTGTGTGGAAAGGAAAGCTTATTGCAGTTCTCAAGGCTGTTGTGTCTGTGAATGCCAGTACTCTGATGCAACCTTTCAGTTGAAAATGAATCCATACAACGCAAGTTGTGTTGGAAACAAGGACATTCGTACTTTTGCAGGTAGGCTCAAGATTATCAATATTGATATTTTACATTTCGCAATTAATATTTCCTAAATCTCGACCTGCTAAAATGATATGTATGCAGAGGAGACGTCAAATATACCTCTATTATTTCTTTTGACGGAATATTCTTGAATTGAAATTAGCCGATGATCCACTGATTAAGAAATTTTCATTCATTCCTAAATCCAAGACAATTTAGGGCCTTGCTCCGAGATTGAGTATCGCAAGTACTTTCAAAATAATCCAGGTGATCGAAATAATACTATTCTGCAAAAGTTATGATAATATCGCTTTATCTACCAACGGGATCCATGATTAAATCCTACAGCTACGACGAGAAGGTTTCATTCATTATTATGGAGTTGTAATGGAAGTGACGTTACGTAATCGGAGTCAGTGGGGTCTAATCCAAACTTGACCGTTTTGAGATAATGTGTCGAAACATTGCCAAAAAAAGAATCCAGCCTAGGTCATCAGGTCATATAATTGTGAGTAATGCAGAACAGCCCCTCGCCCAGTCCCTCCGTCCTCTTAAAGCCGTGACAAAATTAAGCGCACTAGTAATCATAATCATTTTTTTTTCCTTTAAAAAGGCTGTTCAAAGTTGTTTGAATCAGAAGCATCGGCCCATCCTTTGATAGCTCTGGATCCTTCAGCATCAGGCTTTAAGGGAATTATAAACCTATCAAACAAATGCAAAGTGAAATCTGTGGAATATTTAGACATAACATGGAAACCGTTAGCCAAGAAAGACACTGATACATTTAGTATAAGCAGCATTAAAAACTGGCCATATACAGCATTATTGGTAGGTACCCTTGACCAAGACTAAAGTAAGGATTTTTTTCTTCCTGTACTTATTTCCACCAACAGATTACAGAGCAGTACAGTAAAATACAATGCAATACAGTACAAAACATTAAATCACTGTCCAAAAATAAAAAATAAAAAAAAATAATAATCACAGTTGACTTGTGACTGTACTTGCGATAAAATGCTGACTTAAATCATGGAATAAAATTTAAAATTACTTCCAGTATGGGGAATGCACTGCTTGGGAATTACTTAGATTTAATATGCAAGAGATATAAGTGATCAAATATAATACTGGCTGCAACACTTATGCTACCTTAACACTACTTTGGGTGCAAGAAAGGGGAACAAAGTCCCTGCACAAGGCATGAGAATGAAGCTGAAAAAAGGTCACTTTGAATTGCTGAAGAAAAGAATGATGGTTGATAGTTTTGTTTTTATTCAATGATTAAGAGTTGTAATGACTGTTTGAAAATTTCCCAACTTTAACCCTTAACTCACTTGCATCAGTATACATATTCTCCATACTGTTCTCTTTACATTTCCCTAGGCACTGATAAGGAGAATTTGCTTAACAATCAATAGCTTATTTTATTTAGTGATCATTTCCTCTATTCTTTGTACTTAAATAGATGATTTGTGGTTGTTATTGTAAGGAGAAAATAGTTGCTAGTCACTCTAAGGGATTAGAAGGTTAAGATTTGATTGTTATCCCTTTAACTCCCACAAGTGATTAACATGAAACTTCTCCCTATAATATTCATACATTATCCAGCAAACAGGTAATGAGAATATTCAAACATGTAAGGTAGAAGTTTTTATCCCAATATGACACCAAATTCTCTTAACTAATTTACAAGGAAATGTGTTAGAGCTAGAGGGGAGATTTAACAATCAGATCTGAGGAGTTAAAGGGTTATGAGTGTTGGATTTAGCAGCCATTTTACTCTCACTACCTTTTGGGGGGCAATGTTTTATGACTTGTCTGAAGTCAAAATGAGATGAACATTTTTAGGAAATATTTCTCAAGATCTATTGTTCTTTTTTTAACCCTTTAACTCCCATGAGTGACTATTAAGACAGAATTTCTCCTTACAATATCAATACAATATCAAGCAGATAACTAATGAGAATAAAGAAAAATATCAATTTGGGGATAATTAATTGATCCAATGCTAAATTCTCTGAACTAATATTCTAAGAATTGTATAGTTAACCGTAAGGAGAATTAAAAATTTGATCTGGGAGTTAAAGGGTTAATAAAAGTTACCTCCATTTCCTCAGTTACTTTAGTATGAAGCCCTGAGATGTTGCGTAAATCTCCAAAAACAAATTCCAGCTCTACTTCTTTCTCTGAAGTCCAGCAAAGTGGTCAGTGGCTTTGCACATCAACTAATATCCCATTAGGTTTCTTCTTAAAACCAAAATGTTATTTCTGTTGACCATTTTATAAACAAAGGCTGTCAAATATGATTTTTTCCTTTTTTACAGCTACTTAGAAAAAAGTTGAGCCTGGAGCTCTGGCATTATAGTTTTACTGGTTATTTTATTTACTATTTTTATCTCAATTTTTTTTTTTACCTTAACTGGGGATCACATTATTCCATGTATATTTATCTATAATTTTATTAAAATTATGAATCAGCAACTCAGGAAAGAATTTATACATTTGAGTTGCAGTTCAGTGAGCTCTTAAACTTTTTTTTTTTTATCACAGTGGAATGGACATCTGAATTCTGCATATTTTGGTTACATCATGAGAGTGAATGTTGAGTGTGGTAAAGGAAATAATAAACAAACATACTGTGTTCTCTTCAAAACAAGAGGAACATTATCAGGTATGTTCCCATGTTTCCACATAGGATTAAGTTTTACAAGCCAAGAGAACCTGATCTTGCTACTGCAATGTATCTGGGTATCAATAGCATAGTGAAAGTAAGTAGAGTATTGTTAGCTTGCACTCTTTGGTGAGTGTGGTGCTTTTGACCTCTACTCTTTTATTTATTTGTTACGTGCAGTGACTATTCCAGACCTCTCAACTCAAAAACCACCAGTTACCAAAGGACAGTCTACAACAGTAAAGCATCCAACTAAAATAATCACCAAGAAGGCCGCAACAACAACAACAACAACAACAGCAGCAATAACAACAGCAGCAACCACAACAGCAGCAAGCACAACAGCGGCAACCACAACAGCGGCAACCACAATAGCAGCAACCACAACGGCAGCAACAACGACAGCAGCAACAACAACAGCAGCAGGAACAACAGTGACAATAACAACAAAAGCAAAAACAATAGAAACAACAAAAGCTATGACAAGAAAGTCAACACACATGGCTTCAGCTGTAACAGTCAAATCAACTACAAATCATGTGGACCTCACAACAAAAAGGACAATTACATCTGCAAATGCTGAAACCTCTCCAACTAAGGTATGTGAAAAGAGTACTTACTTCTGCTGTCCTACAAGAGCCTCTTTGTGGTTGTGCTGCTGCCAGACCAATTTGGCTTAATTTAGGGATTCATTTGAAAGCAGCTCCTTTATCATTCACAGAGAGGCAATTACATTATTGTGCCCTTGAGCAGATGCATTAAAAATTTGTTTAAATGTTTTCGTAGTCAGATATGGAAATTAGCCATGTGCTTTTGCTTCTTACTGAAGGTAGGCTCTATTCACTGTGGTTAATACTTGAATGGGTGAGCAAGAGAAATCCTGTTTTGTTAACTTTTTTTTCCTTGTCTTTATTTTTCAATTGCATTCCTTTACTTTAAAGAGTCAGCTTTAGCTTTATTATTTTCCACATAAAACCAGAGTGACTGAAGATAACAACCAATGCATCCACAAAAACGCCTCCAGGTGTTTTGTTTAACTTAAAATACTCTGAATACATACAGGTCCCTACGTCTAAGGCAAAAACAACAGAAAATACAAAAAGCACCATAATCATGGCAGAGAATACTTCCACTACTGAAAGTCAAGTTATCACAGATCACCCTTTCGAAACATTGCCAATAGAATCAACTGCAGGAGATTTTGCAACTCTGGAGCCAACTCACCACAGCTCAGGAAATAAAGAGCCAGAAAACAATGAAAATAAGTTTAGTGCTCAAAAACAAGACAAGCTAGAAGACATGACGATTTTTATAGTGATAGGCGTCGCTGCTGTGATCTGCATTTCTGTTGGGTTGCTGTGCACTTGGCTCATTATCAGTCAGCGGAGAAAGCACAGGTAACTGTCAATAGTTGGCAGTGGCTTTGATTGTGTTTTGTATTAGACACTTTCAGGTCTGGTAAAAAAAATTTTCCCTATATGTGGCCATTTAAATGAATTTGTATGCTGAATAATATGGCATCGTTATGAAACCACTGTGTTTGACAATTCAAATGAAAGCTGTAAAGCAGTGCTTTTAAATATTTATTTTACTGCTTAAGGAAGTTTTGATTCTAAGTTCTGGTTATTTACACAAGCTCTAAACCAAACCAGGGTTTTACACAATCAGTGAGCCTCAGTTACTTTCTATTAGAGGATTGATTTAATTAAATTAAAATGTCCATCCTCTGTTAGCTTTCGACTATCTTGACACTCTTAACTTAAAACACTCATAAGATAAAAGCATTCAACTAAATTGACGATTGTTTAGGATGTGGTTTTGTTAAACAATGACCAGACTTTGTTTGAATTATGGGCCCTAAGAGTCTCTGGTGGAATCCCTAGTGTGTGACAACTAAAATGAAAGCTACTTTCACCTCAACTCTGATTGAAACATTTTATCTCACTTTTCAGGAATGCTGAAAGTTATGGTGCTAGAACAACAGGTAAAGTTATCAAGTGTTCTTAAGTTACTTAACTTCACGGGTTTATCATGAACCAACCTAATGACCAGCTCCCAGTTAGCTTGTTAGCTCAGTGGATAGAGCACTGCACCAGTATCGCAGAGGTCATGGGTTCAAATCCCGTACGGGTCTGAATTTTTTTCAGGCCATATTTTCACTACTGCTTAAGTAGTGTTCATTACTGTGAAAATCGATCTTAAATTAATTAACATAGTTTTGTGCTCAATTATCTTTGAAATGAAGCGATATGTCACCATTGAATGTCATTGTGCAAAAGGTTCACAAGTTCTTTCAGTCATTAGGGAATCATCTTTTCTAGTACTACGTGAGCTACAAATAAATATTCTGTATATTAAACTGCAGGAAGGTTTCCCGTTTGTTCTTTGATTTTTGTATTTCTGGATTGTTTAGTTTTTTTTTATGTAGATTTGTTTCATTTTTTTACTTTCAGTTATTGCAAACCCTACAACTGGTGCACAGGTAAGTTGCCACGTTAGTGCTTAGTTTCCACAGTCTGACTTGTAATTCTGCCTTTCTGCTGGTATTATTTTCTCTATTGATTAGTTTAGGGAAAGAAGTGTTACACCAAGAACTTACACACAGACTAGTTGATACATATTGAAATCACTATTTTGCTGGTTAATCCTATAACCCCAAGGAGTGACTGGCATCTAATTTCTTCACTCATGAATCAAACATTTTAAAGCTCACTAGAACAAAAGAAATGATTACCACTTGAAGAAGCTCTTGGTTGTTAAAAAATTGTCAGCACCTTAAGAAAGAGAATAGTATGAAAAATGTGCATATTGATGTTAGGGTGTAAAGGGTAAAAGGAAGTGAAATTTGAGAAAATACACTAGAATCTCTTTTGGAAAATGAAAGGAGTAAGCTTGCAGTGCTCAGTCTTTGGTTTTTACTTAGTAGGATTCAACCATATATTTTCAATATCGCTAAATTGCTCGTTGAATGGCTTTTACTCTCGGTTGGTCACTTGCTCGGCGTTTCGATTGAGCGTCGTTTAACTTGTGCTAGTTGAAAGTAACAACAGCGGGAAGTCCGAAAAAAACAAATTTATCACAAGCAGCCAATGAGAACTTGAAGGAATCACATGCAATCAACCCTAAGCGCGGGCAAGCGCGATTGGCTTCTAGTCAGCGTGCTTCTCATTGATTGAAAGGGAGCCTCAATGGAAATTATTGATACTATAAGCAATTTTCGGTTGGTTTTTTAATGTAATCCGGTTCTTAGCTTCGGTTTTTAATTCACAAGATTCGCGTAACTTTTTTTTTTTTAACAAATCAGGTGGAGAACTATAACAAATCACAGTTCTCCCATTTGAAATGTGTTTTACTTTCCTGTGTTGGGCAAAAATGAAAAGTTTCCCGGTTCTTTAAGACGTCTTCTTTTATTTAACAACAATTACTTAGTGAATTTAACCCACTAGGTAGGTTTGTGTTTTATATTCTAGAACCACTTCCCTATGACTGGCTTTTTTAAGAATCCTGTGTGCGATGACGCAGTCTATATGGAACCAGAAGCTCTGGTTCGCAAGTCTTCCGTCAGTCTTATAGGTGAGTTGATTGTAACTCAAACATACCCTCTTCCCTTGGGGCTTTCCTTGATCGGTTTCTGAAAATGAAGGGGAAAAGGTTAGTCTCTTCCCAGCTGTCGTTTGGGCATGTCACGCGACAATCTGGGTGGGGACTGGAGTGGAGGCTGTGACGAGCTCAAAGGACGGCTGGAAGGGTGAACACTCTATTTATTTATTTATCCTTTCAGTTCATCATTATTACATTGGCTGAACTGCAAATAACTATAGCTAACTAAGCTCAGCAATTAAGATTGAAATATCAAACTAAATTAACTAAGCTAGCTGCCTAAACTAAATTGGATTAGTGTTGAGACGGAGGTAATTTGGAATATGGGTATGGAAGGCCTCAAGGTCAGATTTGGTGGGTTGAAATTTATTTAATTTTTCTACATTTCCAGGCAATCCTTCCTACGAGAATTGTGAAGATTTGCTAATAAACAACCCTGGAGCAAAGAACAGCCAGCAGATACTGCTGAACAACGCCACGAAAAAGTCACTCAATACGTCCAGTAGAAATATTATTCCTACTAAGGAAAATTCTTACGACTGTGCTCACGTTAGATCCCATAACAATGGAAAACCAGATCAAGATAAACCTGTTTATCAGAGCTTGGTAGAAGCAGACGTCGAGGCAAGCTGCACGTCAGATCCTAATCTAAACACTTATCAGAGCTTGAATCCCGATGGATTAATCTACCAACCCTTAATAAAAAGCGTGGTACAGGAGGTATTTAAGTGTTCCTCTGTTTTAAGATTACACTAGAACGTATTTCGATTGAGTGTCGTTCAACCAAAATCAAAGTCACCAAACGACCAATCAAAAGAAATATAATATGACAAGGAGCCAATGAGAGCTCAGGACTCAAAGCGCGGGAAAACACGGGTGACCAAGGTAGGATTGGTTTTAGTTTTGCTTTTGATTGGCGGACAGGGTTGCTCGAGTCTTCTGAGCCAATAATTGAGCGAATCTAGCAAAAGCAGCCCAGTTCTTGATTGCACTATCTCGTAAACGAAGGGGCATCTTTTGATCTTTTGCCTTTGAACGCAACACGGGGTGGAAGAGATTCAGGCCCGAATCCACGACCTCGGAATTTTCACGGAGATTAGTAGAGTTAGATATTAGATGTTTTCAAGAGAGAGTTTTGAAACGCCTTTTACACTGAACTTCGTAGGCTTGATTAAGTCTTTGTTTCACCAAATCCTTTTTTTTCTTTCTTTCAGCGTCAATATGAAGTACCTGAATATCTAGCCCTTCTCAACCCTGGTGAAACCCCAGGAAAAAACCTACCCAGTCCCCCTGAGTATCAACCGCCCTACACCACAGGTCCACCCCCAGCGGATTTGGAAGAATCACCTGAGTATGCTGACTATGCAGATTTAGACGAACTTGAAAAGATATCGGCAAATGAGGCCTCTAATAAGAGTTTAAATGGAGAACAATGTTATTTAACACCACTACATAATGTCCCTGAGGGGCCTAACTATGATTACGCCAATGAATCCATGTACGATGTCCTGGAGGGTCCTGATCCGCGCATTTATGGAAATGTCAACCTTGGATTTGAGCCACCCGCGTATGAGGTCCCTGAACGACCAGATTTTAATTGAACTGGAAGAAGCGTACTAAACATGCGTGATAGTGAGGGACTGGCCGTTATTCATTGCCTAAGGGGGGAAGGGGGGGGGAGTAGGGGTTTGTAGGAATTGCGACCACTGACCCGCCTCCATTCCCTCTAAAAGCTATGTAATTCCTAAAAATCCCTCCACCCCCATGTGCATGTACAGTGTTTAAGTGGCCATCAACTCACTCATCTTACTTCCCCACACGAGTAAAATAACAATGTATTTAATCCATGGTGACGTCATCTGTTCGTGTGTCCTTTTATAGATCATAATTAAGAACCAGTCGTATGGTTTAAAAGAAAATGGATCACAATCCGCTAATCACAATTCATGAACTTGACTTGTTGAAACCAAGGGTCAACCGCAATGTTGTCCGTGAAATCTCTAAAGAACTTCAGAGTTAAAATGTTGCAGGAATTTGAATGAATATTTTTTATTAATCAGTGAGATAACGTATATTTGGAAAAACAACGTCTATTTTAAGATAACTTATCTTTTATGTTATATATGTTTGAAAAAAAAATGTTAATTCAAATAACGAAATCTTATTTGATCGAAGATTATTTTATTAAATAACTAGCTCAACTATTTAAATGTTTTACTTTCTTAATGTTGGAAAGCCCTATTCCAAGTTAGAATATCAACTCTCGATGGAGATTTGTTCATTTTGGAAAAGTCAGCTTTCGAATCCTTAAGACTTTCGTCGGTAATCCTTTTTAATTTTCTACTTCATTATCTATTCACACTCCTACTTAATTTTTATTACCATTGTGGAGAGAGTTAAGAGTGTCCTCTTCGAAATAGGGCTTGGACAGGGAAGAGACTGAAATCATGGGTAACGCTTCCGACCCTTTTAAGTCCAGACGATCTTTTCCTTCGAATTTTAACGCATGTTACAACGTTCCTTTTTAGGTATCGCTAGAAAGTTATGCTTCCTTTTCGATTTGTTTTTTTTTTAACTTTCCATCGAGGACGAAGTGGGTAAGGAAAATTGAAACAATAATTCCTCTTTGGAGCTCCCTCGTGGTTACATTCGCCCCTTTTGTGAAGATTCCCTTTACTTCTAAATTAGTCAGATAACGGCTACACATTTCGTTGAGACAAATTGAGTGATTGCGATACAAAAGGATTTTTATAACGGCGGAAAATACCTCGAGAAGGTGATATTCAGGCCTGAGCTTATTACATTCCATAAGAATATAAACCGACACGGAAGATGAAAAATTCCTTTAAAGGAGATAGAACGCAGATGTCAATTACGCAAATCGCTAATTGATTCCAAGCGTCAACTGACGAATAGGAGAAAAAAAACATCCTGTTTTTCTTCGTAATTTCACCATGGAAAGAAATTATGTGCCCCTGTCTCGTAGGGTGAGAGGCAAGGGTCAAATATATTTGTCCCATTCCGTTCTCTAAACTATTTTCAGTAGTCCTCTGACGTTGAGCATTTGCGCGTAAAATTTTGAAGATTTGTACAACGTAGACCGTAAAAGACACGGAATAATGTGGTTTTTGTTTCATGGTGGGATACACACGAAAAGTGCCAAATATTTACTCAGCAATAATTCAGTTGAAGGTCACATGATGTCGGGATTAAATTTCGCGGTGTGTTTATTTCTGGAACAATGATTAGGTAGCTTCAAAATACGACCAAGGGAGCATTTTCCTCGTCCATAGAACCCAAAAGCATGAGTCAGAATATTGATTTACTTACAGTCCTTTTCGCTGTGTGTTATTTCATCGTCAAAGGTCGGACTGATGTCGTTTTTTCTACTCTGACTCGAGATGTCGATGGAGACTACTTCACTGACGTTTGCGGAAATTGCTATAAATACGGGGCGGTCGAAACACAAAGGGTTTGCAGATGCAAATCAACGCATTCAGTTTTTCTGCGAAATGAAGGACGATGCAAGGATAGAAATGACTTCGTGAATAGTAAGTAAGGTGGAATTTAGCGTGCTTGCTCTCCAAGCATAACTACACTAGCTAACTTCTCTAGAAGTGTTGAATTATTTATTGGAGTAAGTACTCTGTGCAGTATGTGCTGTTACGTGGTATAGAAGTAGCTTTATCAAAACAATCAAGTATAGAGCTGAAAGAGTAGTGATGTTTTTGAGATGTTGAACTTTGTTCCATTCACGTGAAAAGCTTAAATCAAGTACTCAAGCTTTGAATTAATCAACACAAAAATTTTCCTTTAGCATGCTTTGACTAGCTCTAAAATTATGAAAACTTGCAGAGACCTTCTTTAACGGCATATTTCACCTATTTTTGTAACTAGATGGAATAACTATTTATATACCTAACAGCCATAAAATTGTCAAAGAAATAAAACTAAACGTTAAAGTAAGCCAGTTTGGAATGAATTTCCTTTTAATGATTCAGTGTGGCCATATTACAGAATACCAAGGAAAATATTTTCTTTCACTCTATATAAACTGGTAGTTTAAGGGGATAAGTTTCTAAAGAAACTGTGGTGCTGTGTTGGTGGGAGAGTAGAAGAGGATAATATCGTATTGTCAAGGGTTTCAAAGCTAACGTTTTAAGCATTAGCTCTTTGTCAGAGCCAATAGAAGCAGAAGTGGAATTTAACATGCTTTGCTTCGTCAGAGCATTTTCTTTGATGAAGAGCTAACCCTTGACACATCAGCTTTGAAACCCTTTAAGGTGACTAATTTACATTATCAACTCAGTTGATAATACTAAATACCCTCAAAAATGTTACTAAATACCCTGATATGTAGGTTAATTTTATACTTAAGTCATGGGGCTTATCCAGCTAGAGCTTATATTGGTATCCTGTGCAACTCCCTCCCGATTGATGGGATGCCAGTCTATTGCAATCAGGCTTCCCTGATAATTTGCTGATACATAATCTGATACAAGAGTAAAGTGTTTTGTCCATGCAACACAGTGACATTGCCTGAGTTCTTGAGCCTGTACCTCTCTATCTGGATTCCAATGCACTAACCATTTGAGGCTATTACATCTCCTGAACCCTTTAACCCCTAAGAGTGACTAGCATCTAATTTCTCCTTACAATATCACCACTGAATCACACATTAATGTCTTGAGAATAAAGGAAATGATCACCGACTAAAGAAACTCTTGATTGTTAGACAAATTCTCCTAGTCAGCACCTTTAGCAAATGTATGTAGAACAGTATGGAGAATATGCATACTGATTCCAGGGTGTAAAGGGTCAATAAATATGAATTATTTGTTTACCTAATTATGTCATTTGATTAGTTCATTATATTCATTGCTTTGTTTTAATTTTTCCACAGTAGAGGAGAAATGTCTTTCTTGGCACAAATTGGTAGAAGTTATTGATCCTGAAAAAGAAGCTAAATATTATTTTAATCAAGTTTACTCCAAATATGAGTCATGCCGTTTGAAACCACTGATATCCTTTCATAACAGTAGTACAGGAAAATGGCATTTAGCCAATTTGACAGGAAATCAGTTCCTCATTTTGAATGCCCGGGTACATTCATCCATTCAAGTGAAGGTATGCTGAATAATTGTCAAGCTTTTATGAAGTATTGGGTAATATTATTTGATACTACAATTGTGAATTGAAGCAAATTATTTCATAGTCACCTTTTTGAATGCAGTTACGTACTGTTATGAAACACCCATATATATTAGTTACAAAAAAATTTCTTAGGGTATAGCATTCCACAGGTTAACTGACTGTTTTTTTTCTCAGTTGAAACAGAAACCTCAAAGGGTTTGTGCACACAAAGAAAATACAAGTTACCTATAATCAAAAACTTTTGGCAAAATATCTTTCACGTATCATCTGGAATCAAAATTGAACCAAGACTTTGATTCATAATGGTTATAGGACAATATGGAGTCAAATTCGGTGTGTAATTATTTGAGTGATTAGAAAATCAGATGACTGTAATGTAAGAGTCCTATTTGTCGATCACAGGTATGATTACAGACTGAATTGGACATCTCAAAGTCATGGTTACCAAGTGATTATAACTGTTAAAAATTCAGAAAAAAACAAATACATTTATTTGAGAAAACACCTCCGGTAAAGACATTGTCTAAAGTAGAAAATTTCTCCATTTTGGAAATTCTCCAGTTTTGTGGGGCATGTGGTTGCTGTTAATGTAATCAATTCTGTGATTGGTGGATTTAGCTGTGTGGGCTTCTTTGATTGGCTGCTTTAACTGTCCAATTACAGGTGTCTGATTACAGCCAACTGTCCAACAGTCCATTTTACAGTTGTGTGCTTGGTTGCCAAGCCTTTGAACAGGAATGAGGCTAAGGGTGACCTTGTTATGATACAACCTTACTGCTTTTTAAATGCAGATTACTTTGTTATCATGCTAACTAGATAGTGGTCTGTATCATAACAAGGTCACCTTCAGACTCACTCCAAATCAAAGGCTTGGCAACTAAGTACACAACTGTAAAATGGCCTATTATACTGTCCAATCACAGCTCTACAGAATAAATAAGTATAAAACAGAGCAGTTAATGCACCAATCACATTTGAAATTGTAATGGCTTATCGTGATTAATATTGAACATAGGTGGTATCGTTTGAGAATTGGGTTTAACAGGTACTAATAATACACAGGGATACAGGCAGTGAGCAAAATGTATGCTTGTACTGTTATTACCTGTTTGTTAGACCATAGAATGAAGGATTTATTATTTCACTATTATTTAATTTTCTAATATTTTAGTCTCAAGATAAATCCAACAACTTTATCTGAGCATCATATCAATCACATAAGGGTACGTGGAAAAGGTGAAAGGCAATGCAAACCAAATCAGTAATCTTTTTTTAGACCAATGAAAAAATCATGACTAAAAAAAGGAATAAGCCAAAGTTGGGATCATTCAGTGGGACCATTTTGCTACTTCACTTTCCGTCAGTATTTTTAGGCTGTTCTACACTACAATTTCTGTGGCATACTTTGTGCATTACATTATGTTATTACATGTATGAAAAATGGTGTAATGGTGGAATAATTATCAAAATATTGGATATTGCTTAGTTTTAGTGGGGGCATATTCCATGAAGTGATGGGTTCAGACCAACTGTGTTAGCCTTTTTACTTAAAATAACTGATAGATCATATGAAGTAAATTTTTGCTTGATGTTATCATCTTTTAAATGTCAGGTTTCTCAAAAATCACCAAACTTGACTATGTTCAAAGGCTATATTATGAAGCTGCGACTGAATTGCACCAAACGTCCCATGCTTAGCAGTAGTAATAAGACAAGAACAGAAGACTCTTGTTTAATTTTTAAAGTGAAAGGAGAGGTCCAATGTAAGTATTGTAAAAAAAAAAACTTTCTATATTAGATACAATTAATAAGAATGCTTTAAACTATCAGATGTCATATATAACTAGGACCGTGATTTCTGGGTGATTATAGGCATGGGAAATCTGTTCATTAGTTTATCAGTTAACAACTTTTGCAGTGAGTAATACAGATGGGAGGCATGTATTATGTGACAAATTTAAATTTATCAACATTGACTGTAAAGATATGAAATATTATGTGAACTGCAGTTGAAGAAATGAATATTGAAGCAATCGTTGCAGTTATGAAATACTTCTTATACACACCACTTTATTTTTTTCAATTTTTTTTCAGGCCTTATTTTCACTACTGCTTAAGTAGAGTTCATAACTGTGAGGATGGCTTCCATATTTGTTTCTATCAATATTGGTTTTACAGTAGTCACCGCTTTGATACAATAGTTCATTAAAATATGCTTCCAACAAGACAATTGTTGAATTGTCCAAAAGATTTCTCACTTCAATGCCTTTCAACTTAGCAAACAAGTTTTATGGCACAAAATCTGATAACAAAAATTGGCAACAAAATTTGACAACAAAAATTGGCAACAAGACAGCGGCGCAAAGCTGCACAAAAAAATGAGGCATAATGATTTCGCTGGCCACATTGTGACAAAGCAAATTTATAATCCAAAAATAGTGGGCACATCAGTGAAAACTTTCTGTTTATTTACAATTTGTTATTATTGGCCCTGAAAAACCCCTTTGGGAGGTGGTCGATTTATGTATATAATCATTATGCATGGGGTCTCCTTCCTTATGAGGCAATCTACATATTATTAAGTCAATGGTCAGAACTGGTTAACAAAGTTTGAATCATCTAATTGTTCTTGATATGTAACAGGAAATAAGTATACACACATCTTTGACCTTACATTTAGTGTGTGATCTTAGAATGCTTTTTCAAGCACCTGGTCTCTTATGATGTCTTTGGTATAATTTGTTGTTTAGTCCCACTAGCTTGCCCACCAGGCACCACAGGCACGTCAACCAAGCAATCAACCACCACAGGAACAACAGGGACACCAATCATGCCAAGCACCACCACAAGCACCCCAACCATCACCACCACAAAACCAATCACTACACCTGATCAAGTAAGTGAATCAATATTTTGTGTTTTGCATGCTAATAGGAAAATCTAAGCATTTCAAGGGAACATGGCATTTCCCAATCTCATGGCCAGTTTGAATTTGTTTGCAACCGTGACGAAAAGTCAGTTGTTTTGATTTAGGTGGTGAACACACTAATTTACTTTTAAAGCCAGAGACTGGTGGTCTACTGCTGTCTATGAGACCACTAAAGTAGAGGAGTACTCCTGAAACCATTATAATTTTTATCTCCAGCATTCATGAAAGAATCAAACTTGCTTTTGAGAATCAAGAGAGTAAACTTTACTTTTCAAAAATCTTGAACCTTGGTTATGTCAGCAACCTCATGGCCACTTATCTGTGGCATAACAAAGTCTTATGACTCCTTTTGCTGTCTCTTTATGACAAGGAGTGACACAAAGAAGCAGTAATGTTTTACAACTTGGAAAAATTATTTTTATTTTTTATGACAAGGTGGGCAGAGGCAATTTTTGAATTACTCACTATAGCTCTGTGTGTGTAGCCAGGCTATTGTGTTGCTTTCAAAATGGCAATGTCTATAGCCAAGGTTTAAGTTCATTTGAAGTACTCTCAAACTGTTCACATGGAAGAAGTCAATTTTTGTATACACTCTTTAATAAAGGAGATTAAAGTTTATCGTGATTTCTAGAGCACACATTTCAATTGAGACTATACATAAGATTTATGTGTTCTCCTTCTTGGTCACATCTGCATGTTTCTGGTTTGAAAGGAAGTTCTGCTTATCATAAATTTGTGTCGTCAAAGTTCTTCAACATTGATTGGAAGAGTTACAGTTTTTTTTTTTCAAATTTTACTTTTGATTTAAGTTGTAGACACTGCATACTGATCAGAGTATCTAAACAGATTTTTTATATCATTCACAGGCAATTAATGCAGCTATTGTGGTTATTGGAATAATTCTATGCCTGCTTCTTATTGGAGTCTTCGCATATTTGCTTCACCAATACACAATTTTATGCCCATGCAGAAGAAGGTAAAATTATTCAAGTTATTTTTAAGGGGACACAATTTTGCACCGGAAAACTGAAATTTGCATTTAGTGACAAGAATGTGGTGTCAGGTCAAGATTGAAGAAATGTAAAATGGTTTCCGTGTTTACATAGCCTGATGTAAACACGCAAGGGAGGTTGGGAGAACACGAGATAAGCGTAAGAAACCATGACGCGAAACGGAGTGGTTTCCAGCTTATCGAGTGTTCTCCCAACCTCCCAAGTGTTTACATCAGGCTATGTAAACACAGAAACCATTTTACATTTCTTTTATAAAATAACTAATGAAAGAGGAACGAAAACCGTGTTTACATATGCTCATGTAAAATGGTTTTTATGGCCAATCAGAGCATGCGTACTATTTGAATTATTTTATAAAATAACTTTGAGTATTCTCATTATCTGTTTGCTGAATATTTTTATAGATGTTAAAAAGATAAGTTATATGTTAATCACTGCAAGGGGTTGAAAGGTGAACAAAAACTCAATTTTGTCTTAATGGAAGTAAAATTTACTTGATTTCCATTTAATTTAGGGAAAATATTATAACATATTTTTTTTTCAGGAAGATTTAAGAACCTGTATGGGAGATTAAGGGAGGTCTCCTGTTTTAGAGAGAATCACATGTGATAATGGGAGATTTGAAAAATATAAATTGTTGAACCTTCTGATCCCAAAAAGTGACTTGCGTCTAATTTCTCCTTACACAAGAGTAAAGAATATTATCCCCAACTAAAGGAGCTCTTGATTGTCAAACAAATTCTCCTTGTCAGCACCTTAAGAAATGTATAGAGAACAGTGCATACTGGTGCTAGAGTGTAAATGGTTGAACTGTGAATTAACCGGCTAAAGATTTCCTTCTCTCTCACAGAGGACATCAAATTGGAGGAGGTATCATGAATTCTAATGGTAAGACTGATAAGAATTTGTTATTAATAGTTATAGCTATCATTGCTCTTGTTTTTGTTACAAATTGTCTGTTGTCATTAATATTGCTATGATGATGTATGTGGTGCTTTAGTAATGTATATAGTAAGGGGAATATTTTTGATATCTCCTTTTTCTTAATTAAGAGCTTAAAAACCATGAAAAGGGTTGTAATGCTATTATTTTAAGTAGTTGTTCAAGCGTTTTTTTAAATTCTTTTTTAAAAGAATTTCTGAGTGCTATCAAAATCATAAAAACCAAGTTAGGAATTGTTTCACTCAAAAGTTTTGGATTTTTTATAACACTTTTTGCTAACAGAACAAATAGATTAGGATGTACACAAGCTTACTCATACAGTCATACATGAACAGAATGAGGATCTAGGGGTTGATCTGAAAATTATGCAAGAGAGACATTAATGTAAAAAATCCAAAAATCCTCCGAAAAAAGAGGCTTAAGTCCAAACCCCGTAGAAAATATGTATTAAACGCGTTAAATGAGTCACATCATTTGGCTGAAATAAAAACTCCGAAACTTATTAAAATTCCTAACAAAGGAGTGACTAATTAACGCGAACGAAAGCTTAAAAACAACTGACAAAAACTGACGCGAAAAATGTCCACTTCAGTTCTCCAATGTCAAGGTTAGAGTTCCTTCACGTGATTAGCTAATTTGTGAAATCACGCGCGCCGCGCGTGAATACAAAAAGAATACAAAGAGGGGAGGGGAAGAGAAAAATTGTGACTTGAAATTTAAAAACGAAATAGATTTCTTAAATCCTCGATTCTGATATTGGTTAATAGCGCAATCGTAACTAGTCAAACTTTGTTCTCATGGTTCAGATTTTTTCCCATGCTATTTTTGGCCCAAAAAAAGTAACCAGCTGAAAAAAATTGAATAAGTTAATTACCAGTCCTTCTAGAAAAAACTGTGCCGTTGGTCTTGAGTGCGGCCCTGGGCTATTAAATGGTTCTTAGGTCCTATGTTCAAATTTTTTCATGATTGCATTTGTAATTTAATTTTTTTTCGTTTTCGGTGAAAGAAGACAGGGACTTCTAAATACACGACAAATGTTTTGTGCATGTTTTTTCATTGACAAGTGTTCTAAATTTTTTTTTTATTTTGCAGTGATTAACAATCAAGGGCAGCCGGTAAGTGATGAAAAACTCTTTGAAGTCTTTAACAATTTCGTCACGTGTCCTTTTAGTTCTTTAACCCCTGGAAATGATTGACATCTAATTTCTCCACCCCTGAATCAAATATTAAAATCACAAGAATAATCAAAATGATTACCTACTAAAGAGTATCTGGATTGTTAAACAAATTCTCCTTGTCAGCATCTTAAAAAACGTACAGACAATAGTATGGAGAATATCCATATTGATTTTTGGGTGTAAAGGGTCACCGTTAACACTGAAGCTATCCCCTAGTAGTACCTTGACAGTAGTCTGTGGCATTAGACTGAAAAATGGACTAGCTCCACACAGTTAATGTGGTTAGTAAGTGTTTTTTTTTCTTTAGACTTTCAGAATTCAAGAGGAGCCTGTGTATGCCGAAGTGGCAGATGTTTATCCTTTGGAAAACAAGGCTAAAGGTAAGAGTTTATAAGATCATCTGTTCACAATTTTGGCGGCAAATTACTCCCCAGCCCTCCTCGGTTTTTATGCTACATAAACACGGAATTAGACTAACACCCCATTCACACCAAAGATTATTTAGAGCTGTTTCGTTGAACACGGTTCAAAATTGTTTTCTCGATAGTAGGTGCTTAAACCGATGTTTGCCGACTTCAAATGTAACACATGGAAGATACCATTTTGCGAGTACTTGAATCCTATGGAAAATTCAGTTTTTCAGTTCTCTGTTTCTGATATTCATTTAGTTAAGCCCAATTTGACTAAACGAGTTTTCAGGGGGGGGGGATTGGGGCATTGACCCTCTGTTGCTTATATATATTCTTTATGTAACTTGTTTCAACTTTTTTTGCTGTCTTTTTTTTCAGGAAAAGTGACAGTTAGTCTTGATGAAAATCCATCAGTTGTTCTGAATCTTTACGCACAGGAAGTTGGGTTTTCAAGAGGAAGACTAAACCCTGATTCGCCATTGTCACGGTCAAATCTTGAAGGAATTAGAAGAACAAGTGATGAATCAAGAAATGTTCGCGAAAGGGACAGAAGTCTACAAGAAGAGGAAACCGACGGATCACTTGTGTTTAGAAATTTGCAGTTTGAAGAGACTTCTTTTAGTTCTTTGCCAAGGCGAGAGCAAGACTTGAAAAAACTTACAGAATCACGGGAACAGGGTGATAGAGGGATTTGTAATTATCACGAAAATCACAGTCATCACGGTCGTAACGAACATCTTGATCGTCACGATCATCACGACTGTAACGAACATCTCGATCATAACGATGGTCATTGTCTTCACAGTCCTAAATGCCAAGAAACTGGTGATAATGTTTTGTATGAAGGACTCATAGATAGAACCCGAATTCGGAGCAAGTTTATTTGTCCGAGTTGTAACGATAGCTCGGATTATCAGAGACCTAACACTATTGGATGCTGCCCGCACCGAGAAAAGGAGAACAACACAAGGGAAAAGACACGGTCGTTTTATGAAAGTTTGGCGCTCAAAGAAGGCACGAGGGAATCTGATTATGCGACACCGTCGGCCATGGAGGTAAGGCATAGGGCCTTTAATGTGAATGAACTTTTAGATGGGGGGGGGGGAGGGGGGAGGTGTAATGTTAGCGCGCTAGAGTCTGGATGGGCAGAGTTTGGACCATGACCGGATTGATGTGTTGGGTTCAGGGAAGTTTTGTTTCACCCCCTACTGGCTTGCCTTCCAACCGGACCACCTCCCCCTTTTTTTTTTTGTGAGGAATACATATGGGTAGAAGTAAGCTCAGTTCAAGGGGAATCGAATCGTGGAAGGGGGGATTACCTGTGATAAACTAACATCCCACCTGGAAGAGGAAAGAAGCAATACTCCATATCACTTAATGCTATGGAAATCTTGAAAAGCTTGGGAAGTTTCTGGTATGCTAGACTCGTAAGACTTACCTCATTATCCTCCAAGATCTGATTGTTAATTCTCTTCTCTAGCTGCAACATATTTCTTCGTAAATTAATTACCAGAATTTGGTGTTAGATCACGACAACAACTCTTACTTGATAAGTTTGAGTATTCTCATTACCTGTTTGCTGGATAATGTAAGGATAATATAGCGAGAAGTTACATGTTCATCACTTCCGGGATTTAAAGGATAAACCCTTTCTCTCCCAGATTTTAAATATCAATTCTCCTCACTTTCTTCTCATAATTAAAGCTCTCAGAATTTGGTGTTGTGTCAAATAATGTCTTCCAGTTTATATTTTTCTTTCCTCTCTTCAATTTTCCGTAAGAAATTGTATCGATGTTGTAAAGAGAAATTCCTTTTCGTTCGCACCTGGGAGTAAGAGATAAACCTTGGATCCATTTTATCGCTGAATGAGGAGGGGAATTTATTGCAATGCGCATTGCAGTGCCTTCCAAGTCTAATGCTCTCGGTTGTGCCTACGACATAGTTACACGGAACCCTGGATTTGCGGAGGCTATGAAGTTCGAAAAAGGAACTGAATCATTTTGTTTTGTTTAGCACAACAACTCAAGTAGTCAGGATGGCAAAGAACTACCGGAGTATAACATTCTAGAACCGGAAGAGTCAGGTAATTGATTTTTAGGCCTTTTAATCGCACAAGAAGTTAAGATATCTTGCGAGATTTTGATGGTCGATACTTGAATACGTGTCACTGGGCTTGAGATGTAAGTGTCGAAATCTTAACTGAGTTACAGAGTCTCTCGCGAGCCTTGATGAATTTGTATGCTGTTTTCTATCCTCGTCAAAGTTGTATGCAGTGCTGAATGACATTAATTCCACCGGACAACAAATTTTGAAATCTTTGAAAGGAAAAATGAGTTGCTTCAAGAAGCCTTTGCTTCTTGTATTCACTAAACTTTTAGTTTCGTACACCTCAGCCAAAAATAAAAAACAACAACAACGACAACAATAACAGATTTGGATCAAAACTAAGAGTAACACCACGAATCTAGAGACAAGAGAAAAAGCAAAACACGCACGGTCAGGCATTTTTGTAAGAATTTTTTGATTTATTAATTATTAACTGATTGAAAGAGCAATTTTCAATTGAGTGTCGAAGGTAATCCGAGATTGCATCGGTTTTGCCTCTCTTCGCTCTCTCAACCAATCGGATGCAAAACTAAAACCAATAACGACTTGGTCGCCCGCGTTTTCCCGCGCTTTAGACAGTTTGGTTTTGTATACTTTGAGTTTTCATTGGCTCTTTTTTTCTTTTCTTCTGATTGGTCGTTGTCATTACATTGTTTTTAGTTTTACGACACTCAATCCAAAAGCGCTCTCACAGTAACCTTGATCAGATAATATTTGTATTTGTAATACTTTGACTGGTGATATTTTTACAGAGCAAGAACTAAGACCTGTGAGTCACGAATACAACATCCTTGAACCGGAAACACCCTCTGATGACGTTCAGAGTGATATGAACGAAACATTTCCTAATTCGGGCTCAACAGACGAAGAGAAAGATCTGCCGATTCATCCCTCAGAGATAAAAAGCCTTGAAAAAAACCCTGTCTATGCCTTTCACTGGAAAATGAAAAACGATGAACCTTGTGTGAGAAGGCGAGCACGTAGTATGTAGTTAGTAGTAGTCAAGGGGCTGTGAAACTGTCGCAAACCTTTTCTCATTACGAAGCGAAAATAGCTTAGTTCTGTAGTGTACTTAGCTCACTTGAGGGAGAAGGATTCACAAAAAACCACTCAATTTTTATTTCCGGTAATAGAAAGTTAGTGATGAAATTTACAGCTTACCGCATTTTAAGATTCCAAAGAGAGACGTAACGTCAAGAAACTTGGTTCAAAAGGTGCTTAAAACTCCAGTTTAACCGTTGTCATTTTGAAAATGAGTGAAAGCTTATGCTATCTTTGAAATCTCAAAACGCTTTCAGTTTCATAATCTTTTATAGGCTTTTTGCTGACTTAGATGAAAGCTTAAAGTTTTCTTGAGATGACTGGTTTTCTAAACCTTGCGAAGCCCTAGAAGCCCATGATGCAAAATTCCTGAAAAGAATGCAGATACGCAGATTGCACTGCAGGCAATCCCTTTGGAGACATTCCCACGAGAGGCTCCTCTCCAGATTTCATGCGGTCAAAGACGCTAGAGAGAGGGCCTCGAAACTAAGCTGTAGCTGCTCGAGAAATTAGGGATTCAGTTAATTACTGATTACTCGGGTCTTAAATTTATCGGGTGGAACACCAAAAATGCTAGAATTAAGCCCATTTTCATAGAAGGCCATGTACTACATTTGTAAATTCAGCTATTTTAAATTAATAAGTTAAGTTTGATATAACTTTAGTACATATTTTTTGCCTAAGCGACTGGTATATTAAGGTATGCGTGTTACGCAGAGATAAATTACTAAATAAGAAATTGCCTTGTTGTTTAATTTCTTTCTTGTGGTTGGTAAGTTAGTCTTGTTATTGAGTGTCGATAACCTTTTTTGAGGACAAGCTTGGATTGCTTTAATTTTTATCGAACTTTTTAAAGTATAATTTAAGTTAGTTCAGATGGTATCGATACATTGTACACAGTTTTTATTTGTTAAGAAAACGTATAAAATTGATAAAAAATTAATTCTGAATTGCTCAAAGTTTTTTGTGAGAGAGTCAAAAGAGTTACTTAAAGTATTACAGTTATTGTCTGTCAAGAAAGACTGTTTATATATTAGAGACATATGTCTCTTTAAAAAGATCTCTGTATAGAAAATGGAAAAAATGTAACATTATTGTAGAAATAACTGTAATTAGTAGTTTAGCTTTCAGCTATTGAAATAACTCGTGCAGATAAACTTATCGAATTTTGTTGTTAATGTAATCTTAAATGATCTCAACGTGCATTGGTTTCTATTCAACTTTGCTCTTTGATTGTTCTAGGAGAAGCTCGCGCCATCTTCCCAACCAATCAGATACAAAACTAAAACTAGTGGCGATGGTTTTATTTGCATTTTCCCGCGCTTTAGGATGATGACGTAGATTTGCTTTGAGTCCTTAATGGCTTCTTGTCGTATTTTCCTTTGTTCTGATTGACTGTTGTTATGACTTAAATTGTGGTTTTATGGCAGTCATCGCAAATGGGGCTCAAAAGTATACGTTTTACTTAACTAACTTCTTTACGAATAATGCTTTTGTGGAAATGATACAACTATTTGTGGAGAGAAAAAATGAATAGCGTTGAAAGATCTACTTTTGTTGTCTATGCCGGTGCTCACTCTTTACTTTGGGGGGGGGGGGAAGGGAAGAACCGCACGTTGATGGGTAAACAAAGTAGAGCGTGAAGTACACAGGTTATTACTGGGATACCTGTGGTAGCCCAGTCAGCCTTTGTTTTTTTGTCGTCTTTTTTTTTTTTTCCTCTGCCACAAAATGGAAAAATTGCGCAATAGTACCCAGTGGTCATTGGGCTCTCAACACCATGACAACTAACTGTGATCCAATGAAGTGTTCACATGCTGATCACGCGTGTTATCTTGATGATGATTGACGTTGCCATGCACGGACAGGGCCGGGTCACATGACGAACCACAGGATTTTTGCGTATAAAACTCTTTTGTCAGTTATTTTGTATTTCAACGTGTTTGGATTATGATCACCCGGAGCATCACGGCGCAAACGCTTAAAATATTTACAGACGCATACACAAGTCGTATTGTTCGCGGCCAATCCACGCTAAAAGAGCGGTAATTTTGGAACGGATTGAGTCGCCAACGCTTGAAAGCCTTGAATGCCTTGTATGCTTTGTATGCCAGGTATGCCTTGTATGCCAGGTATGCCAATGTCTTAGTTGAAAAACGTACACTTGTTGTAAAAGGCAAAATCTGAAATCTGAAACCAAACTGCATACACTCTATGCAATCTGTTGAACAACACTCCTACCGTGAGACTAAAGAACAAAACTCTAATGGATGCCAACCGATAGTGAAGAAAGACGGCATGTTGGATTCACTTGATGTCAGGGAACGTAGCAACGATAACAGTGCGAATGGTATTAATTTCACGATCAGAAAGGTGAATCTTATGTTTGCTTTCGTTGTAGTTGTATGGATATTCTTTTTTAATAATTCACGATCCAAAATCCTGCATGTGTTTTTTGTGTATAATGTAATTATGTCAAGTACTGTTTACGCAATTGTCTTGTCACAGGCGGCCCAAGCTCACGCATCGAGAAAAAGCCAACGATTAATTCATGAACGCGTCACGCGTTGTGTGACTCGGTGTTAAGTTACGAGAGGAACCGTTGAAAATTTGAACAATAGTATAGGGAACGAAATATTTCGAAATATGAACATTTTCCTCGTAAAATCAATAAAACTTACTCATACCCTGTGTATCCGTTGTAGTTTCTGGCGATTTCTGCCGTTTTAAGCTTGCTTTACCATCACTGTTATTCACGTCATCTACTTTTATTACGTTGGTAAAATCTGTACAGACATCACACCAACCAACTCGCGCGCAAAGTTAGAAGACTATATTGAAGGCTTGAAATTATATTACGATCGATTTTCATCAAGAAATGAGCCAGGAATTTTCCACAATAGTGCAAAAAATCGTGAAGGCTGATCGCGGAAAATCGATTGCGTGACGCTCGGTAAGCTGTAAGATGACATGCCATTATATACCAGAAGTAAAAACTCTTCAGATTCTCAGTCTGCATTTTGTACCCACTCTGCAGTCTGAAGTCTATATTTTGTATCCGGTCTGCAGTCTGCTGTCTGCATTTTGTACTAACAGGTATCCGCGGCACCAATAGAGTTTATTTTTGGTGACATTTATTTGCACAACACACATAATCTACCACAGAATACCTGTGTGTGAGGTAATTCGACATTTTCGTTCTTTTCCGCGTTAATACTCTTCTTTCCTTTTGTAAGAATGTAGACCACTTACAATGTTTCAAGCAATCCACCCACCCTACAAAAAATAATTCTTGCATGCAGAGCATGCCTGTGTTTTGAAATAGGTGTATGCCCTTAGCCAGACTTGAGCTCACTATTTCAGTATATTAGTCCGACAGCAACTACGACAGCACTACACTTGATTCCAAGGATCCAGTACCATCCAGGTATCCCAGTTACCCTGCTCACAGGGTTTAGTTGGGAGTTAAATCAGTGAGCTACTTGCGTTCTGGCAAGTATCTGCCACTTTCGGGCCTACCAAGCGCGGAAGTCAAGAAATTCTGATCGTAAGTGCTTCAGTTTAATGTGTGATGCGTAATAGCGCATAATAGTAACACAAACCGCAAGTAAACAGGAAAGAAAAACAGTGCTTAGAACTTTCTCCAAACAAGAGACCACCGCTTTCGGTTCGTTCCATCTCAGTTTCATGTTGTTGCTTCGTTCCTGTTTTTTAACGCACGCTTCAACCATTTTTGGTTTCACTGGCATCTCCGTAATGTTCTCAGTCATCATGTGTCAGCCGGCTTTGTTTCCAAGAGTTAACAGAACATTTGTTGAATATTCAAAGTATGTGCACTTCTGAAGTTGAGGAACGTCATTAAAAAAATTGGCTGAAGCGATTGTATTGATGGTTCGTGACGCAGTCACGCACGATTTTCACTTATCGATGCTTTCCCTTCCTATTAAGCAAGAAAGATGATGATTTTAACTCCAAATAATCCTCAAGCTGTATCATCGTTCCTGTAAGCTTATTACGGTCAAGATGATACGGTTTATTCACGACAGCAATTGACAGAAGAAGCTTCTCTTCTGCCACCGTTAATATTGCTACCATTGATCAGTTTGATATATAGTTGTTGTCAAAAAAAGCAGTCAAACCCACAGTTTTGATGCCGAAAAGGTCAGAGACCCATCGTTCTTTATTTCAAGGCGAATAAACCCAATTACCGGCTAAAGATTCTTAAAACTACGCTTTGTTTTTCTCGATTCCTCAAGAGTAAGTATATGCAGTCGACATCTTTGAAGTTATGTCTGACAATTTTCTACCTAGAGAAAGATGTTTTCGTCTTGTCACGAGCGTGGGACATAGGAAAAAATTCAGAGTCCCCATGAGGAATCGAACCTCAGACCTTCGGATTCCGCTTCTTTTCCTATTAGCTGACACACTGTTTCCGAGAATTATTTCTCAAGGGAGATGTCAAAAATAAGTAAACCAACAGGCGTTTACGGAAACTGTGCCTTTTTTGGTGTAGAAAACGAGACCTTACATCCTGGTATTTCCTCAGGTAACGTGACGTAGTTGACCTGCTGTAACATCTCGCTCTCCAAAGTGGATACAGCCTTGGCACGCAGACATTGTTGGGCCTATCGAGATCGCAAAAAGATAATGTTTAGGATTATAAACAAACAACTCCGCCGTGAAAGTCGTGCTTTTGGTTCCAGTCGTATGCAGAGATGAAAAGCAAAAGATCAATCGCAAAGTGTAAACAGAGACAGTTGTGGCTTGTTTGCACGAATGAATAATGTACATAAGTTCGACGAAGCTGGCAACTTGCCCCTTAACAAGAATCGTTATTTTGGTGTTGTATGTAACCACCCTTCAACCTACTTCCTCGCTTGCTACTTTAAATGCAGACGGTGTTGATAAGTACGTGATAACGAGAAGAGGTAGATATGATACCGACCTGTTCATGGTTCTGTACAAAACTGGCTTCCAATGCCCCTCAGATGTTTGTGTCAACACCTCGGCTTTGGTAAACAATACCACACCATGTAGCTGTTCGTGTAATATCAACACTCAAACCTTCCTCCCGGAATTAGGCAGTTGTGGTGATACAGCTAGTATAAAAAAAATTCTGTTTGGAGGTAAGTGAATTAATTAACATCGAAAGCTTTAAACAAGAGTTATTTGATCTTATCATGATTACGATTTTACTACTTATTGATATTTCTTTGTTTTTATAAAATGATCGCATGATCAATCAAACAATTTAAGGAGAGTTACGAACAGTGGTACCATAAACAAATTACTGTGAGTTTTGTCTGGTCGAGAAATTAGTAAAATTTCCGCACAGCCCCATCCTACGTTATGCATTCAGTTCTTTGGACAGAGAAAACAATGACAAAAACAATACATTGCCATTGGGAAAACAGATTTGTTTTACAATAGTATGGGGCTGTGCGAAAATTTTATCTTATCTAACCCAAATGTAGAACAATATTATGGTATGGCCATTTACATAGCATTATCCCAGCAATAGTATTTTGCCCTGTGTTTATTTTCAAGGTTTTGTTTAGGAGGATGCAGAGCTCTCAAGTTTATAGGCTGGCAGAGAGTGGGAGTTTCAATCACATAGTTGTAAATTGACACGCCACAGGCATTGCATGTGTGTGTGTATGTGTGCATGGGGGATCTTAAATATGTGAGAAACAATCATTTCAGAGTGAGAGTGCAAGATTGAATTCCTATGCATGAGTCTCATGCTCAAGATGATGTGATTATTGAGAGCTCAATTTCTGGGGATCTGGCCTATATAAGGGGGACTTAGCTGGTTAATACTTCAGAATAGAACAAGTGACTGATTTTGTGGCCCTTCGCAAGTCTTAGATAAGCACCCCCTTTCTTGTAAGCCCCTCTCTAAAATGAGCCTCTTGTCTACTTCAAGGAAGCCACTCTCTAAAATGAGCCTCTTGTCTTCTTCAAGGACTGCTGGAGAGTAATAAGCCTAGCGAACTGTTCATTAGAGTGTTTATGGTATGGGAACAATAGAAGCAATCCTTCTACCTGTGCACTTTACATTTTAAAAGAGATGGAAAAGTTTACTTGAATGAGAGAAATAGTGGTTATTAAATGAATTCATCACAGACACAAGAGGTATCTTCAAGGACATTGAGTGTGCAATAAACAGTGCCAAAAATGTACAGGTTTCTCGAAATACTGTTTTGCCTCTATGTTAAATGACTTTCATCATTTGACAGATCTGAAATTCTAGTTGCCTGCATGGAGACTCTCGCTTTTATGGAATTTATACTTTATGAAAGAGGCCGTTTACAACATATCATTAATAATTTATGGTTGACCAGTCTTGCCTGCCTTCTGCCTTCAGATGACCACATTTCCATCCAAAAAAAAAATCTCTCAGTCTGCTTTGGTGATCACCTAGCTTGCTTGTTAATTGTTACTGGTGATATATAAAGTCTTGATTATGCTGAATTAGTTTTGTTGCCTTTGGTTATTTTGTAGATTGCTCAGAAGCACTTGGTATGGAAAGTAGGAAAATCAAAAATTCCCAACTAAAGTCCTCTCGTAGTTTTCCAGGTTTTAGTCCTCCTGAGGGAAGACTAAATAATGTTAAGGCCTGGTGTGCTAGATTTTCTACTGCAGAAGTGTTTTTAGAGATTGATTTACTTGAGGTCAGGCATGTCTCAGCCCTTGCAACTCAAGGATTCAAAAGGAAATTCTTCAACTATGTTAAAACATTTAAGATAAAGTACAGTTATGATGGCAAAACATGGTTTGATTACCAAGATGACAATGGTGGAACAAAGGTATGAATTTTAAACTTTGGTAGTTTTCTTTTAGTGTCAATATTGATGTTCTGGGAAAGAATTTACCATCACTACACATCCAATGATGCAGTTGAGACAGAAAATATTAACCATCAGGCCTAATGGAAGGAATCACTACTGCCCCCTCCCCCTTCCATCCCACCTGTTTGTTTTTGTCTTTTGTCATTATCTTTGTGATTCTGAAAATATTCAAAGCTGGCTGCTTTATATCATTAGGTGTTGTGATATCTTTATTTGATAGAGACTGTTTTAATTTTCTTGAATTTATGGATTGAAAATTCATAACAACATTTTTTCATCCTCTGAATGATTTGACCTTTACATGACTGTATATATTAACCAAGCCTTTTGTCAATATTCTTTTGTTCTTATGAATTAATGTTTCACTTAATGTCCACTTTCAGGAATTTACTGGAAATAATGACACAGACACCATTAAGTACAATTACTTCAGAGGGACATTTGAAACAAGATTCCTCAAATTATATCCTAAAGACTATAACACAAGAGCAAATAAATGTCTCAGAGTTGAGGTATATGGATGTAAAGACAATGCTGGTGAGTGAATTAATGTGTGAATCAGTGTATGTGTGCCGAATATGGCTGCCACATTAAATGCTCCTCGAAGAATTTTATTATTATTAATTAAAATATGAACAGCTGATTCAACCTTTGACTTTCTCTAAATGATGATGCACTTTAAGACAAAAATGCAATGAAATTTAGGAGTGGAAACTTTCAAAAGCAAATAGTTCATGTTATAACTGGCTTCACATAACCCCATATAAACTCTTTAAAAAACTCTGCATAACAGTTGCTGGTGATTATTATGCTAGAATTCTTCAAAATAAATGGTTGATGTGTTGTCATTTCTTCTTTTTTTTTTCGCAGTTTGCTCTCGTTTCTTTGAGTGGCCCTTTTTTCTGAAATCCCTTAACCTTGCAAAGGAAGGACATTTGAATATAAATTCTGCTGATAGCTATCAAAGCTGTCAAGTGGTTCCTGGAAGCGCAGCATACTACAAATATCAACTTGGAAACAAGTGGATGGCAATAAACCAAGACATCTTTAAAGTTGAAGAAGTACAAGGCAAACTAGTTTTTAAGGTTATGTATCCAGGGTTTATATCCACTAAGAGCCTAACCTTTCACAACTGCTTTTATGCACAGGGCTCTGGATAAATTGATTGATTTTGTGTTCATTAATTATTAATTTCATTAGTGGGCAGATACCACAGACGAAAACATTTTGGGAAGAATTGTACAAATAAAGGTCACTTGTAACTATTCAGCAGTGGCATCTAGACCACCTAAAACTGCTTGTCTGATTTTCAAGACCTCAGGACAAATAATTTGTGAGTATGTTTTCCTTGAAATTTATAAGAATTGATACATGTAGCTTTTTAACCTGAGATATGTCAAGAGTTTGGAAGCAGTAGAGTAACTATCTTCTAAAATTTATAATTCTTGGTGTTTGTGGCAGCTCATTATACATGTAACCCTAAGGGTTGTTAATCCTCATGTTCCAATGATTATTTGATAAGGTTCTATAACTATGTTATGTGCACCTTCATATTGCTTGTATAGCCCTACATAAAATACTAATTTTTGTAATGTATGAGGCATTTTTAGTGTACTTGACACTGTTCCTTTGCTGAAGGTTGGTTTATTGCAGTGCTATCCCTGCATATTACTTTGGGTTTACTTACCATCGGCCAGTACCTATTTATACTCCTGTGATGAGAAAGAGGCTTGATCTGATTGTTAATTCTCCCCTTTGGCTGCTACACATTCCACACATAAATTAGTAACAATAATTTGGAGTTAGATCAAGGGAAAGACTTGTACCTGATAAGGTTGAGTATTCTAATCACCTGTTTGCTACATAATGTATGGATATTTCAGGGAGAAGTTGCATGTTAGTCACTTCTGGGAGTTAATGGGTTAAGTGTCTTGCCCCAGAGTGCTACCTGTATATCTCTGGCCAGCTGGGCCCAAGCCCAGGCCTTTTTGGTTACCATGTCTGACGGCAAATAGGCCGTTGCAAGTTATTCTTCAGCCCAATATCTTGCTTAATTACTTGTGGGGGCTGGGTAACATGAAATGGATTAGCATCTTATTCAGTGAGGGGGATTACCTTTGCTCTGTGTACAGTAACAAATATGGGAAAACAAAAGTTAAGAATTTTTTTTTACCATTGTTAACATGTATCTCTTACTTTTCAGTGGATCTAAGCACTACGGCAAAGACAACACCATATATTCCTTTAGTGACCACAGCGACTTCCGAGGTTTGTGCTGGATGTAGTCTTCATTATCAAAAGAATGTTGAATGTTCTGTCCTGTTTGTTCTTTTGAGGAGGTTGATGAACTTCTTGTAGGTGAAAATAGAAATGTTTTTCGGTTTACAAAAGAGGACAGTTCCTCTAGTGCGAAGAGAAATATAAATATAACTGGTGAAGAGTTACCTCGCCCGCAAGCGGGTTCTTATGACAAACGCTGTTGAACGCGCGTTTTTCAGCCCGCGGGAAGATTTAAGACGAGTCAGGGAGAAGTTAGCCGGGGGTATGGCACAAGTAATTACAGTGCTAGACTCCTTACAGACGTCTCGCTGGCTCGCGATGCTTAAGGGCGTGTGTTTTCCAGCGGGCGAAGGAATGCTAAAAGCTAAAAGTAGTTGCCATAAATATTTGAAACTAAAACAAGCGCAGGATTTATGTCTGTCAAGAGCCTTCTTTAGCGGCTCCTATTTGGAGTGCCTCATAATTGGAGTTACTATTTGTGTTTATGTGGTGGTTGGTTTTTTAATTGTCGTAATTAATATATCCAATTGTGACAGCAATGGGGTAAAAACTTCAAATATAGTCTTAACAATCCTCATTGAAAAGGGTACCTTTAGTAAAATGAGTGCACAGTTACTGTAACTGTCCAAAAATTGTCGGCAACACAAAGAAATACCAAATACCTATCCTTGGTTTGTCTCATTTAGTTAAAAAAGAAGTGTAGGTAGAAGCCAATTTTCAAGTCGGTCAGGTCGCTCGAAGCATTTCAGTTATAATTATAACTAATAATAACTAAATAGTTATAAGGTAAGGCTTATGCGGTTCATCAATTTAGTAAACCAACAACAATTAACAACTACTCACCGAAGTGAAGGTGACTAGTGACTAGTGGTGGATATTTACATATCCACCACTCGTCACCGACTCTGAGGTGAATAGTTGTTATAGTATGTTCTAAATCGGAGACATAATGTAGTCGCAAAAAAATATGATTTGAACTAATTTATTCCTGCAACAGTTACAATATATTCGGGAAAAAATCCTGCGTGCATTACTCAGAGGTGAATAGCAAAGGATGTACATACGTTGTGTAGCCAATCAGAGTGTGCTTTCAACGCTACCCAATGTTTTAGTATACTGCTAACAGATGTTAGTATATACCACTCAAGTGAATACTGCATTTCGCGCCCTCTGATTGGGTAGTTAGGAAGTCAATTGGAAGTAGTATTTACTTCTGAGCAGCAGAAGAGATAAATTTAATTTGCGACCATTTTTCGGTATATTGAAAGAAATAAACTAGTTTTTCGTATCTCTTTGGTGTATACTACACAATTGTTCACCTCAACTTTGGTGAATAATTGTTTAACATTCCATGCAGATGTATTTAGTGACAGAACCTGTTGAAGGCACAGATGAAAAAGACACAAGTACGAATGGAAGCAGCAATGGATCTGGAGTTTTGATTGGTGTTGCTGTGGCATGTGCAGTTGTGTTTGCAATTATCCTTATTCTCCTCGTTGTATTTTGCAAGAGGAGAAAATTGTAAGTTCCATCAACTACATGTGCGAGTACAACCTATCTCAGATTAAATGGCTCGCAGATGGAGTAGTTACAAAAAGTGGGTTCTGATACATTTTGAAATCAATTTTGATTTCAACTCAACTCATGAATTTAAGATTGATTTCAAGTCAACCTTAAAATCAACCTTGATTTCAAAACACAGTTCTTGCACATTTTGAAATTATGCAAACTTTATTTTAAAGGCAACTTGAATTATTCGTAGGTGAATAATTTTGACATCCTCTTCACAATGTCTCGCTCTTGAGTTATGTAGAGGGTTTGAATATTATCATCTTTAATGATCCTCTTGTCACGCTTATAGATTGTCTGAAAAGCCTTTGAGACCTCAGAAGAATCTTTTGAGGTGAGAGGTTCACCAGCCTTGAGTTTGCTTGTAACATCAACTGTTTATGCATACTTGTAGACTTTCCGCGACCTTTCGGTCGCTTTGTCATAAGGAAGGAAAAGAAGATCAGCTTGATGAACTGTATTTGGAGATTCAACATCAAAAGTTGGTTTCGGGATGAATCAGTCAATTGAGGCATTTGTTTATTGCATTTTTGGTGCACAAGTCAATGTCAGATCATTAATCTTGGGTTCATCATCAACGTGAGTTCCTTGTACTAGTCATAGATGCAATCAGGAAGCCAGACATTTCGAAGAGCGTTCAAAGTTTTTAGCTTACGATTGGAGAGGCAAAAGTCCGGCTTGATCCTGCACTATAACCAGGCACTTAGCTTATGCCCTTAAATATTCTTCTGAACACTCAGAGTGCTGCTGGGTATGATAACAGCCTGAAGAAGGCATGTTCTGGCATGAGGCTGGGAGTTAACAAGTCAGTGAATTTGGAGATGAAATCATTTAGAGTAAGGCACATGAATTGGGGCTCATGAAAAATCAGCAAACCGACCTCTCATCCGTCAAATAAGATTGATGAAAAGCGAAGCTCTTTGATCCAGGAGCCGTTTCGTAACCCAAGCAGGAGCAACAGCGAGACGAATCATTATTAAAGTCGGTTTGATTTCAGCTGGACTGGCCTCGGCCTTCTTGATTCATCGATTCTTCTTCTGAAAGCGTTCAACCATGAATATCACGACTCCCACTATCAGAAGCCATGCATTTTGACCAAGGTAGCTGATCACTTATCCAGCAGTCTTGGAAATGAAGCTGACTATTGAACGAATGAGACCTGGGAGAATTCCCGCGATCTTACTTCCAAGAGTCCTAAAATAATTTTTAACTCCTTTGACCATAGATTTCAGGCCTCTTGTTAATGCGCTCACAATCAGTCCAATCGTTGTTTCGACTGCGAGTACAACAACTGAGACCGTCAAGCCATACCTCTAGAACATGTTTCTCACTCTCTCTTGTTGAAGTGCCTTCTTCAAGTTCTTCTCTCTCATTCTCAATTCTCTGTTATCCTTTCTCTTTCTCCTTCTCTTGTTGCTCGATCTTCGTTCTCATCATTGGCAATCCCCAGATCGTCCTGAATAGACTTCTGTTTCTCTTTAATTTCGTCATCCTTCTGAGCAATCAAAACCTCTCGCTCTGGGCAAAGTAAGGTTTTGATTTGTTTAGGTAGTGATGGATTCATTCTTTGCTCTTTGGTACCCCTTTCTTTAAAACACAAGGGATGTCTCTTCTTGCCCTAACCAAACATCTTTACCTGCAACCTTCCAGCTTTACTGTAAGAGACCTCAAGTTCCAAAGCTTTTGCCTCAGGATAAATTATGTTAATAATTCCATTGGATCGTGAGATTCTGAAGGATCATGGAGTCTTCTTCCCAAGAGCTCTTTCTGATGAGCTTATTTTCGAGCTCAGGGTTGCACCTGTCGGCAGTGTTGTAATAGAATTCGAACTAGAAAATCTTGCTTAAGAATTAAATTATATCCAGCTTGGGTATGAAGTTATATACAGTCAAGACCTTGCTGATGAGGGCTTGTCTAACTACAAAAATGGAAAGAGAAGAGGAAAGAGAAGACATTTAATCCTAACATCACCGAGGTGAAGGTGATTGTCAGTGGAATCCCAAATAAAAATTACAGTCAAGGAATGAAGATAGGAGATATGTGGGAAGAAGTCTTCAGAAGATTTGGTAAGGAAAACAGCGCGATGAATGCAATAGACTCTTATACCGGAAACAGATTCAATCCATTCATCGATCTCAGAAGCATGAATGACAATGATCGTCATGGAAGTGGATTGAGATTTGTGAATACGAAAGAAGGAGTTCAGCTCGCAATTGACAGGTAAGTATCAGGCTCAGGGAATGTTAAATGTCAAATCCTCATCTTCTCAGGTGCTCAACTCAAAATCATGAACCGTGAGCTTGAAAGCGTGACTTATTAATGACATTACTTCTCATTTACAAAGACACAATTTTGACTGAAGAACAATTCAAGGCACATCACGACTTCTTTGCGAGAAGATACAACATTGATATTTGAAAATCTTCACCCAAGCAATCAACACCCTTTCAACGATGCTGATGGCGCGATAAGAGGATCATTCAAGATGATAATGTTCACACCCTCTTCAGAACTCAAGAGTGAGACATTGTGAACAGAATGTGAAAATTATTCACCTGTGAACAATTAAAGTTGCCTTTAAAATCAAAGCTGATTTCAAAATGTGCAAGAACTGTTTTTTGAAATCAAGATTGATTTCAAGGTTGACTTGAAATCAAGGTTGATTTTAAAACGTGCCAGAACCCACATAACTACTGATGGTGCTGATAATTAATGATAATGAATCTAATAGTGATTGTGCCATAACATCAGTATTCATATACTCCATACCTTCTTTATACATTTCCTTTGGTACTGACAAGGAGAATTCATTTAACAATCAAAGCTTCTCAGGGTGGCGATCATTCCTTTTGTTCTCATGATCGTAATGAATGATCCAGCAATATTACTGTAAGGAAAAATAAGATGCTGACACTCAGGGTTTTGATTGGTTAAAAGGATCTTGCATGAAGTGCAACAATTGTCTCATTGATTTACAAATAACTGTTCATCTTATCAGGAGTCGAAGGAAACGAAAAAAGCACACGGCAAGGCTTCATGTTGGTAAGTAATATTACTTTCTCTTGCATGTCCATTTCGTTCGTCTCCCTTAAACATGCATATGTTTGATATGATCTATTCTGACTTATTTTTTGATTGTATTAGGTAATGCACTCTCTAACCAAGAGGAGGAGAATATAATCCCCTTTCTCCCATCTGAAGGCCGGCGAGCTGTTGATGAAGCAGTTTATACAGAAATAGGAAGTCCGTTGTGCGAGGAATATACACTCTTGAAACCTGCACCTGATAGATGTCGCTCAGAGTATCAAAGTCTGATCAAGCCTAACGAAGGTATGTTATGTGGTGCACACTAACCCTATTAAAGGGATCAGCACCACTTGATACGGTATATCTTTGTCTGTTAATTATTTATTTTTAAAAGTCCCAAGGCTTGCCCTTCTTCACTTTGTCAGACTTTTATTTTATGAGAATTTCCCCTTTTCATGCTGCAAGCAAAGAGAGACAACTTCAATCTGTAGATGATTATATTATTATTTATGTCAAGTCTGTTGGGAGAAATTGTCGTACGACTATTTCATGACACCCATACGTAGATTAATTATATCTCTCAGTTAATGCGTGTGCTATGATTGCTATGATTGGTTAAGTTTGGGGGTCGTTTATCACTGTGGAGCCCGCTAAATTTAAAGTTTCTTTACTTTGAATCTGTCCCCTCTAATTGAACCGAGAGATATAATGAATATCTTACAAACCTTTTTTTTTCCGGTCTGTGATGTACCTTTTCCTTTTTGCTTTGTGCCTGAGCCGCAAATGCGAGTGGAAAAAGTTGGTCCATATCTTACTTTGCCAACTCAGTCAGTTAGAGGTATAACTTAAATCTTATCTATCATTGCCTCTTCTCGCGCTTCTTCTTTTCAGATTATTCTGGTTACTTAATTCCACTGGAAGAAACAGTATCTACCGATTGTCACCCAGATGGAGCTATTCTCAGCGAACTCCAAAGTCCAAAGCCGCCTCAGTATAAGCATAAAGATAAAATCTATGATTATGCTAAACCAGAAGGAATCATTATGTTAACAGCCAGTCGCTCAAGTTTAGACAGTCTTGACTCCCATAGACAAGCTGATGTTCCTTCGTCGCCGAAAAATACAACCTTCCAAGGATCTAATTCTCCTAGATCACCAGGGGCCTCTTCAAAGGAGCCCTCGCATGACAAGGAGGGTGATGACTCATTACAAGCAGATGATTATATCGAAGTTCTCCCAAATTTAGTGATTGGATCATAATAGTTGACAGGGTTAAGGATGGTCTCAGTTCCCACGTTCCCACATTCTGTCTTGCCCATCTCCCATCCTCCATTCCTGTAACGCCATCACTGCTGGTCAATTATGAACAAAATAACGTGCATTGTTTTGCATTTCTCTCTCATTTATGTACATCATATGAAACATTATAGCGGAGCTCGCAGAGCGTAGCCCCATAATTATAAAAAATAATAGTGACCCATCAAGCCGAAAAATTTTGGATGTACGACCGTACGACTGACCGTACAAGGTGCTTCTTTTAGCATGCGCGGCCACCTGTACTACGGGCACTATCTTCTAATCAGTCCTCTACACGGACACGGAGAAGTTGCGAATGAAAATCCATTAATATTACCACGCACTTTATCCGTAGTAGGGGCTTTAGTTTTGTTGAAGAGAAGTGCGGGAAAAAAATGCGAGCTACGCTTTTAGGCTTGCCTAAATCTATATATTATTTCTCGCTCCCAGTCTTCTCTTCTTGTCTCCTGTTTCCCTCACTTCTGCGTCTCTCCACCGTGGGATTCTTAACCCTTTAAATCCCAAGATCTGATCGTTCATTCTCCCCTCATTAGAAATTCTTTCTTGGTCACTCTCGGGAGTTAAAGGGTTAACTTTCACGTGTTTTTTTCAATTTGGAAAAGACTCAAGATCTCAGATCCAGCTTAGTTCTGTTGTGTACTTAGCTCACTTGAGGAGAAGGATTCCCAAACAACCATTCAATTTTTATTTCCGGTAATAAAAGGTTAGTAAAGACATTTACAGCATACCGCATTTTGAGATTCCAAAGAGGGACGTAACGTCAAGAAACTTAGTTCAAAAGGTGCTTAAAACTCCAATTTGACCGTTGCCATTTTGAAAATAACTAAAAGAGGCTATCTTTGGAATATCAAAACACTTTCAGTTTCGTAATCTTCTATAGGCTTTTTACTGACCTAGGTGAAAGCTTAAAGGTTTCATGAGATGACCGGTTTTCCAAACGTTGCGAAGCCCCTAGAGGCCCGTGATGAAAAATTCCTGAAAAGAATTCAGATACGCAGACTGCAACGCAGGCAATCCCTTTGGAGACATTCCCACGAGAGGCTCCTCTCCAGACTTCATGCGGCCAAAGACGCTAGAGAGAGGGCCTCGGAACTAGGCTGTAGCTGCTCGAGAAATTAGGGAATCAGTTTATTTCTGATCACTCGGGTCTTGAATTTTTCGGGTGGATGACTAAAAACGCTAGAACTGAGCCCATTTTCAAAGAAGGCCATGTTTTACAAATTCAGCTATTTTAAATTAATGAGTTTAGTTTTATATAATTTAAGTTAGTTCAGATGGTATCGATACGTTGTATACAGTTTTTTTTGTTAAGAAAACGTATAAAATTGATGAAAAATGAATTATGAGTTGCGCAAAGTTTTTTGTGAGAGAGTCAAAGGAGCTACTTAAAGTATTACCGTCTGTCAAGAAAGACTGTTTATGTATTAGAGACAAATGTCTCTCTATAATGGTCTCCGTGTAAAAAAGGCAAAAATTATTGTAGAAATAACTGTAATTAGTAGTTTAGCTTTCAGCTATGGAGATAACCCTTGCAGATAAACTTAACAAATTTTGTTGTTAGAGTAATCTCAAATAATCTCAAGGTGCATTGGTTTCTATTCAACTTTATCTTTGATTGTTCAAGGGGAAACTCGCGCCATCTTCTCAACCAATCATATGCAAAAGGAAAACCAGTGGCGGTGGTTTATTTGCATTTTCACGCGCTTTAGGATGATGACGTGTATTTGCTTTGAGTCCGGTTATTGGCCTCTTGTAGTATTTTCCTTTGTTCAGACTGACTTATTATGACGTAAATGGTGGTTTTATGGCAGTCATCGCTAATGGGGCTCAAGATTATACGGTTTACCTAACTAACTTTACGAATAATACTTTTATGGAAATGATACAACAGTTTGTGTAAGTGGAGATAGAATGAGAAGCGATCTACTTTTGTCGTCCATGTTGGTGCTCACTCTTTACTTGGGGGAAGGGGGTGAAAGAACCGTACGAAGTAGAGCGTGAAGTGCACAAGTTATTATTGGGAGTTAAATCGGTCAGCTGTGTGCGTTCTGGCAAGTACCTACCACTTTCGGGCCTGCCAAGGGCGGAAGTCAAGAAATTCTGATCTTGAGTGATTCAGTTTAATATGTGATGCGTAATAGCACGAAATGGTAACAAAAACCGCAAGTAAACAGGAAAGAAAAACAGTACTCAGAACTTTCTCCAAACTCTCTAAACAAGAGACCACCTCTTACGGTTTGTTCCATTTCAGTTTCATGTTGCTGTTTCGTTTCCGTTCTTAAAGGCACGTTTCAACCATTTTTGGTTTCACTGGCATCTCCGTAATGTTCCCAGTCATCATGCGTCAGCTTTTTTTCCAGAAGTTAACAGAACATTTGTTGAATATTCAAAGTATGCGCACCGCTGAAGTTGAGGAATGTCATTAAGGAAATTGGCTGAAGCGATTGTGTTAAGTGGTCCGTGACGCAATCACGCACAATTTTCACTTATCGATGATTTTCCTTCCCCATGACAATTATTAAGATAAAGAGATGATGATTTTAACCCTAAATAATCCTCAAGCTGTATTATCCTTCCTCCGCGTCAAGATGATACGGTTTATTCACGTCAGCAACTGACAGCGGAAGAAACTTCTCTAATCGCTACCTCTGTTCAGTTTGATTTAAAAGTGTTGTCTTACATATAAAGCAGTCAAACCCACAGTTTTGATGCCGAAAAGGACAGAGACCCCATCGTTCATTATATAAAGGCGAATAAACCCACTTACTAGCTAGAGATTCTTAAAACTGCACTTTGTATTTCTCGATTCCTCAAGAGTAAGTATATGCAGTCGACATCTTTGAAGTTTTGTCTGACTATATTTTACTTCTTTTCCTATTAGCTGACGCATTGTTTCCGAGAATTATTTCTCAAGGAAGATATCCAAAATAAATAAACCAACAGGCGTTTACGGAAACTGTGCCTTATACGGTTCAGAAAACGAGGACCTTGAATTCTGGTATTTACTTTTTGACGTCACCAACGTATGAAACGTCACGTACTTGAGCTTCTGTAATATCACGGTCTCTAAAGTGGGTGCAGCATTGATACGCGGACTTAATCGAGCTTATCGGGATCGCACAAGATATTGTTTTGGATTATAAACAAACAAACCCGCCGTTAAAGTAATGCCTTTGATTCCAGTCGTATGCAGAGATAAAAAGCAAAAGGTCAATTGCGGAGTGTAAACGGAGACAGTTGTGGCTTGTTTGTGCGAATTAATAATGAACATGGGTTCGACGAAGCTGGCAACTTGCTCCTTAACAAGAATCGTTATTTTGGTGTTGTATATAACCACACTTCAACCTACTTCATCGCTTGCTGCTTTAAAAGCGGACGGTGTTGAGAAGTACGTGATAACGAGAAGGGGAAGATATGATTCTGACCTGTTCAGGGTCCTGTACAAAACTGGCTTCCAATGCCCCTCACATGTTTGTGCCAACACCTCGGCTTTAGTAAACAATACCACACCATGTAGCTGTTCGTGTAATATCAACACTCAAACCTTCCTCCCGGAATTAGGCAGTTGTGGTGATAAAGCAAGTATAAAAAAATCTCTGTTTGGAAGTAAGTAAATTAATTGACATCAAAAGTAAACAAGAGTAATTTGATCTTATCATGATTACGATTTAACTACATATTGAAATTTCCTTGTTTTTATAAAATAATCGCATGATCAGTCAAACAATTTATGGAGAGTTACAAACAGCGGTACAATAAACAAATTACTGTGAGTTTTTTTCTGGTCGAGAAATTAGTAAAATTTCCGCACAACCCCATCTGACATTATGCATTTAGTTCTTAATTGGATAGAGAAAACAATGACAAAAACAACACATTGCCATTGGGAAAACAGATTTGTTTTACAGTAGTATGGGGCTGTGTGGAAATTTTACCTTATCTAGCCCAGATGTAGAACAATACTATGGTATAGCCATTTACATAGCATTATCCCAGCAATAGTATTTTGCCCTGTGTTTATTTTCAAGGTTTTGTTTAGGAGGATGCAGAGCTCTCAAGTTTATAGGCTGGCAGAGAGTGAGAGTTTCAATCACATAGTTGTAAATTGACATGCCACAGGCATTGCATGTGTGTGTGTATGTGTGCATGTGGGGTGGGGGGGGGATCTTAAATATGTGAGAAACAATCATTTCAGAGTGAGAGTGCAAGATTGAATTCCTATGCATGAGTCTCATGCTGAAGACAATGTGATTATTGAGAGCTCAATTTCTGGTGATCTGCCTATATAAGGGGGACTTAGCTGGTTGATACTTTGGAATAGAAGAAGTGACTGATTTTGTGGCCCTTCACAAGTCTTAGATAAGCACCCTCTTTCTGGTAAGCCCCTCTCTAAAATGAGCCTCTTGTCTACTTCAAGGACCCCTGGAGAGTAATAGGCCTAGCAAACTGTTCATTAGCAGGCTGGTTCACTAGAGTGTTTATGGTATGGGAACAATAGAAGCAATCCTTTTACCTGTGCACTTTAGATTTTAAAAGAGATGGAAAAGTTCACTTGAAGTAGAGAAATATTGATTATTAAATGAATTCATCACAGATGCAAGAGGAATTTTCAAGGACATTGATTGTGCCATTAATAGTACCAAAAATGTACAGGTTCTCTCGAAATACTGTTTTGCCTCTATGTTAAATGACTTTAATCATTTGACAGATCTGGAATTCTAGTTGCCTGCATGGAGGCTCTCACTTTAATGGAATTTATAACTTTATGAAAGAGGCCTTTTACAACATATCATTAATAATTTATGGATTGCCTGCCTTCTGCTTTAAGATGACCACATTTCCATCGGAAAAAAAAACCTCTCAGTCTGCTTTTGTGATCACCTAGCTTGCTTGTTAATTGTTACTGGTGATATATAAAGTCTTGATTACGCTGAATTAGTTTTGTTGTCTTTGGTTATTTTGTAGATTGCTCAGATGCACTTGGTATGGAAAGTGGGAAAATCAAAGATTCCCAACTAAAGTCCTCTCGTAGTTTTCGAGGTTATAGTCCTTCCGAGGGAAGACTAAATAATTATATGGCCTGGTGTGCTAGATTTTCTACAGCAGAAGTGTTTTTAGAGATTGATTTACTTGAGGTCAGGCGTGTCTCAGCCCTTGCAACTCAAGGATTCAAAGGGCAATTCATCAACTTTGTTAAAACATTTGAGATAAAGTACAGTTATAATGGCAAAACATGGTTTGATTACCAAGATGACAATGGTAGAACAAAGGTATGAATTTTAAACTTTCAATTGGTAGTTTTCTTTTTGTGTCAATATTGATGTTCTGGGAAAGAATTTATCATCACTACACATCCAATTATGCAGTTGAAACAGAAAATATTAACCATCAGGCTTAATGGAAGGAATTGTCATTATCTTTGTGATTCTGAAAATATTCAAAGCTGGCTGCTTTATATCATTGGGTGTTGTAATATCTTTATTTGATAGAGACTGTTTTAATTTTCTTGAATTTAGGGATTGAAAATTCATAACACTGAATGATTTGACCTTTATATGACTGTATATATTAACCAAGCTTTTTTTTATTATTTTTTAATTGATGGTGATATCACAAGGAAATTAAGACATTCTGCATTGTCAATATTCTTTTATTCTGACTTATGAATTAATGTTTCACTTAATGTCCACTTTCAGGTATTTACTGGAAATACTGACACAGACACTATTAAGTACAATTACTTCAGGGGGACATTTGAAACAAGATTCCTCAAATTATATCTTAAAGACTATAACACAGCAGGGTTTAAATGTCTCAGAGTTGAGGTATATGGATGTAAAGACAATGCTGGTGAGTGAATTAATGTGTGAATCAATGTATGCATGCTGAATGTGGCTGCCACATTTGATGCTCCTCGAAGAATTTTATTATTATTAATTAATTATGAACAGCTGATTCAACCTTTGACTTTCTCTAAAAGATGATGCACTTTAAGACACAAATGCAATGAAATTTAGGAGTGGGAACTTTCAGAAGCAAATAGTTCATGTTATAACTGGCTTCACATAACCCCATAAAAACTCTTTAAAAAACTCTGCATAACAGTTGCTGATGATTATTATGTTAGAATTCTTCAAAATAAATGGTTGATGTGTTGTCATTTCTTTTTTTTTTTTTGCAGTTTGCTCTCGTTTCTTTGAGTGGCCCTTTTTTCTGAAATCCCTTAACCTTGCAAAGGAAGGACATGTGAATATAAATTCTGCTGATAGCTATCAAAGCTGTCAAGTGGTTCCTGGAAGCGCAGCATACTACAAATATCAACTTGGAAACAAGTGGATGGCAATAAACCAAGACATCTTTAAAGTTGAAGAAGTACAAGACAAACTAGTTTTTAAGGTTATGTATCCAGGGTTTATATCCACTAAGAGCCGAACCTTTCACAACTGCTTTTATGCACAGGGCTCTGGATAAATTGATTGATTTTGTGTTCATTAATTATTTATTTCATTAGTGGGCAGATACCACAGACGAAAACATTTTGGGAAGAATTGTACAAATAAAGGTCACTTGTAACTATTCAGCAGTGGCATCTAGACCACCTAAAACTGCTTGTCTGATTTTCAAGACCTCAGGACAAATAATTTGTGAGTATGTTTTCCTTGAAATTTATAAGAATTGATACATGTAGCTTTTTAACCTGAGATATGTCAAGAGTTTGGAAGCAGTAGAGTAACTATCTTCTAAAATTTATAATTCTTGGTGTTTGTGGCAGCTCATTATACATGTAACTCTAAGGGTTGTTAATCCTCACGTTCCAATGATTATTTGATAAGGTTCTATAACTATGTTATGTGCACCTTCATATTGCTTGTATAGCTTTACATAAAATACTAATTTTTGTAATGAATAAGGCATTTTTAGTGTACTTGACACTGTTCCTTTGCTGGAGGTTGGTTTATTGCAGTGCTATCCCTGCATATTACTTTAAGTTTACTTACCATCGGCCAGTACCTATTTATACTCCTGTGATGAGAAAGAGGCTTGATCTGATTGTTAATTCTCCCCTTTGGCTGCTACACATTCCACACATAAATTAGTAACAATAATTTGGAGTTAGATCAAGGGAAAGACTTGTACCTGATAAGGTTGTGTATTCTAATTACCTGTCTGCTACTTGATGTATGAATATTTCAGGGAGAATTTGCATGTTACTCACTTCTGGGAGTTAATGGGTTAAGTGTCTTGCCCAAGAGTGCTACCTGTATATCTCTGGCCAGCTGGGCCCAAACCCAGACCTTTTTGGTTACCATGTCTGACAACAGATCAGCCGTGGCAAATTATTTTTCAATCCAGTATCTTACTTAATTACTAGTGGGGGCTGGGTAACATGAAATGGATTAGCATCTTATTGAGGGGGGTTACCTTTGCTTTGTGTACAGTAACAAATATGGGAAAACAAAGATCAGGAATTTTTCACCATTGTTAACATGTATCTCTTACTTTTCAGTGGATCTAAGCACTATGGCAAAGACAACACCATATATTCCTTTAGTGACCACAGCGACTTCCGAGGTTTGTGCAGGATGTAGTCTTCATTATCAAAAGACTGTTGAATGTTCCGTTCTGTTTGTTCTTTAAGGTGGTTGATGAACTTGTAGAAGGTGAAAATAGAAATGTTTTTCGGTTTACAAAAGAGGACAGTTCCTCTGGTGCGAAGAGAAATATAAACTTAATTAGTGTAGAGGTGCTTCGCCCGCAAGCAGGTTCCTATGATAAACGCTGTTAGACGCGCGTTTTCCCGCCCGCGGGAAGATGTAAGACGAGTCAGGGAGAAGTTTGCCGGGGTATGGCACTAGTAATTACAGTGCTAGACCCCTTGCAGACGTCTCACTGGCTCGCGATGCTTAAGGCTGTATATTTTCCAGCGGGCGAAGAAATTCTAAGAGCTAAAAGTAGTTGTCATAAATATTTGAAACTAAAATAAGCCTAGGGTTTATGTCTTTCAAGAGCCTTCTTTAGCGGCTCCCATTTGGAGTGCCATATGATTGGAGTTACTATTTGTGTTTATGAAGCGGTTTCCAGGTTTTTCAACTTGTCTGTCAGAGTTAATATATCCAATAAATGTGACAGCAATGGGGTAAGGGTTGTGCAGTTCATCAATTTAGTAAACCAACAACAATTAACAACTAGTCACCGAAGTGGAGGTGGTCATTGGTGGATATGGTTTATACCACTAGACTTTTTTGTCTACGTAATTTTAGGAGGTTATTTATCTATTTATTTATTTATTTTTTCATTTATTTATACATGGTAAAAAATTCATCAGGTATAACAAATTCTAATACAATGACTAGCATCCTAAAACCTAAAAACCCTAATCCTAACATTATAATAACTTACAATATGCTATTAAAAAAACTGATTTCCACGAATGCCGTGTTTAAAAATTTCTATAGAGAAGGCGTTTAAATTGATTTAATGATCTAGACTCTTTAATGCTACAGGGCAAGCTATTCGAAAAGGTTGCGCCGCTGTAACTAAAAACTATTTTTCATGTAATTAGTTCTTGAAAAGGAGACAACAAGTTTGCTTACCGAGTCCCTCAGAGAATAGTTTGATTCATTTCGCTCTATAAATTAAGACGTGAGATATTCAGCCTATGAACAGAGTAGATTTTATGTAGACTTTTTATGATATACTGGTTGTATGGAGTTGCATTTTTAAGCTGTAGACCGCATTTTCTATTGGTTTCTATAGTAGCATGTTGGAAGAACGCTAGAAAAGTTTGTAAATCAAGAATCGGAGGCGAGTGATTTACAAAATTTTCACGTGTTATCGCAACATCCCAAGTGGGACACTACGCCGGTAAACCGGTAGAAAGTGCGGTTTATTAGTTTTATTAAACAAACCTGCAACGTTTCAATTTCTTATGGGTTTACTGGTGCATTCAGATAAACGAGTGGTTTTTGATTAATCAGGTCGATCGTCGTATCTCAGTCATTTTATAAATAATTATAAGCCAAGGGTTGTGCAGTTCATCAATTTAGTTAACCAACAACAATTAACAACTAGTCACCGAAATGGAGGTGGTCATTGGTGGATATGGTATATACCACTATACCACACAAATAAATACTTTTTTTTCGCGCGCTGATTGGCTAGTTCGGAATTGAATAGGAAGTATCATTTACCTTCGAGGAGCGGAAGAGACAAAGTTTCATTTGCGACCATATTTCGATATATTGAAAGAAGTAAACTAGGTTTTCGTATTTGTGTGGTATGTACTAAAACAATTATTTTCCTCAGCTTCGATGAATAATTGTTTAATATTCCTTGCAGATGTCTTTAGTGACAGAACCTGTGGGAGGCACTAGTGATAAAGATGCAAGAACGAGTGTGAGCAACAGTGGATCTGGAGTTTTGATTGGTGTTGCTGTGGCATGTGCAGTTGTATTTGCAATTATCCTTATTGTTCTTGTTGTGTTTTGCAAGAGGAGAAAATTGTAAGTTTGATCAACTACATATGCTTGTGCATGTGCGTGTACAACCATTCTCAGATGAAATGGCTCTCAGATGGTGCTATTAATTTATGATAAAAAATCTAATAATGATTGTGTTATAACATCAGTATTTGTATTCTCCGTACTTTCTCTATACATTTCCTTTGGTACTGACAACGAGAATTCATTTAACAATCAAAGCTTCTTGGGTTTGGCAATCATTCCCTTTGTTCTCATGACCGTACAGAATGATCCAGCAGTAATACTTTAGGGAGAAACTAGATGACAATCACTCAGGGGTTTTAAATGGTTGAAAGGATCTTGCAAGAACTGGAAAACGGCCCTGAGAGACTCAAGTTATGAATGTTTCAACCGGGCCGATACCAGTGGTAATCAGATTTAAATGGTCAAATCGTAAAATTACTCTCAAAAGTATCTTCTGCCACATAGTTGATCGCTCCTTGTGGTAGTCTTTTTGACAATTTTGTCAGATTTTTTTTGAATCTCTAGATTTATCACAACTGTTTTTTACCTTGTGTTGAACAAGATTGATTTTTCATAGACTTTACTAAAACAGAAACATTTTAAGTACGTTACAACTGAACAACTCAGCATTCTAAATATATTTTGTATTGGAATTTCTTACTTAGGAAAAAAAGTCAGCAAGGAACATCGTCAACAGGTAAATGATCTTTTCTTTAGCAGTTATCTAACTTGAATAGTGCAGCAATGTGTCGTGCAATAAATACCATATGAAGCCACTAACCTGTTTTACTTAATCAATCAACAGTTCAAAAGAATATGAGTTGGTGTCATTCAGACCCCAGTCACAGCCAAGTATGGTCTCCCTTGCAGCCGTTATTTAGTCTCCTCCAAGAGAATATCAGCTGATGTTCTCTTGGTCTCTTCACACGACACGCTTTCTTCCAGACCCTTTTTGCACATTGTTTGGCCACTTCTCTTAACATGCGCACTGCAAATTTCAAGACACATATCACGCCTTGTTCCACAGAGCGCAGCATGTAAAGGCATATAATGAATTTGTAAAGGAACATCTCACATCTCGCTTTCTTCGGGAGCATGTTGGACGTTGTTGGGTCACGTCACACAACACGCTTCCTTCTTAAGCATTTTGCATTTTATTTGGTCTCGCCGCACAACACAACTCCCAGAGCACTCTGTATGTTGTTTGACCACGTTACACAAGACTCTTTCACGCAGACTATTTTGCATGTCGTCCAGTCACGTCACACAATACGCCCTCTTTTTGTTGTTTGGTTACGCCACTCATCCCACTTTCTTCTAGAGCGTGTTGTTCGCTGTTTGTCCGTGTCACACAATACTCTCTCTCCCAAAGAGTGTCGCGTGACAGAACTACACAACAGCCGTGAATTATGATTCATTGAAACTAATATTGAAATAATGAAAATTTTCCGATTGTCGTGTGATCATTTAATCTAACATTAACCATTTTATCTTATTTCAGTACAGGAAAACGTGTATGGAAATTCACAGTTTGAAATCCCAGAAAGAACAAAAACGGGAAAGGATGTCAAACCTTTCAGTGATCAAGAGAATCAACCAACTTACCAGGACATTGTCCAAGACAGTGGTGAGTAAAAGTAAAATCCCATGACTAAGCCTTCTTGTATGTTTAAACCCTTACCTCCGGCCCAGAAGTGATTAACATGTAAGTTCTCACTATAATATCCATACATTATCCAGCAAACAGGTAATGAGAATACTCAAACTTCTTGAACTAGAGGTTGTTATCTTGATCTAACACCAAATTCTCGTAACTATTTTTACAAGGAAATATGTAGCAGCTAGAGGGGAGGATTAACAATCAGATCTTGGGAGTTATTGGGTCATTGTAAGTGCAAGAGAATGCTTAATGATGGTAGAATTTATATGAAGCATTGTGATATTTTGAATTTAATGTGCCCTTGGTTCCCCATTATCCTCGCCAGAACCAATGTATGGAGGAACGATTTACAGCGCACCCGAAGTAAACCGATATGACAACCGCGTTTACCAAAGCCTGGACGACAACGTTTCGCAGACATCAGGATACCAAGCCCTGAAGAAAGGACATCATGGCACAGGGCAACCAACGGAACAATCAAGTGCAATGACAGAGCCTGTCTATAACTCCCTTGAAAAGCCTGATATTGCGCAAGAAAATGTAGATGGCTCCCTGTATAATGTACTTGAAAGGCCCCCTGCAGGTAGGAGCTGTAAGGTGCTCCAAGAGGAAAACCCTTTATATAATGTGTTTGAGGGGCCCGATCCCAGGCAAGACCAACAGGAACCTCTTTATAATGTCCTAGGTAATGGCCTCGATACTAATGGTAGACCCCTCGAAGATGGTGCAAATGATGAATACTTGTATAATGTGCTTGAGAGGCCTGGCCCCAAACAGAACCAACAGGAACCACTCTATAATGTCCTAGATAATGGCCCTGATACTGATCGTGGGCCCTTTGAAAATGGTGCAAATAATGAAGGCCTATATAATGTGCTTGAGGGACCAGATTCAGATGCTGGACCAAATAGTAGTGAGGCAGAGTATGCAGCTCCAAGAGAGCCGTGTTCTCCCGGTAGCCGTAACAACCCATCCTATGAGCAAACTCTGGAGTTAAATGTACCTTATGAACAAAGCGAGGTCAACAACGGGTCAGTGTATGAGGCCCTGAGAGGCGCTAATGGCGCTGACATATACCAGCCTTTAACAGTAACTTAAGTTGTAAGCTTTAGAGCTTAGCCAAAGAAATTACAGTGAATAAATATATTTTAGTACTGTAGAACCTTGCTTACTCGAACCTGAGTGGGATCCTGGACTGCCCTCCAACTTGCAGTTGTAAAGCTATACCCCTTTAAGTAATTTTTTAGTTTTTTAACTATCGGGAAACTCGAACTTCCCGATTTCTCCTTCAGGTTCCAGTCAGGGGCGTTCTACCGTAGTTTACTTTATTTTTTCTTTTTTAATAAGAACAAAGAAACTGAAAAATCATTCAAAGTAGGCAGACAGTGTTAAATGTTAGTTAGAATTACCTAGAACTGTTTCAAACCTTTGAAAGGTTTTTTAAAAAATACTTTGAACGTATGCCAAGTGTAGAAACAGGGATTATTTTGACCAAGCCTCGTTGGAATTGTATTTGTATTAGAGGGTCTTAATAGAGCGATGGCTTTTACGGCGAACAGTTAAAGTTTTCGTCATATTACGGCTAACGGTTAACTCAAAATGGCATCGTAGATCAGAAATATATTTACGTTTAAACTTTAGATACGACTAACGGTTGAAATTCGTCAAGTTTACTTTTAACGGTTAATTAAATCTTTTGCTGTAGAGTATGGAATTATTAAGACCAACTATCACATACCTTTGTTGCTACGTCTTTACTTCTGGCGGCCAACATTCCAGCCTATGTTATCTACTTGCACTACGTAATAACCGAGGTTCGTACTGGAAGTTGTGGACCGCGTTTTTTATCGCGCGCAGGCCTTAAATCCGAGCGGTAAAACAAGGTTCTGTAACTTACAGCACAAACCGAGAAACGAAGTTAATAACATTTTTTTTATTATATCAAGAAGATGCAAATCAAACAAACTTTTGAATTTTGCGGGCTATACCGTCACATATACATTCACCAATCATAGCGCACCTACTCAGATATATTAATAAGAGGCTTGATAATATGTGGAAATAAGCAGTCAATTGCGTCTCAGCTGAGTTTCGTTATCTCAATAGGATGAAACTTTTAATAATTTAGGTAACTTTTAAGAAATTATTATAGAGAGACGTCCTCGTGGAGGAGTCACAAATATATTCTTTGATCGATCTTTCAATTTTTAAAATAAATGAATAGATAAGTTTTTGATGAGGGTTTTCCATTGAGTCAACTGACTTTGAGTTCCTTTTTTACCCTAGCCTGCTCGCTGGGTCATTATTAGCGCTTTGGCGCAAGCGTCACTTTGCTTGTGGGAAAATATGAGTCCGCGAGAGGTCTGCCAAAGGTCTAGCACTGATAGATTATTAGTGCCAGAGCTCTGGCAAACTGGATTGCTCAAATCGCGGAGCATGCCACAAGTATTCTTGGGTGTCATAGGAATCATTACAGCCACCAAACGTCTGTTGACTGCCTCCAGAACCACAGCCTTAGCTTTTGCTGCACTCTTTCCGATATCGTTCGCCTCAGGGAATCAGTAGTTCAAGTCTTTCAAAACATTTAAAGTCTGTTTGCATGGATAAGATTTCCCGCGGAACTGAACAGAAAGGAAGTTGTAACGGTGGTAGGACGATGTATCTGAATTTGACAGGGTAAAAACGAAGCATCCTGTCCTCAGATGTTGTAGCTCAGGAATTATTTCATAAAAGTCACAACCGCATCCGTGTAAACCCGACATAAGCAAGATTTAATCATTTGCTGATCGCATGTCACTCCGTGTTTTCACTCCGATGACAACGCAGCTAATGTTGGTAAACATACACTTCTGGTTGCGGAGTCATCTCCAAATTCTTCATACTGCTCGGTGTTCATCCTTTTACAATGAGCCAGAGCTTTTCTGTTTCAAGCCCCTATCTTTTCCCAATTTTCTTACTAGTTGATGTGAAGTTTCTCAAACCATTCCGTTCGAACCAGTGAAGTACAACAAACATTTTTTTTTCCACGGGAGTAGGGTCAGGTATGGAAGTAATATTACTGGTATGGTGGCATAACTTTGGCATAATGCTATGGTCAGAATATCGAGCATAATCAGTCTGCATTATGACTAAACGTCTAAAGAGTTCCTTTGATATTACAGTTCAACAAGAGATGAATTCTATAGCCTGAGTTGTGTCAACTGTGAACCTGCTTTCTCGCTTGCACTTTAGGAATTTGGTTCAGTAAATGGTAAGCTTTCTATTCTTGACAAGTTTTACCTGTCGGTGATGGTAATTGGGGAGGGGTGGGAGGGGAGGTTCAGAGGCTCTTAAAAGCTATTAATTTGAATTATTGAGTTGAGCAAAAGGAACAATTTTGATCCTTATTTTCACCACGATGCCATGTTTTTTGGGGTGGCACTCAAACGCATTATGCTCAAATTTCCGAGCATGATTTTTCTGATCCTTCGTGGGAGTATCCACGGACTTTTTGACGTCATAAGGTGTTTTCAAAGGAAGTTGGAAAGGTTTATAAATCTAACTGGCCCCTGAAGAGGTCTGAACTTCAGTGTGCGCTCATATCGCGGTCAAAAACAAGCTCAGTTATATTTCTTGTAATCGGAAGCAAGATGTATCTCATAATTTGCGCGAAGAAACATATCTTTGTTTTTGGTGTCTCATCTTGCAACTGTACAGCCTCTCCGATACATGCCAGTTTGGATGCAGACGGCATCGTTACTGAGTATGTTATTACAGGGAGAAGAAGGAACGTACGATAGCAACGTATTCAATATTATTAACAAAACTGGCTACAGATGCCCCTTCGGATGTCTGTCAGAACACCTCTGCTTAGGTGACCAATATTGCAATAAGTAGCTGTTCATGTAAGGCCGGCACTCCTACCTTCTTAGCTTCCCGCAAACAGGAAGTTGTACTGATACAGCAAGTATAGAGAAATCTCTGTTTGGAAGGAAGTAAACATTATTTAATAGTAAATGAGTGAGGAGAGATTATCAAAGTGCGTTCAGTTCTTGTCTTCTCGCTCTTCAGAGTTTTTTTCTGAAATATCAATGTATATTTCCAGGGTGGAATTTGTTATTGACTATTTCGGTTTGTAGCACATTTTCCTGAAAGGATCTCTAGTAACCCTGCTATTGAATTCGGGGCTCGATTTTTTCGGTATCTGCAACCGGCTGACGTTCCCTTCCTCTTGCTAAATCACACTAATGATTGTGGAAGGTAAGTAGTTAGGTTCCTTACAAGGATACCACCTTTAAGAATTTTATCTACTAATCATTATTTGTCACTCCCGATTGCATTGTAATTAATTATCACTCAAGTTGCAGAGTCCTAATCATACTGAATAAATTTGTCACCTTTGGGCTTTTGTGGATTGCTCAGAAGCAATTGGTTCAGAAAGTACCGGGGAAAATTAATGATTCCCAGCTAAGTTCCATAGACAGTTTTCCAGGCTTTGGTCCATCGGAAGGAAAACTGAATAATTATAAGGCTTAGTGCTCTTATTGTATCAACATGTTTTTTGAGATTGACTTACTTGAGGTCAGGAATATTTTCTCAGCCCTTTCAAGGATACCAAGGATCGTTGGCTAACTATATTAAAACATTTAAGATGAAGTACAGTTATTATGGTGTAACATGGTTTGATTACAAAGATTAAAATGGTTTAAACAAAAGGAACTGAAGTTTTAACGAAGTATTTTACATGTGAATATTCTTTCTTCCAGTACTCAACGAGATGATCAATTCCTTTTTTTGGAAGTTGAAATGAATCGTTATGGGGTCATACAAAATATTTAATGAATTTGTATCTAAATGGGAGTTGAGTTCAACTATTTTTATTCGAAATAATTTGGCTCTTCCTATAACTCACATATATTTACTTAATAGAGTATTTTTTCATTGCGAGGATATATCAAATCATGTTCATTTTTGCTTTTATATCAATAAGTGTTTCACTTAATGTCCATCTTCAGAGGTTTACTGGAAATAGTGAAAAAGGCACCATAAAATATGACTATTTACAAGGAACTTTTGAAACAAGATTCTTAAGAATATATCCCAAAGAGTATAACACACGTGAGTACAGATGTCTAGAGTTGATTGAAGTGTAAGTGGTGTAGTGACAATACCGGTGAGTTAATTTAACAGCCGCCTGCTTTAAATACTAATGTGCAAATCAAGGAATATCAGTGAAAGTAGTTACGAGGTTTAAATTGGTTACGCATCAATTGTTGGTTGTACACGCAATTCAAACAATTAACATGGTTTCTTTACGTACAGGAGAAGTTTCGGACTCTTTAATGAATTGGACTTTTTCACCAACAGGCAAATGGAGAAACCCATCCATAATTTTAAAACTTCTCATGCATTCTCATCGCTATGGAAACCTTGCGTTTACTAATAAATGCGCTGACAAGAGAATATAAAGGTGAAAAAGGTTCGTAAATCAGTTTTGAATTCACGTACTTATCATGTAACCCCTCCGATCCCGCTTGTGCTATCTCATAGGAAACCATATTGATAGCTGACGTGTATAAAGCCGGACGGGTTGACGTGATCCGGTTCGGAAAAAGCTTTCCGGCTCTGGTGCACCTGTGCGGTTTTGGGTTTGGTTAGTTGGTTTAAAATTTTTTGCTTTTGTTGCAAAAATGAGTGACAGTGGTGGATAAGTTTCTTGTTCTGCTGTTTTTAAAAAATATAAAGGAAAAGTTTTAAAATTTTTTGGTGGTTTTCCCGCACGTGCGTGTCTATTTCGTCTTATTTTAGTTGAAACAACCTTTTTTAAGTTTTAAAAACTTAGTCAGTGGTCATATGATACAATGCTTATTGATTAAGTAGAGTCGGGCCAGACGGGAAAACATCTGGCCGCACCGGAGTGACCCCTCCCACTCAGTCAATAAGTACATAATATTTCGCTAATGTAATAATGTAAACTTCTATTATGGTCCTCTCTTCCCCTGCGCTCTGTGCCCCTCCTACCTCCACCTCCCTATCTACTCTCATGGTCTATGGGCCCTTACGCCCATTTTTCTTTCGGTAGTCTTCGAGCAAGCCCTCGTTACAAGCGAGACAGATCCCTTGTCGGCTTGCTTTGCTGAAGGCCTCGAGCTCAAATATTCTCGCGGCTGATTAAATGCTCTTGCCGCTGGCTATACCGTGCTTTCCCTCGGCACGGTATTATCGGAAATGGACTCGGAAACTAATAAACTTAAAGTTCCCTTGGAACTAAACGGTTTTTAAGGTTGAATCTCTCAATATCATTTTTCAAAACTGTTTTTTTTAAAATACCTATTGACTTCGGAACAATTTCCATGTGGTTCAAGTTTGTTCAAAACTCCATTTCCATTACAGCTTGCTTAGATAGATAACGAGCCTCGCAGTTTAAGTGCTAAAAAATGTGTCGGGGGGGGTGTACCCTTATTAGCTCATCACGATCGATTATTCAACCGGCCCTCTCCTTCATTTTGACCGTCGCTCGCCCCCTTGGTGCGAACAATGATTTCTCTCTCCCCAGCCTTCCGCTACTGTGTAGCAGATCCATATTGGTATTCTTATAACTAAATTGTGTCGAAAAAGCGTTCCTTAGAAAATATGCAATAGTTTTAGGGAAGGTTTTTGCCGATAAACTTGCAGTTAGGACGAGATTATGACAACTGCAATAGCCGGAGACCAGCACTTTTTTCTCTTCTCTCTTTTTTAATTTTTCATATTATTCTAGTATCGATGAACTGCTGAAGGTTTTCTATTTTTTTTCTTACTTTAGTTTGTACTATATCCTTTGTACTAGGGTGTGTGACCCAGCTGTACTGTAAAAGATAATCATCATATAAGGGGACTGGGACGTAACATTGTGACACAGTCCCACTCGCAGGGGTGCTGCCTTCCCAGAAGGCCAAGCAATCACACACCGTCCAGTTCCGGGACGCTTGCTTGTCCTCATTGCGTATTTCTGTTGTGAATCCGGAAATAACTTCATGCACTGTTTATTAAGTGCTTAATTGGCGTGAAGAAGGGTTTGCGAACAAGTTACTTGTTTGTGAAGAGTTGAAATACTGGATAATGTGATTCTCACCACGCTGTTGATCTCTTGTCGCCGCAGAACATTCAATTAATTTGGCGCACGAAAATGAAAGGAGGACAACAAGGAGTTGTGCTGAAGCTGCTTTTGTTGACAATAATTCCCCAGCTGTCAAGTTTCGAGGTCGTCAATCAAACAGATGTTAAGGAATATGTCATAGAGAGAAGAGATGGTGGTAAATACGATTTGTTCATGTTGAATTATAAGAATGGATCTTTCTGCCATAAGAGTGTTCACAAAGTCAATGATTGGTGCAAGGAACTGCAAGCAGACGTCGATAATACGTTGATCATAGAAGGCAAGTCTTGCGGTTGCTCTTGCTCATACGGGTTTCCGACATTCCTGCCTTCAAATCAAACTTGTATCAATGAAAACCAAGCTCAAAGATTAGGAGGTAAGAACGTGAACCATTATTTGATATCTTTCAAAAGTTGAACTGTCAACTTGAATTAGGGTAGAAATGTGAAATGAAGATTAAATAAAAATACACGAAACAATCCATGATATCCCTAAAAAACATTTGCTATAATCTTGAAGGGGGCAGTTATATAATTTACTTTGCAAGGATACCAAAAAATAGAAATTTGATGTGTGATAAAAATCTAATTAACCATAACCCTTTAACTCTCGTGTGTGACCAAGACAGAATTTCTCCTTACAATATTAATACAATATCAAGCAGACAAGTGATAAGAATAAAGAAAAATATCAACTTGGGGATTGATCCAATACCAAATTCTCCATACTAACATGTAAAACTACAGAATACATGGCAGACAGTTTACAATCATTTAAAGAGATCCTTTTGTGTTAAAGCCTTTATCAAAGCATGCCCACAAGGTTAACCTCAGTGGTCTTGTATTCTGTAGTTCCAAATCTGGATTAGTATTAAATCAAGTTCTTATCAACTCAGCTTAGAGCTGGTGATTCTTTATTGGACATGTGACCCCTTCCCTGTGTGTACCTCCCTCCTCCTCAAGCTTATCATTGTTATATAGGCATTAATTACCACTGAGAACAATATGTAACATGCATTATCTTAAACCACCGGTCTGCAGAGTATGGCAGAACTTGAAAAGATCTTGTGCATACAAGGGAGATTCTGCTGTGTGAAATGTATGGTTAGAAAGAAAAAAATTGTGTATGTATCTGCCAAGTTTTACTCTGCAGACAGGTCCAACAAGCCATGGGTGAAGCCATGATGTAACTAAGGAACAGAGGCTTAAACAAGCTCTAGTGCATGGGTGTAACAGTTTTGTTGGAAAAGTGAGTGAAGCCCTGCTTTCATGAAACTGACTGATAAGTGATCCTGCCCTCCATCTTTTTAGGATGTTCACACTACGAACATTTTAAATTGTACTGGTCAGATAAGGAGCCACTGTTGTCTACTACGGTAAATCTTTTAGTGGCAAAATCAAAGGAACTTGCTCCATCATTTTCCAGAGATAACTGCTCTGTAATCACTGGGGACTACTTTGATTACAATGGCTTTCTCAGTGAATGGAAAAGTATACAAAACCAGATATTCAGTTTTAACAACAGCAATGACAATATGAAGCTTCAGGTACAGCATTAATTTTTCAGTCTTATATGTATTCCTTTTTATGATTTTTACTTTGTGATCAGGCACTCTCCTGAATCCTCCATTTAGGGTTTAGCTGTCAGAACAGAACAGGTAATATTCCCTGAAGAGATGTTTCCCTGCAAGAGAAGGAACAGAAAAAAGTTTGGTCAATAGTCCATAAAAAGAAAAGTACAGATCAAAATAACTTGAAATACATTAAAATCATTTTAAACTATGACCTAAAAAGTTCTTTTTATGGTCTGTTTTACCATTTCCTAACAGTGGAAAGCAGACAAGAATGGCACACTCTCTGGCAGGATCATCCGTCTGAAAGTTACTTGCTACAATACCACAAGTTCACTTCCCAGGTCACCATTCAAACGTTGCATGCTTTTCAAGGCATTAGGGACTGTGACATGTGAGTTGCTATGAAAGTAAAGCCAATGATTTAAATAATATTTGTATTCAGAACTTAGGGGTGATATCATGGTTTTGATTATTTTAGGTAATGATTATATGAGGATTAACATATAATTGTCTCAATTAAGTGTTACCATATTTTTATGTTATAGCTCAGGAAATTTTAACTGCTTTACAGCAGTACACAGGTCAAACGAGCTCAACAGGGTAATATAGTATTATCAACTGAGTTGATAATGTAAATTGGCCACTGTAAAGAGTTTAAAAGCTGACATTTTAAGTGTTAGCCCTTCATCAGAGCAAATGAACATCAAATGAGCTCAGGCAGCTTTATGTAAGAAGTTGTTTGGGAGTTATGGTTGCGTTTTGGGTACATTACAGAATGGAATTAGATAAAGATTGTTTATTATGACCCTTATTGGTACATCTGTAATGTTAAAAGTGTCATTCATACTGGACTTCATAAAGTAAACATCAAGAGAACCAGTAGGGATGAAATGATTCCTTAAGGATGGATTATTTTGTAAAAACAAACAGCCACAACAGCCAATCATAAATTAATTTTAAGCAGACAAATGAGGGTTCATATCTACTAGTACACATGTAGGAATGAGTAGAAGACTAAATGTGCTGCACAGAGCAATTTAGAATAATAGTATTCAACCACTTCCCTTTAACAAAGACTGTCAGTTTTACCAGCATTTAAATTTCATTATCTATAATTAATAGACTCAAAAATAAATGTATACATGGATAGTCACACTGTCAAATGTTCCTTTTGCCTTTCTCAGATTATGCCCCGTTAAAGACAAGTTCAGTACATACTTTTCCAACTGCTTCAAGTTCTCACACTCCATGGTCATCATATTTGTGTTTACCATCTCTTCAATTACAACAATCAACACAAACATCCACATTGTCACTAATGCCACAACCATCATCATCACCATCACCTTCTCCTTCATTGGGTGCTACCACAAAAAGTCCCGCATCACACACAGACAAATTTTCAACATTTGTATCAACACACATCAAAACCAGGTCACTTCAAACAATGCTGGCGTTACATTCATCTGGACCGATTCTGCTGTCAACATCAACAGATGAACTGGAAAGCTCCTTGCCAGTCAATTCAGAAGAAATTTCTAATAATGTAATAAACACTGGGATTCCAAAATCTTCGGTTAGCACAGGGGAACCAAATTATAGTGAACCATCAGAGGTGAGTTTTCTGTGTTAGGAACAGTTGATAGTTCTGTAAGTATTAAATGTGAAGAGGGTACACTGAAGTTATGAAACCATGATTATGATGGTGCCTAGAAGTTAGTAATTAACCCTTTGACTCCCATGAGTGACCAAGACAGAATTTCTCGTCACAATATCAAAACGATATCAAGCAGACAAGTGATGAGAGTAAAGAAAAATATTATTGGTTGATCTAATACCAAACTCTCCAAACTAACATCACAAGAACTATATGGCAGACAGTACGTAGAATTACTAATGAGATCTTGGGACTTAAACGGTTTTAAGTAAGTAAAATTATACAGTTGTGTTATTTAGCGAGTACATATGGGATAAAAAACTGTACCTAAGCGCTAATGACACGAATTTTTTGCGTAAATATTCAGCTTATCATATTTACAAACCAATTCCGAAAAAAGTAAAAATGTCAAAAAAGTTAAAACTCGGTTTTTCGGGCCCTTAGGTGCTGTTATTTTGTCTATTAAGTGTCCCGTAGACTGGTAACGAATTAGCGGGTGATGACGTAGAAAATTATGAAACCTTCAGTTGGCACTTACAAGTCTATGGTGGCCGAGGACTGTCACTCAAAATTTTACAATTTTTCAAAGATTTAATGAAAAATAAAAGAAAAAATAAATCAAAACCGAAAGTAAAGTGGAACGTGACTGCAAAACAAAGGAAAAAGAACGATTGAAAGTAAAATGAAGTTGCAAGCAAATTTAAAAGCAAATTATAGGATATCGGTCAGCTCTTTTATAACAAACGATGTATGTGTGTTTTTAAAATAAGATGGAAACTACCATTGATTTTCATACGATAAGAAAAGCGCAAATGTAGTTATGTGGAAAGACAAGGAGTATGAATAAATCTCAAGCGCGTGGAATAAACAACAATAAGGAACTCACCATTCTTCGCTCGCGAAATGTCAGCCGAAAGGGATGTTAAGCAATCGTGTACGGCGTGGGAACAGGCCCCTTAATCAGAATTATTTTTAGCTGAATTCATTGGTTATCTTTCCCTGATTTGACTTGTGGTATGTGTTCGTAACAGCCGTCTTCGAGGCCGTTACAGAGCATATTAGGACGACAATGAAGAATGAAATCTCCTCGATGTCGACGTATGAAACGCGTCCAGTTTGGCCATAGTGATACAGTTACATCCTTTGGAAAGGAGTGTATAGAAACACCCGTTATATGTGTATTATTCTCGAAGCTAACATCATTTGGCGCTCCGGCAACACAATACGTTTGTCCTTTCTTCTCGAATTTTCCCTTTTTCCACAATTAGTTGCAGTTTTCGCGGTTTTCACAGTTTTCTACGTCACAGTGTTTTGGCCGTGGGGTTTTTGACCGCGCAAGATCTGGGATCGAACATGCCACGAGCAGTAAAGTGACAACATGCAAAACAAGCGTGTCGGTTCTTTAAAATCGCACGATTGTCCTTTTTTCGGCTTTTACACAGTACAGCTCTATGCTATGAAATCAAGGGTTTCCAGCAACTCCACCCGTAATATTTATAGGCCTTCTACACCTGAAAAAGAGGTCAACCGAAAAGAAAACACGATGGGAAAGATTGCCAAAAGGTGACAGATTCGAAAGTTTACACATTCTCAGATATAAATCTTGGCGAAGTTCATATTTGCTGGATCGTTAAACATACTTGTGCCCTTCTTAGTGCCTGTTGACAAAAAAATTAATAGCACCAAATTTGAGATAGAGGAAGAAAACACAAAATTGCCAACAGCAAGAAAACCGCCTTTGTAACCCCTTCTTTTTTTCGGCTTTTGAAAGATCGGCTGGACAAATTTCACAAATTGTGAAAATTTTGAGAGACTTTTCCAAGGCAAACTGAAGAAAATATAAGGCAAAGCCAAATTATCACTGGCAAGTGCCTCCCTTCGTAGAGCGAAAATCATTCTATTAATAATTACTACAGGAAACGGTAGTCCGAACCTTGCTCATCGCCTTTTGATGGCTTTTAGTGACCTTGTAAAGCGGAAACATAACATTTTTGGCTCGTTGGCACGCGCGCCCACACTGAGCAAATACGGTATGGAGCCTCCTTGATGGGGACACTTTTTGGCCGCCAAATCGTACTTTAAATGCATAAAAAGATGGTCAAGGAGAAGTCCCTAGGCGCTTAGGTCGGTTAGTTTCGGTTATGTCAAAGGCAGTTTAAGACCAAGGGCACAGTTATTGCACCGCAGGTTTGCTTTTTCTTGCTTTCTAATTGTTATGGACTGTGGTACATATTGTAAAAGGCCATTGTAAAGTTCTTCAAAGGACAAATTTTTATAATTATTTTTAATCTTATTTTATTTCCCTACACTCTTAGTTACCAACCACTGAGTCAAGTCTTCCTACCAGGGATGGTCCAGGAGACAAAGAGGCAAGGAAAGGTGGAAAAGACAAAGGAGTAGCAATTGGTGCAGGAGTTGGTGGTGCTGTTGTTTTTGGGATTATTGTCATAGGGTTGATTATTGTATTTTGCAAGAGAAGAAAATTACGGTAAGCTGTGTAATCAAAAAGTGGTTGACTCTTACAGCAGCTATAACTGAACCCAATTGTCCATATTGTTAGAGAGAAATCACTTGAATTTTGTTTATATAGTAATGATAGTAGAACCAAGTGATGAATATCAAGTGACAAACAAAATCAGACTTGGATGATCACAAAGCGAGAGCCCAATTTGTTAATTGCAGGTCTGGAATGATCACAGGCAGAACCGATAATAAAACACTCACAGAAATTACACATACTGTCCATTTGGAATGGTATAACATGTAAATATTCCTTTTACATTGTCCAGTTGCAAGTTTTGCAAGTGGACTGTACTGTGAGGGTCTAAATAAGGCTGTGCAGAACTATGCACCACAATTCTGGTTTTGATTGACTCTGAGTCAAATTCTGTCTCCTTTAAACATCAAAACTTTTGTACACACTTAGATAAAATTACGGAATAAATGTGTCAGGATTCAATGTTAGTAATCATGCTGCAGAATGTTAACAGACTCATGTCCAATTAATGCGTCATGGAATGTGACATTCAATGTTAAACATCTAGTGAAGAACAAGTAGAATGTATGTACTTATTAAAATAACTGTAATGTTATGAACAAACATTAAATTCCAAACTATAAGTTCAAAGCACCCTCCTCTTCATTGGACCTTTCTAGTAATTTTCAACTCTATACTTAGATTGCAAAATAAATTACAGCGAATGCAAACTTAAGATCAAAATTTGTTTTGACTTTTGTCATAACTGAAATTTTAGTTTGCGAGAGAGTAGTGACAGTAAAACCTGATATACTGTAGAAGACATGCATAGTGAACCAGTGAGAGCTTACTTAACCCTTTAACTCTCAGATCAAAATTTTAATTCTCCATACTGTCAACCATGCAATTCTTATAATGTTAGTTCAGAGAATTTGGTATTGGATTTACTAATTATCCCCAAATAGAAATTGTTCTTTTACTTATTCTCATCACTTATCTGGTTGATATTGTATTGATGCTGTAAGGAGAAATTCTGTCTTGGTCACTTGTGGGAGTTAAAAGGGTCAAGACAAATTTGTGATTTAGAAATGATCATTGATTGAAGAATTGGTAATGCCAAATTTTTTTTGCAGGGAAAGTACAGAAAAGGTAGAAAAACCACATGTAAGAGGTAAAGTTTTGTTTTAAGAATAAGACTTGTACACTGATACAAGTCTCTTGTACCCACCCTGACAAGTTGTAGAGAAACAAGTTGAGTATAATATATCGGTGTTTCCTCATTTTGTTAAACATTTAAAATTAGCCTAAAATTGCATGTTTCTCTCTTAAGAACGGTCATGTTGCATGATACTGATACATTCACTTTTTTCATGATTTTTAGAGTCTAGAATACCAAGTTTTCCTTCACAATTTATTATTATCACATAAAAAGCCACTTTGACAATGAAATGATATTTTCTGTGTTTATTTTGTTGAATTTTTGATTATAGTTAAGAACCCAGTATACGAGAAACCTCTAGATGACATACAAATAGAAAGACCTGGAAAGAAAGCCACAACTTTAGATGGACAAGACAATCAACCAACTTACATGGAACTTGTTGACAACAGAGGTGAGTTGGTTAGCAATGAGCATAGGCTGGTAATGGATAATGTAAAAGGATAGGTTAGTAATAATTATTTACTGATTATATATGGGGTTTATAATAGCTACATTAGTTACATCTTCTTTTGAAAAGGTTAATACTCTCCTGCAAAGATGTTGACACCCAGAGAGCATGAGCATGCATGAACAACCTGAACTGTGATTTTTCTTTTCTTGATGGAATTCATGCTGATCAAAGCTTCCATTACCCACCCTTTGGAAATATTCGGGGCTGTTATGCTCATTCAGTTGTTGAGTATCATATTTGTTCATGGTTACTGCTGTGTTGGTGCCAACATTTTTGCAATTAAGTGTACATGCAGGTCACAGTGAATCTAGTTTCAGGGTTCTCGTTAACCATTAAACTCCCAAGATCTTATTAGTAATTCTTCTTACTGTGTTCCAAGTGATTCTCATTATGTTAGTTTGGAGAATTTGGTATCACATCAATTAGCAATCCCATAACTGATATTTTTTGTTATTCTCATCACTTGCCTGCATGATATTGTATACATATAGTAAGGAGAAATTCTGTCTTGGTCATTCACGGGAGTCAAAGGGTTAAGAAATGTAGTAGCAAGAGAGGAATGTAAGGTGAGAGGAAATTAAAGCAGAAAACAGCAGTGCTTTTGGGTAAGATGAAGTGAATCGTATGTTCTTATTCGCTACCGAAGCGAGCAAGTTGGGCCAATCTTGCCTACTTGGGATTGCCTGCTTTAATCCAGTGCAAAATAAAACTGGCATTAGGTGGACTCACAAAGTTGGTAATTTCATGGACAATGTTGTTGATGGATTTGCAAAAAGTGGCAGAAGACAGTACATTAAAACAAACAAATTTATTGAATGAAAAACAAGCCCATCTCAGGTGGATTTTTTACCTTTGTGCCAAAAAAAATAAAAAGTTGTTATTGATCCTTATTTATTAATCATTTATTGACCAAGCTTGTTCAGTCAAGATGCCTGGATGTAAGTCTGGTTCTCTATTTGCGGTTTTATAAACCTCAACTTCATCCTAGTCCATTAAAATGCAATAGAAGTATTCAAGCTGATATAAGCTATCTTGACCTCTCACTAATCAATAACCCTGATAAACCATTATAACAACAGAATTCTCTGATCTCCTTTGAAACACCCAGGAATCTATTCAGAACAATTCTATTAGCTTTTTATATTGATATTTTCTTCCAATTTTTACATTAGGACATGAACGTTATGGAGCTGTGTACAGTACTGCAGATGAAAATTACGACAATTCATCTGTTTATCAAAGTCTGGACAAGAATACACCTGCAGCACCACCAGTTTACCAGAGTTTACAGAACAACCAGCCTTCCACTAAGAAACCTATGCCTAAACAGAAAATAAGCAATACAGAAAAACCTGGAAAACCCAGTGTACCCTCAGACCCTGAGTACAATGTCCTTGAGGAGTCTCACACCAAACAAGAAAATACATCAGAGGCAATATATAATGTACTGGAAGGGCCAGATCCTAGACATGATATTTCAGGGAACATTCAGGACCCTGTTTACAATTTGCTGGATGGGCCTGATGCAGGACAGACATACGAGGCCCCAGATGTTGGTGTTCAACAGGATCCACTGTATAATGTGCTTGAGGTGCCTGAATCCAAACAAGAACATCAGGAGCCGCTTTATAATGTGCTTGAAAGTGCAGATACTGAAAATGCCCCTTCCAGACAGTATGGCCCCTCTGATGGTGCAACCAGTGAGCCCCTGTATAATGTTCTTGATGGGGCAGATTCAAGTGGAGCAAATTCAAGTGATGCAGAATATGCTGCTCCCAACAGATCCCTGTCTGCCGATGGTCATGACAACCCAGCCTATGAGCAGACCGTTGGATTTGGTGCACCACATGCATCGGTGCACAGCCCAGGGTCAGAGAGAGAATCTTTGTATGAACCCCTGAAAGAGTCAGATAGGCAAGATGTGTATGAGCCCCTTCGCAAAAAAGGGAAATGAGTTGTACCAAGGACATGGACCTTGAGTTGATAACAAAATTAGCAGAAGTTGGTTGCTATTTAGGGGCCTAGGAGCTCTCCATGGAAATTAAAGTCAATATTGACTCTCAATTGTCATTATTTTAGCCATTAAATCAACTGAGGCAATGGGAGTAGGAATAAAACTCAATTCTCTACACTAACTTGTAATTAAAATGGACATCTCTTTCTGACAGGGTGCAATTGCATGACATGTAGAGTCATGGGGCAAGTTACAAGTGAAATATTTTATAAAGTATTTAAAAATTTGCATTTTTGTAACAAAGGATGTAGCCATTTGCTGCTAAGCAGAATTCAAGAACACTATTTTTGTACCGAAACTTTTTGAATGACTACAATTCTGTGGTTTATAAAGCAAAAAATAATTTTGCTCTTAATAATTGTTTTTAATACTTATCTATGGTTATCACCCAAAGCAGAATAATTTTGCACTGTAAAATACAGTATTATACCTCAGAAGAATTTTATGAATAGTTTTTGTTATTGTAAGAATTTATATATGTAATTACATTTTGAGTGCAATTTGGAATAAATAAGTACGAGTAAATTTTTTCAAAGACTAACAAAACTGCACGAGCCTGTAGGGTGAGTGCAATTTGTGGTCTTTGAAATAGTTAACAAGTGCTCATTTATTCCAAACAGCACGAAAACAATCATGTGATTACTTATTAATAATATACTGAAAAAATACGAGATAGCTTATCATAAATACGCAGAAGCAAAGCGCGCATCAAGTGCAAAAATAATTTATTCAAACCTGTACATTCGGTCAAAACAACCGCGTACGATTAAAACAGTAATACACAATGATATTCTCACATCTATAAGGCGCAAAAAAGTTCAAAGTCCGGCCAAACAGTTCAAGGAATTGTTCAGTCTGTGTCCAAATCACTTTCGATGGAATGGAGTCGTCGTTTGCGAGGTTTAACTATGCTTGTTTTTAATTTCGGCATACAATCGCTCGAGCAAAGTGTTGAGCTGGATCGGCTCGTAATTTTGATTTCCTTGGCCATTCCCCTCTCTAAACACCACTTTTTCCAAACCGGCAACCAAAAAGCAGTGCATTTTACAGTGAGGCAGAGTATGCAGTTCCAAGAGAACCCCGTTCTCCCGGTAGCCGTAACATCCCATCCTATGAGCAAACTCTGGAGTTACATGTACCTTATGACATAAGCTTGTCCAACAACGTGTCAGTGTACGAGGCCCTGAGAGGCGCTGATGACGATGACATGTACCAGCCTTTAACAGTAACTTAAGTTGTAAGCTTTAGAACGTAGCCAAAGAAATTGCTGCGAATAAATATATTTTAGTACTGTAGAACCTTGCTTAATCGAACCTGAGTGGGAGCCTGAACTGCCCTCTAACTAGCAGTGGTAAAGCCATATTCTATGAAGAAACTTGTTTTATTTTTTTTAACTATAAGGAAACTCCTTCAGGATTTCTCCTTCAAGTTCCAATTATGGGAGTTTTAGCGTAGTTTACTTAAATTTTTCTTTTTTAATGAGAACAAAGAAACTGCAACAATCATTCAAATAAGGCACAGTGTTAAATGTTAGTTAGAATTACATAGAACTGTTTCAAACCTTTTGTAAGGTTGTTTTACAAATACTTTGAGCGTTTGCCAAGTGTAGAAACAGGAAATATTTTGACCAAGTCCTAGTTGGATTTATATTTTATTGAAGGGTCTCAATGGGGCGATGGCTTTTATGGCGAACAGTTTAAGTTTTCGCCATTATACGGTTAATTCAAAATGGCATAGAAGATAAGAAGAATTTTTTTGTTTAACTCTTGTTACGAGTAACGGTTAAAATTCGTTAATTTTTACGCCCAACGACCAAATCTTTTGCCCTTTTACTGCTAACGGTTAACCCCACTGAGACCCTCGCATAGGGTAGAACCTCTATACAGTGTCCTCTATACAGTGTCCTCCGTAATGGCCCTGATACAAATGGTAGACCCTTTGAAAACGATGAATACCTATAAAATGTGCTTGAGAGGCCTGGCTCCAATAGGAACCACTTTAAAATGTCCTAGATGATGGCCCTGATGCTGAACGTGGGCCCTTTAACCTCATTGAGACCTTGTATAGTGTAGAGTATAGAATTATTTAGACTAACCATCACATACTTTTGTTACTTCACCTTTACTTCTGGCAGTCTACATGCCAGCCCGCTATGTTATCTTCTCGCAGTGTGTAATAAATATCTCTTACGAACCGAGTTCGAGGTCCGTACTGGAAGTTACGGACCACGTTTTTTCATCACGAGCGGCCTATCGACCCAGCGGAAAAAACGAGGCTTCGTAGCTTACAGTACGGACCGAGAAAACGAGGTAAGCAATATTTTTAAAATTATAACTCTAGGTTCAAATAGAGGGGGGAGATTTCAATTCTAACAAACATTCGAATTTTGTGGGCCACACAGTGATAAATATTAAAACTCGATTGCAGTGACTGATGTGGCCTTCCACTCGACGCATTGGAAAGGACATCAGAGCAAGCTCTAAATTGTTCTCTCGAAGGGTGGCCGATGTAATTTTTGAGGCTTACTTGACTGCGATGACCGGAGATCGCCATGATGAGCTAGCCGCGTTGTACCTCAGCATGATCGAGGTCGCTTTGACATCGTCATGATTAGTATGAATTTTTAACAGTTAATTAATGTACAAAGCGTTGGAAGTTGAAATATATAGTAAGTAGAACGATGCTTATGATGATAAATAGTGACAACAAGAAAAGAGGTAAAGCGTAAAAGGATAATTTTAGATTTACATGGTGTAATTGTTGATTCAAGGATGGCTGTTCTCTTTGAATATGAATAGCCTCTTTTATCTTGAGTTGAAAACCGGTAGAGGCGTGATCTAAAACATGGAAGTTATCTGTAGAACACAAAGGGCGACAATGTGCAGAATCTTGCGGATGCTTGAAAATGTGAGAGTCCCTGTCACTGACTAAGTGCTCTCTAACAAGTGTGGAAAAACGTCGGCACGTTTCACCGACGTAACAGGCATTACACATACAAACTTATAAACCACACGTGAACGGAGCCCGTCAGGGACAGGGTCTTTCACACCGATCTTAAAGGAAGAGAAAACCAGCTTAATATCTAAGTCATTGCAATAGCGCTTAATAAAATGGCGAATCTTTTTTGAGTGATAGCAGAAAAATGGCCTATGTAGGGTAGCTTAAAGTAGAACGTAGGTGAAATGGTGGGAAGGGAACCCCAGGGATGATGATTGCTTTGGGTCCCAGTGATGTAACGGTTTATAATCTTCTCGATTAAATGGGCAGGGAAAAGATTCTTTTTTAGAATATCTGTAAGCTTGTTAATGTCCTCGTGAAACCCTAACGAGGTGTTATTAATCTTGTAGGCCCTATCAACGAGAGTCTTAATGAGACCCACTTTGTAAGAATATGAGGTGAAGCTGAAATAATTAGTTAGTAACCCAGTGAAAGTTTTCTTGCGGCAAACACTGGTTAGAGAGGAACTGGGGTCATTGTTGTCAATCAGGACATCTAAAAAGGGTAATTTGTGATTAACCTGCTTTTCCATAGTGAACCTGAATTTGGGGTGCCTAGAGTTGATATAGTCGAAAAATATAGTGGCATCGTGCTCTTAGTGAAATAAACAAAAAGTTTCATCAACATACCGGCAATAATGTATATGATTTAATAATAGTATATGATATCATGAAAATCAATGCTTAGGTCTGAGTTATCTCTGAAAGAAGTCAAGTCAGTAGAGAACTGTGGGGAGGGTAAGAACGTAACAATACTTGTGGGGGGAGGGGAAAGGGTTAAGAATCCCTTTCGTTGCGTATGTTCGTTTGATTTTCAAACTGCCATCAGTGACCTCTTCTACAAAAAAAAAATTCGTAAAAACAATGATTAAAACCAAATGAAATCATAGCGACATCCGGTGTTGGTCCAGGAAAGCTCTTGACCTTGCGATTTTTGCCGAGCGCTTCGAGCCATTGCGATCTTTTTAGTAATTGGGCTTTCTTGTCAATTTTAACAGACAAATATTCGTTTTGACAATATGACATAGACTATCCTTCACAAATGAGCAGTGTGTTACCAAGAAAATGGTCTCCTTCGCAGCCGTTGTTTGGCTTCGTCACAATGGGAGAGAGACTGTTGCGTGATGGGACCTAACAAAGGCTGCGACTAGTAACGGAAGGGCAAACAAATAAACTTGACACCGAAAAGATATTCTGAGAATTATTGTTAGACGGTCATGACGGGACAAGTGACTAAACTGAAAGTCATTTTCTATGAAGCTAGAGAGTGGTTAGCGGAAGTTGTTCGGAAATCGTCTTTCAGTTTCTTGGGAAAGATCAGCAATTGTCAGCAAACTTCGATGTATAGTCAGGATCCCGTAAGGAAATAAGTTTGCAGTGATTTGTTCAAAGTGGGATCTGGTTGATGGCAGATTGATTGCTTTTCTTTGCGCAGCCCGCTTGCCCCGATCGACATTAACACATGGAGCAATGCAGCCTAATGAAACCTAAGTGTTTGCTTTTCCTGTTCCTTCTGGGTTTCGGCAGACTTAGTCCCACAGTGTCTTCTATTGATGAGTCAAACGTGGCGAGTTATGAAGTGGAGAGGAGGTCCAATGCCGGTGACTTGTTTTATGTAAACACGATAAATGTCAGTCAGAGTCGATTAAGCGGCTGGTGCAGTAAGTTTGGACCCGCATATTCGGCGGGGGGGACAAATTGCGGCTGTACTTGTGACTCTGATGTTTCGTCTTTCCTCCCGTCGTTGAGGAGGTGTCTAAAAGGAAATCAACTTCTAGAAAACCTTAAAGGTGATTACAGCATTTTCACAAATCCCATAATAGTATCAAGCATTTCGTCTACGGGTCTTTTTGAGGGAAGGGGGAGGGGAGGGCGTGGAAAGGGAGGTGAAGGTCCAAGTAATTGTGAAGAATAGCATTCAGAAAAAACACAGGAGTGTGACGTTCTTTATCAAAATCCTAGTGAAATCACTGGCCTTATGCTTCCAGTATTGCATTGTAATTTAGCATACATTTACAAATCCTCTGCTTGGTGGTGAAGTTACTTGGGTTTAACCCAGTGGGATCAGGATGAAAATGTTTGTAGTAACAGAATGGCAGGATGGAATGAAAATAGTGGTGGGATGGGGGATTGAAAAGTCTATTTTGGACCCTCTTTTTGATGAAGTACCACATGCATTCTGCATGTTGGTATATATACTCAGTGTACTGTTGCATAGTACAAATCTGACTTTGATCGATTTTGATGTTTATAAATCCTTTCTTTAAACAGGTTGTCCAAAAGGTACATACCAAAATTTGTTTGGTACTGCTAATGATCCTGTCTTTAAGTTTGCTGTTAACCTTACCAGGAGAATAATAAAGAAAACATCAGCTAAGGGAAATCAGCTCAATTGTAGCCTCTATGGATATTTTTTTGATTATGGTGGTTTTCATGCTAGTTGGAAACATGTTCTTGAAGGAATCTTTAAGGTTATTAAAAAGGGAGGTGCATTTAACATAAAGGTGAGACAATTGATTATTCTGTTTACAAATTAATATCTAATAGTTCTACCTTGAAAATTTTTTGTTGAGATTGGGCTTATATCATAGAGTTTACTCAAGTTCACTTTCCACCTATGCATGGGTGTAAGAACTCAGAGTGAAAGCATCATCAAAAGCAAACTTCCTGAAGCACTGGAAGAGATGAGCCATCAAATTGTAATTGGTTTTGGTTTTGTATTTGATTGAGATTTCAGGCATGAGATTTCTTTACTAATCTGATTGCAGAAAAATATTAATAGCTATAAAAAAGAGTGGGAATGACTTTTAACTGTGCCTTCATTTTACATTGTGAACACCTAAAGATACAAACAGATTTGCTTTCCGCATATACGACATTTTGCAGAGATATCATTAAATAAATATTATTTTAGAATTGTCTCAGATATGAAAATCACAACCAGTTCTTCTGTGGTCCTGCTATTTGCAATTTTGTGGACATAGAATTAAAAAGCCCTTCTCTCTGATTTTTCAAGCAAGTAATAAAGAAAAGTGTAACAAGTATTCATTAAGTTGGTTTTTCTCTTTTCTTTATATAGAATGCAATCTTATAATTTACAAATTATAATTTTTTGCTAGAGTATTTTTTTTATTATGTTATATGATGTTTAAAATTAAAAGGAATTATATATTAACTGCTTTGATTTACTTTAATTTTTTTTGCAATTGATTACACTATAGTCTATTGACTTAATCTTTGTTTTAATTATCCATTAATTCTGCATTGATGAACTAATTCTTTGTCATATTTTATGAATACTGGTAGCTGTATACTGAAGAAAAAAGTAAATAAAAAAAATTGCTGGCAATGTGTATGTGCTTTTTGTAAGTTAACAGAGTCTTATTTAATCAATAGCCATTAGCAGTCATCGTACACATTTTGATGTTCTCTTTTAGATGAAAGACAAGTCTAACAAATTGTCTGGGAGAGTCATCAAACTTAATCTCATGTGCACAAATAAAACACAAAAAGGTCAGCCAGTATTACAAGCTTGTTATCTTTTCAAGGCAGTGGGACATGTAACATGTAAGTAAAATCTCATTATGATGATTAAGTTAAACTTTGCAGAATTCCTATTTTCCAAGAAAAACTCAGTGATTAACTTTTATGTTTGTCGAAGCTGGTTCACACAATGACAAGTTAAAACATACTAGATAAATCTAGTGAGAAATCTCATGAGCATGAAAACCAGTAAATTCAAGGCTTAGGCCTGTCTGGCCAGGGGTATTGGGTATTGACTGTCATATTTGAGTCTTTTTGAGTCATATATGTATGTATTATTTTAACATAGCAATACAGAGTAATATACTAATATACGTTAACTTTTGGTCAACAACTTTATGAGGTAACTGTTAATAGTATGTGTTGAAATTGTTGCAATTTTGAAGGTACAATTTGCTATTGCATGGGGAAAAATTGGGTAACTTTGTATAAGATTAAAATTCCCCTAGAGTGCAAAAAACCTTTGAAGGCTAAGCAATAATTGTACCATATACTGTGATTTACTTACGGCAGCTAACCAGTATGCTTTTTATAGCAATGTATTATAAACAGAGCTCTCAAGTTGATTTGCTAGCAGAGATTGAGACACCACTGGCATCACATATCAGGAGGGAGGGATGGGGGCATGCTCCTTAGAAAATTGTGAAAAAGTGAAACTGCTAATAAAATGTGCTTTCTTTTATTCGAAATGAGAGTTTCCACTGCAGCAAGTGTTAGTAGCAAGTTAAAAGGGAGCGAAGAGTAAATCATATATTCAGTTTTACAGGAAGATTCCACTTGATAGGAGCAGCAGCATATTACCTCAAAATCAATGGTTTAAATCAGAAATCAGTATCTTATCTAGGGTACCCAGCTAAGGGGGCATTATGTGTCCTAGTCAACAAATTTCAGAGAGACATAATCTACCCCCTGTATAGCATTTGTTCAAACTAGTGCCTGGAACTTCGGAGAATTGAGCCTTTTATGTATGTCATATACCCTGGATTTTGGTTCTTGTTTTTAACTTGTAATTCTTCTGAAATTTAAACCAAAATATTGTTTTAAGAAGATTTTATTCAAGGCGAGATTACATTTCCTTGTTTCGTTTTCTTTTGAAACACAATTTGAAGTGCACCTAAATGACTCAGAAAAGTTATTTGAAGAAGATATATTTGCTCAAACCATGGAAATCCTGCAATGGTGTGCTCTAGATCAGACAGTGAGAAACTTGACTCACTGCTTGATGAAGACTATCAGTTGCGATAGTGGTTGAAATAAAACAATGTACAGTTAATAGTACTACACATGTATGCATACTAGACAAGCTGTAAAATGTTCAATAGGAAAAAAAACAGATCTGCCATAACTGTACCTGTCCTGCTACATGTAAGAGTGTGATTCAGATCCCTCAATTTGCTTTTTGCAGATTATGCCCCAGCAAGGACAAGTACTGTACATACTTTTCGGACATCTGTGGGTTATCACACATCATCATCATTTACACATCCATCTTCACCATCACCACAATTACCACAATCAACACAAATAACTTCAATGTCATCATTGTCACATTCAGCATCTCTACCATCACCATCTCCTTCCTTAGATGTCATGACAAGGATTCCAACAACACTCACTGAAAAATTTTCACACATGGGAACCAGATCTCTTGAAACAAGGCCGGCCTTACGTACATCCAGATCAATTCTGCCATTAACATTAAATACAGAAGTTGAAAGCCTCTTGTCAGTCAGTTCAGAGGACGTTAGTAATCAAGTAATATACACAGGAATTCATACATCATCGGTTACCACAGGAGAGCCAAATTATAGTGAACCATCAGAGGTGGGTTTTCTTACTGGGAAAAGTTGTTGTTTCTATCAGTGTAAATGTGAATAGGATCCAGTGATACCACTACACCTAAAAGCCCATGGCTGTGACAAAAATGAATTTGAATAGCGACTTTGGGAGCCTAGAGATTATGATAGTGCCAGGAAGTTAGCAATTAAGTGAATTCATTGGCCTTAAGGTTGACCCACTGGATGCCACAGTACTTTCAAAATATGATTTGTTTTCTGAAATCCAAAATGATTTACTGTATGACAAGGGATTGTAGAGTACAATTGAAGGTATGGTAAGATTGTACCTTGCAAAGATCTTTAAATTACAGGGTATAATTTATTTGATAATTATTTAACCTTTTTTATCCATGTCCTCTAATAGCTACTGACCACTGAGGCAAGTCTTCCTACTGTGGATGGTCCAGGAGACAAAGAGGCCAGAAAAAGTGGAAAAGACAAAGGAGTAGCAATTGGTGGAGGAGTTGGTGGTGCTGTTGCTTTTGGGATTATTGTCATAGGGTTGATCACTGTATTTTGTAGGAGAAGAAAGTTACGGTAAGTCACTTAAACATAAACTGAGAGAATTTTACAGCTGAAGCTAAATGCCTTGTCCAAAGTAGGAGTATGTAACTAATCAAATGAATAAGATCAATTTTTAGTAAGTAAGATGTTGGAAAAAGAGGAGTCCAATTACTGCTATATTATTAAATGGGTGACTAAGAAAGTTGTGGGATTACTAAGTTGGAGTCTATTCTGTTAATTGTAAGAATGATAATAGCTGGAATTAATTTATTGGACAACACAAACTCCCATTATGAGAGAAGAGCTGACAGACCTATATGCACAAATGTACAAATATTGCATAGTAACTAGTTTTATATCATGACAGATACTGTCCTTTTACAATGTGTCTACTTACAAGAATGGCGTGTAAACTTTCCTGTTAGTGTTTAAATCCAGCTTCTGATAACCTGAATCATCTTTTAGAATTTTGTTAAATATAGTTTTGAGTGAGTCAAACCTTGTACCTTAATTTAGACATGAATATATTTATTAACACAAATAAGGTGATTACATATGTTAGGATATGTTATATATGTTGAAGAATGTTGACAGGCTATTTGTTCTCTAGTCAATGTGTTACATAGGATTCAAAATTCAATAAGAAACCTTTAATGAAGAACATTCATTTGTAAAATGCATATTAGTTGAGAATGAATAATTATAAAAAACATACAATACAAACTTTGAAACCATAAGCCCTAAGCTTTCTCTACTTCATTTCTATTTCATAGCAACATTGAACTTTGTATTTCTTCATTGAAGAGAGCAAAAGAATGTACAGAGATCAGACTGAGATGAAAATTTGCTTTGACTTTTTTCATTATAAAATTAGCATTTTGTTATGTAATAGAGAAGTCTTGTGAAATTTTTATACTGTGAATGAAGAAGTGAACCAAATAGAGCTTACTTAAGGACTTGTGATTTAGAAATGATCATAGTTATGAGTAGTAATCCACATTTCGTTTGCAGGGAAAGCATGGAAAAGAAAGAAAAATTATTTGTAGAAGGTAGGGATTTGTATTTAGTAAATAAATCATATCAAGTAAATCTTAACATTTGGAAGGAGACCATTGTCATGTTTACAACCATGGTAATACGCTGGAAATTGCATGATCTTTCTATATGAACACTTAATTAGGACTCAAGTTGCATGATACTGATGCACCAACTATTTTGTTGTTTGCTAGAGTCTTGAATACCAAATTAATATTCTTTCACAATTTGGTATAATAGTTGGTAAGTATTGTCAAGGAATTCATAGTTTGCAAGTACTTTAATTAAATTTTTAATCCTAGTTAACAACCCAGTGTATGAGAAACCTCAAGATGACATTAAAATGGAAAGACCAAGAGAGAAAGCCACAAATTTCAATGAACAAGACAGTCAACTGACATACCTGGAACCTGTTGATAACAAAGGTGAGTTGGTCAGCAATAATGTGGAATGGTGGTGTAGGGGGATGGGTCAATATTGTAAGAAATAATAATATATAAGGATGAGTAGCACAGTCACGCCGCCATTTTGGACTCAAGTGCCTTTGCTAACGAATATCTTCGGGAAGGTTTAACCTCTAAATCTCACACTTTCCACAATATAAGCTTAGTTATCCTACTTCATTTTGGTGTAAAGAAAACAAGGTTTGCGACAAAGTGAAAATTGTAAAAAATAAATATTTCCTGAAAATGCGTGAATTTCTGGGTGTAACGCGTAACATGAAATGTATCAGACGGAAGAAAAAAAATGAAATATCTCAATATAGAACGCACATGGGGCCACTATTTTTTGGCCGTTAGTAGTTTATGACAAAAGCAACAGGCAGTATGATTTGCAACAAGAATGGTTTATTCTAACGCAAGTTATAAACGTCTGTTTTTATCCATGTAAACCATGTAACGCTCGCAACTATTAAAACAACCATAGTGTGCAAAACTAGCAATAATGATAATTTCGACTGTGTAAGCAACAAACTAATAACAAAAATGTAATGGGCATACATCATAATATTTACAAACCAACGCTGAAGTTGAATCGTCGAGTAGAATGTTTTCCAGATCAAAATAAAACGCGCGGAAACACATTTCGTAACGGCCATATTGAGCTTAATTCCATCACATATCCACCAGTAGATCCGTTGTCAGACGCGATTCTTGTTAAGTTGAGTAAACAAGCTCACCTCTCCTGGAATGGGCTTGTATTAAGCTAAATTTACAGAACGTTTCAACCCATTTCGTTAGATCTAACGATAGAAATTTACGTTTGGTCGACGCGGAAACACTTTCCGCCATTGCTGCCGTGTTCATGAACCGTAACGAAGGAAAGTGACGAAGGAATATGGCGAAAAACACCACCAAAACTTCCACGAAATCCGCTCCTTCGCAGCTTCTCTTTGAAAGCATATGGTTCGTTTACACAGATAATAATAGGGGAGTCCATACAGAGTTTGCAGGGGCAGATTATTGCATAACAATGAAATGTATTGTAATGAATGGAAGCCGGTGGAGCTAACCAGAGAGGGTGATGTGGCAACCACTCGACAGGCAACTGAAGCACCAATTTTAGACCATGATACTGCTTCCTACATAGCTGACCTGGCCAGCAAGGGAAGTACAGTTGCGATAGCCGCTGAAGATGATCCTGTCTACGACTTCTATCTCCTTCAGGTCACTTCTGATGGAGTTGAAGAACTTGACAGTAATGTCACAGATGACTATCAGTGTCATTATTACAGAGGAGACAGAGTTCTTAAGGGGCACTTTTACATAAGGGAGAACATTCATGACATGACCTTCACAATTGACGAAAAACGGAAAGCGTTTGTACCTGCTGCTACTGTCCGTCACATTTGCGGTGACCTACCAGTCAGAAAGAGAGGACGAAAGTCTATTTACAAACTCCCTTTATAAGAAGATGAGGAAATCATTGCTTCAATGTGAACTAATAATTACAAAACCTCTTTTTTTCCATTTTTACATTGATTTTCTTAAGATTTTATGAAAAACCAAAAATATGCCACGCCCACAAGGGATTGTGGGTAATACCAAAATTAGTGTTATTAATGCAAAATAATAAAAATATTTACAGATATTGATTACAATGTACATTTTGATCAAAATTAAAGTCAAAAAGTGATAAAAAGTGAAAAAATAAAAAAATAGTTATATTTGAACTATGTTACAGCAAATGGCTATGTGACTGTGCTACTCATCAAGGGATTAATAATAGTCACATTAATTCGTTCCATCCTGAATTTAATCCTTTGTTCTAATTGGCTATCCAAGTGGGGGAGATGAGCACTAGCTTGTTTTAGAGTGCCTTCTTGAATCCATGTTAAAAAAAATTTTGCTGAATGGACTAACAAAGTGTGTAAGTTTTGGACAGTGTTGTTTATGGTACTGCCAAAAACAAACAAAAGAACTTGGTCAATATCCTGCCATCTCGACCTCATGCATGCAGGTCAATAACGCAGATATTCCACAAACAGTGGCCTTTAAAATTAATATGAGGTTAAAAATAGCCTAGTTATACAAAATTTAGCTGAAGAATTCTCTGATCTCCAATGACTGGTTAACACCCTGGAATATATTCAGAACAATTTATTCTCTTAACTTTTATTTTTGATATTTTATTCCATTTCCACATTAGGATATGAAAATTATGGAGCTGTGTACAGTACTGTAGATGAAAATTATGACAATTCATCTGTTTACCAAAGTCTGGACAAGAATACACCTACAGCACCACAAGTCTACCAGAGTTTACAGAACAACCAGCCTTCCACCAAGAAATCGATACCTAAACAGGAACAAAGCAATGCAGAAAAACCTGGAAAACCCAGTGTACCCCCAGACCCTGTTTATAATGTCCTTGAGGAGGCTCACACCAGACAAGGAAATACATCAGAGGCAATATATAATGTACTGGAAGGGCCAGATCCTGGACATGATACTCCAGGGAACATTCAGGACCCTGTTTACAATGTGCTGGATGGGCCTGGTGCAGGACAGACATATGAAGCCCCAGATGTTGGTGTTCAACAGGATCCACTTTATAATGTGCTTGAGGTGCCTGAATCCACACAAGAACATCAGGAACCACTATATAATGTGCTTGAAAGTGCAGATACCGAAAATGCCCCTTCCAGACAGGATGGCTCCTGTGATGGTGCAGCCAGTGAGCCCCTGTATAATGTTCTCGATGGGGCAGATTCAAGTGGAGCAAATTCAAGTGGTGCAGAATATGCTGCTCCCAACAGACACCTATCTGCTGATGGTCATGACGACCCAGCCTATGAGCAGACCCTTGAATTTGGTGCACCACATGCATTGGTGGACAGCCCTGGGTCTCAGAGAGAATCTTTGTATGAGCCCCTGAAAGGGTCTGATAGGCAAGATATGTATGCGCCCCATCACAAAAAGGGGAAATGAATGATACCAAGGACGTGGACCTTGAGTTAAAAACAAAGTTAACAGAAGTTGGTTGCTATCTAGGGGCCTAGGAGCTCTCCATTGAAATTAAAGTCAATATTGACTCTCAATTGTCATTATGTTAGCCATTAAATCAACAGAGGCAATGGGAGGGTAGGAATTAAAATGGGCATCTCTTTCTGACAGGGTGCAATTGCATGATATGTAGCATCACGGGGCAAGTTACAAGTAAAAAATATATTATAAAGTATTTAAAAATTTGTATTTTTGTAACAAAGATGCAGAAATTTGCTGCCAAGCAGAATTCAAGAACACTATTTTTGGACTGAAACTTTTTGAATGACTAAAATTAATTAGAATTACCTGAAAACTGCATTTATCTTAACCAATCAGAACTGAGTAATTTTTTCATGTATATTACTATGTTCATAATTGATCAACAGTGATGGTGTCACAGGAATGGGAGATGGCATCCCCCTCTCCACCACTAAGGCATACCAATGTATTCTGATCATTTCCAGAGCTAATGGTTTGCTTTGAAAGGTTGCATGGTTTCCCCATTAGGTGACATTATGCAGGCTTATTTGCAAAGAACTAAAATAAAAACAACTCTTTCGTTTTCTTTGCAATTTTTTATTTGCAGTACCACGTGCCTGTACATAACCATATCCAGATGCATTTTAAAATTGGTTCCTCTTTTCTTTACTTAGACTTTTTATTTTATTTATTACACACTTACAATGCCACCATAGCTTGTAAACAACTAAGGAAGGCGATGAGTTAAACTTCTTAATACCGACAAGATCAACTTACTTTTAAAGCAAGCAAAGTAAAGATAATCTTCAAGAGAATTTTCAATTTTAATTAAGTTTGGAATACGAACATGCATAAATCCAACCAAAAACATCTTACCACTCAGTATATTATGCAATTCAAAATATAATTTAATTATCTATTACTGTGATATTTTATATGTGGTACTTTTATTTATTTTTGTATTCCACGAATATTATACCCTCGAGATGACACAATTGACACTTCAAGCCGTAATTATTCCCTTTAACTTTAACACAATCGCTTCAGCCAATTTGTCTAATTACATTCCTCAACTTCGGCAGTGCGCATAGTTTGAATATTCAAATGTTTTGTTGACTCGTGAAAACAAAGTTGACGCATGATGACTAAGAACATTACGGAAAGAACAGAAACGAAACAGCCATTTGAAACTGAAACAGAACAAACCGGAACTGGTGGTTTCTAGTTTGGAGAGTTTGGTAGAAAGTTCTGAGCACTGTTAATCTTTCTTGTTTACCTGTGGTTTTTGTTACTATTATGTGCTATACGCAACACGCGTTCAACAAGTCAGAATTTCTTGACTTCCGGGCTTCGCAGGATAATTTATGGATGTAAAAGGGAGAAGTTACATGTTCATCACTTAATGGTCCATGACGCAATCACGCAAGATTTTCACTTATAGACGATTTTCCTTCCCCTTGACAACCATTAAGATAAAAGATGATGATTTTAACTCTAAATAATCCTAAAGCTGTATCATCGTTCTTCTAAGCTTATTACAGTCAAGATGATACGGTTTATTCCTGTCAGCAATTGACTGAAGAAACTTCTCTTCTGCCACCGTTGCTATCACTGTTCAGTTTGATTTCAAATTGTTGTCTCATATGTAATGCAGTAAAACCCACAGTTTTGATGCCGATAAGGGTAAAGACCCATCGTTCGTATAAACCCACTTACTGGCTCGAGATTCTTAAGAGAGTGTCTCTGTAAGAGCGGTCCGGTCGATTTTGCTTGAGACACGGATTTTTCTCGTTTCTCGTGTGTTGTAAGACATTCATGTACCTATACTAAAACCACAATCAGTTTGATCGGATCTCTTTATTTTTCAGAGTTTTACGGAAATTAAATTTCACTCGAGCGGAGGCTTGTCGTGACACTTTTCAAGACTTTAATTTCATACAACTTTGGAGGACAATTTACAAAAAACTACGGAACTCAGCAAAAAACAAATACCACAGCCATGTATATTAACTCTATCTTATCTATCGAGGTGACTTTCGTAAACATCACGTGTCAATCAAGGAAACAGGAAGACTTGAATGACACCTTATCGGTTCGCCTAAATCACACACGCCAAAACCGATCAAATTCAAGGTAAATTTTTGAAAAAGTGAGGCGTTCTTAACTGATCCAACTAATATAGCTAGGAAGTAGGTGCCATAGAAAAGGTAACTACAGAAAAAAACTTTGCGGTCCGACCTTTACGAGAACTTTATAACTCCGTGAACTTACCTAATTTTCGGCAATCTCCAAGTTTGGCCGCCATTTTGAGGAACTTGTCAACATGAAGCGTAACCGATATAAATCAAGCAGGTAGATCTAAAACCGTCAGAAATACATACGAAAGCAATTCAAATGAACTTTACTTTCAATTCAAGCGGCAAAATTTGAAATTCGTTCAACTTACAAACCCCATGCGACCATTTCTTTCAACAATTCAAACACTACAACTAGTGTTCGAATTCCCCTCGTCGATTCCACCGCAAGAAATAACCTGTGCCACCCAAGCTTCGACTGGAATGTAAAGTACGAATCAAGTAACATAACTGCTTCATCTTCGCGGCAATATCAAGCTGATATTTTGATTTTCCGATCGACAAGAACGGTGATCAGGAATCGATCGGTTTGTTTACCTCATAAACGTGACCGCTGACCAACCGCTAAGTGAAAACAGCATAGCGCGGGGTGGGGTAGGTGGCGGGCTTATCGTCATAATATATTCGAATACATGCTCAAAAAGCTCTAGGACTATCAGTCTAAACAGTGAAGGCATGCTTCGTGGTACAAACAACTTTTATTTTATTCTTATAACTTTCTCCTTTAAATTAGAACTGGTATTAATTAATAGAGTTATCAATATATTTTTTACCGGGTACCCATATAACCTCATCAGTGGTATAAAATAAGGTGTCTTTTCCACCGGAATCTTTTATTTATGCCCCATTGCACGGAATGAACACTATACTTAGAATGTTTGCTCTAAGTAATTTTTTTTCTGTTCCCAAGAATGTATGCAAAGTGATAGAGATTTGATTCATTCCGCTGACACGTTCTTTTAAGTTATGGCGTGGGCAGGTTTTTTCTATCAAAAGTCGCGCATGCAACACACCGGAATTGAAAATTCGTCGTAAAATCGCACAAACCTTAGAATGAGTGTAGGCAATTCAACTTTGACTTCTGGCGAGATTAAGTGGATGGTTCAAAGGACCCCTTTTTTCAGACTATGATTTTTTCAGGACTATGACTGAGATTTTTTGCCTTATCATAACTTATCACGCCGGAAGATAATCGTCATCATTAGCGGACGATGCTTTTTTTGCCTATTGTTGTCATCATCATTCATAATTATTGAAACTTTTGATCGTTATCACGCCGGAAGAAGTTTTATAAAAAACCGGCATGTCGCCTTCTTCTCCTTCTTGTCTCAGCCAAGACTCACTATCAGCACAGAGAG